TAGCTGGATTCCGGTTCCTGCTGTCGCAGGTCGCTATGTTGTCAATGTCGGCGATTTGCTAGAAGGATGGACGGCTGGAGGCTATCGAAGCGCAGTTCATCGCGTTATCAACACAGGCGAGAGCCATCGTTATAGCGTGCCGTTCTTCTACCACGGAAACATGGAATTCAAGCTTCGGCCATTGGATGGTAGTGATGACGCAAGAGCGATCACAGTTGAACAGCATATACAAAACAAGTTCAAGGAGAGCTACAGCGTTAAAGTCTGAAATAAGCACAGTAATTGAGATTGGTTATTTGCCCTGTAATACGAACACTGATTATAGAAACTTGACGAAGGAATTGTAGACATTGTCCCAATAATTCGAGACAAAGAACAAGATTGATACAGATAGATAATCCTTCGAAGAGACAAGCTTGCGCGATTTTGAAAAGCTGGGATAGATTGCGGGACACTCTGACTGTTTTTTTTTTTTTGTGACCTGGCCGTCGCCTTTGAACTTTTCCAGCGAAAAACCATGAAATGTTGTGACTCACTAGACAATGAGAGGCTTACTCAAGAAGTTTATGCCGTAACAATGCATGACATTTCACAAACTATGTGACACCCTTGCTGGTTTTCAGTGAACGAATTGACAGCGTGTTCTCTTGGAGGGCAGTGAAGCCTTATAAATCCACGGGTAACGGGCCGCTGAAGAGGATATCGTGGACCGAAGATTAGCCGCTATTACGTTATGCAATGCGATCGATGGTGTTTGGCGGCGCGTCGAAGGATGGCGTCCGGGGTTTAGCCGGCCGATGACAGTGGCTTGATCCGAGCCGGAAGGCGATCCCGGACCCGCCATGACATGCACGCGGCCCCAGAGCTACCAGAATGTCGGAGATGGAAGGGAGGAAAGAAAATCTTACTCCGCCCTTCACGATCTCTCCCCGATGACTCAATCTGAGCATGAGATCGACTGCGGTGTGCAAGCAGTGAACAGATCCAGAAATTAGGCGAGAAATTCTCCCTTTGAGCCGCATTGGACAACCTTCCATCGCCGTCGCGAAGGCTTTAAAACCTGGTCATATCTTCTCTGGCAACGAGTGCCATAGAGTGTATTTGGAGAATTGTCTCCGATTCTGTTGAAATAAAAACACCTCGAACAATGTCGACCCGGTCCTCAACTAGTGTGATAGAGCTTCAAGAACGTCCCATCGTTCCAGCTCAAACATTATCCAAGGACGCAGTCTCCATCAATCGGGCACGTCCTTCTTCCGAGGGTCCAGGTGGTCTGTTCGGGACCAGGAGTAGCAGTGGCAGTGGACGTCGTATCAGGAACCTTGACGGTGCGCTGCCGCCACCGACGACAGTGACCGAAATCGTCGAGAAATGGAACCATCCACGCTCAAACATTGCTCGTGTCTTTGCGGCTTTCTTCAGCCTGCTAGTCATGGGAGCAAACGACGCTGCATATGGAGTATGTCAAGTATGAAAGATTCGTTGGATTATTTGAGACTGACATCGGGGATATTAGGCTATTATCCCATACGTAGGGTCAATCTGAGAAACTATATCCTCTTGCTCTAACTAATGCCGTACAGCTAGGAGAATATTACGACCTGGAGTACACCTTCGTCTCGCTGATATTCCTTTCTCCCTTTGTCGGATACACTCTTTCTGCAGTCTTAAACAACATGCTTCATCACAAAATCGGTCAACGAGGTATCGGAATCATCTGTGGAAGCTTTCACATCGTAGCATACCTTGTGATCTGTCTCCATCCTCCATATCCGGTTCTCGTCGTGGTATTTATGTTTGCCGGATTTGGGAACGGGATCGGCGATGCGGCATGGAATGCCTGGATTGGCGCAATGGCTAACGCGAACGAGGTACTGGGTGTCATGCACGCCTTGTACGGGGTTGGAGCAGTCCTAAGTCCACTGATTGCAACATCGATGATCACGCGATCTCATCTGGAGTGGTATGCGTTCTACTATGTGATGGTAAGATTATATATTTTCCTCATCACTTGAACATACCTCTGACGCAAACATGATAGCTTGGTCTCGCCGTTATCGAACTCGCCTTTCTTACTATTGCCTTCTGGCCAGCGACTGGGAAGGCCTACCGCGAATCGCACCCGAAGACATCTGATACGAAGAACTCGCGTATGCACGAGGCGCTGTTGCAAATGCCAGCTGCTCGCGTTACTTGGCTGTGTGCGACATTCTTGCTTTGCTATGTTGGTGTCGAAGTTGCTTTGGGTGGCTGGATAGTCACATTCATGATGCAAGTGAGAAAAGGAGAAAGCTTCGCTAGCGGTATGACTGCGACTGGCTTTTGGCTTGGACTCACGCTGGGTCGTGTGATACTCGGCTTCGTGACGCCACGACTTGGAGAACGACTCGCTCTCATGGTTTGTTTTGTCATCGACGTTGATCGTGTCACTCGTCTGACTGACAATGGTTGCAGATATACTTGCCAGCTGTCATGGCGCTTGAATTGTTCTTTTGGCTCATCCCTCAGTTCTACGTTTCGGCTGTCGCTGTTGCGCTACAGGGGTTCTTCCTCGGACCCCTATTCCCCGCTGTTGTCGTTGCTGCAACGAAACTATTGCCTAGATACTTGCATGTCAGTGCTATCGGATTTGCAGCGGCATTTGGCGGTGGGGGCGCTGCCATTCTGCCCTTTGCAGTCGGTGCCATTGCGCAGTCCAAGGGCGTTCAAGTCTTGCAGCCGATTATCCTTGCTTTGGTGGCTGTCCTATTTGTCCTGTGGCTTTGTCTCCCCAGGTTCAATAAAAAGAGAGAATAAGCAGCCTTTGAACATATGCAAAAGGATTGATCTTACGGGATATTACCGAATAGGATGTTTTATAGTTTCTAGGGGGTGACTGGTGAAAAGGAAGTTGAAATAGTCTGAGATCGTATTTCCGTTTTTCATAGCATGGGCATGGAATTGAAATCTTACGTTCTCATGACAAAATGTAATCAAGGTGTAACTGGCTTCACAACCTTCGAAACCCATAAGCCCACGGCCAGGTCTAGTCGAAGTAGATGTTTAGTATCTCGAACTAGCTTCTCCTCGTTCAGAAGACAGATGCTCCTACTCCTTTGGACAACCTATCCAAACGCTCATTAGTGATATCAAAACACTCAGGAAGTCCGGTCTCCTCCCATTTGCTTCCATTGATAATCTTCACAACTCCTGGCGCGCAATTGAATATCCGAGCCATACCTGTCAAGATCCCGTCAGCTATTTAGAAGCCTTTTGGTCTTATACTTGTGGACTTACCATGGCCGTTGAACCCAGCACATACATACTGCCCGGGGGAGTCCACCAATGTGCCAACGAATGGGACAGAGTCTGTGGTCATGGCTATGATGCCAGTCCATGTGTGGAGGAGCCCCTCCCCATGCTTGAGTTTCCCCGGCTCGCATGCCGGGAAGGTTTTCTGAAACTCCTTCAATGCGTCTTGTCGAATCTCGTCATTGAATCCTACACTGTCATCTGCTGAACATCGACTTTCAAATGCTTCCTTACTGACGTTAGGATTGCCTCTTGATGTCCCGAGAACAATGATGCCATCCGCCTTTCTCTGCATTAGCGAGTAGAAATGGCGTAAACTGTGACGGAGAGAGAACGTGCTGGGGAGTATCTTCTCGCCAGCCAAGGCTGGTGGGGGAATGATAGCGTGCGCTTGTGCTCGATTCGGGGTTACGAATGGAGAGAATTGCGGAAGGAGGTGGGCAACAAAGGCATTGGTGCAATGGATAACTGTTCGAGCTGTCACAGTACCCCTTGGAGTAATAATATTCCACAGTGGTTTCTCGGGTGTTGACGAAATTGACTTTGCTAAACTTGTTGCAGGGCAATGTGTGAACAGCGTTGCGCCAGCCTGGATGGATTGATTCAAGAGCCATTGTGCTAACTTTGCAGGGTGGCTCGAACCAGCAGGCCACTCATAAGCTGTCACAGCTTGTGGAATGCCAGTCTTCTCCCTCGCCGCCTCGCCCTCGTAAAATATTATGTGCGACACATCGCCTCCGGCGTCTTTGAATTCCTGGAAGCTCTTTGCGTTGAATTCGGCAAACTCCGGTGTCATACACACATCGAAGGTTGTCGTGGGGTTGAAGTCGCAGGGCACATTGTGCTTCTTGACAAATGCGTCTATTCTGTCAAAGACGGAGCGCTCATTCGCAATGATCTTGAGCGCTTGCTCCTTGCCATGGATCTTCTCATATACTTGGTAGCCGCGAAAAGCGTCTGGCCGGACATGCCCGGCGTTCCTTGAGCTTGCACCGCTTGCCGCCTCGCGCGCCTCGATGATCACGATGTCCTTGCCGGGGATTCCTGATTCAATCAGCTCAAACGCTGTGAGCGCGCCTGATATACCAGATCCTATCACAACATAAGGGCTACTTGAAGGCAACTGGGCGTCTTTGTTGGCATTCAGATGAGGGAACGAGCGTGTGGTCTGCTGCCAGAAAGAAAGGCAGGGATTTGGCACTGGTAGGCTGCTTCTAGCCCCAACTTCAATGACAACCATGATGACTGCAAAACCCTGCGACGACGATGCTCGGAGATCGAATTGAAGACTAAAAGGGACGTCGAAGAAATCTGGAGACCGCTCAACAGCTTCGTGTGTCTTCAATACGGCGGTTTTGGTTCTGCATGAAGCTCCGGATTGACAGAGCCGCATTCGCTATGATGGCCGAAATCCGGAGGTCTTGGTCGGTTCGGCCTGCCGTGTTTCAGCGCACTATCAGCGCCGGCCAGTGAGCAATGCTGCGCCGTGGTGGGGGTGGGACGCAGTGGATCTTCTGTCCTGTAGGGGTCCGCTGATCCAATCCTCTGACTGCATGCTGCACCGGGTCTATCCATTACTTTATCTCGGCCTGACCGTGGACAATTGCCGTAGCTCTCAGCGATCAGCAGTCGGATACTACCTTACCTTACGTTACCGTATCTTATCTACTGCAACATGATAGCCGGTGACCTGGTTGTGCAAAGGGAAGATGCCATTTAACAGGCGCCGGCGCCATGCGTCGGCGGACGATGAGGCTCGCGAAGGGCTTCTTCAACCGGCAGACAACTACCACGATCACCCTGTCGAAGACGACAGCATCGATATCATGGCGTCCCACGATGTGAAACCCCCATGGCAGAGAGTGAAGAGTCGCTTGGTGTGGTTCCAGAAGCAAGAGACCACACCGTTGGAGCGTGATCTGGTTCGCCGGCTCGACCTGTTTCTCATGTCCTATGGTTGCATCTCCCAAGTTATCAAGTATCTCGATCAGACCAACATCAGTTCCGCTTACGTATCCGGCATGAAAGAGGACCTCGGCCTGTACGGGAACGAATTGAACTACTTCTCCACGTTCTTCAACGTGTCATACTGTCTCATGCTCATTCCGTCACAAGTCATCTTGACCTATGTCCGGCCGAGTTACTGGCTACCTGGACTGGAGATTGGATGGGGGGTCATCACAGGTCTAATAGCCTTGGCCCAGAACGCAAAGCATGTCTACGTACTGCGAGTGTTTCTGGGGTTGTTCGAGAGCAGCGCGTGGCCTGGAATGATGACTCTGTTCATGTATTGGTACACGCCCACTGAGCTTGCCAAACGAATGGCCATTTATCATTCGTGCCAAGCCATTGGCTACATGATGTCTGGTGCTCTTCAGGTCGCCCTGTTGGAGACGATGAACGGAACGCATGGGCTTCCGGGTTGGCGCTGGCTTTTTGTCATCAACGCCATCATGACCGTCTGCGTAGGACTAGCTGGCTTCTTCATGTTGCCTGACTACCCGAATATGCCTAATCCTCGGGCTTTCTGGTTCAATAGCGACCACGCGCGTGCCGCAAACGAGAGATTGGAACGCCATGGACGCGCCGAAGCGAAGCGTATCACATGGGCCAGCGCAAAGCGGACTACGAGGATGTGGGTTGCGTATTTTGTCCCGATATTGTACATGGCCACCGTCCTGGCCAGTTATGGTTATAACTACTTTAATCTCTTCTTAAAGAGCCTCAAGAATGCGGATGGCACACCGGTTTGGTCAACATCAAAGGTCAACGCTATCCCAATAGCTGGTGGCGGGATCAATGTTTTCTTTGGTAAGCTTGCTACGTTTGGCCTCTCGATCAAAAGTACTGACAGGACAACAGTCTGGGTATGGGCCATACTATCTGATCTCTTTCAAACGAGATGGACCTTGATTATTGCACAAGGTAAGGAAAAGCGTCCAGGCAGCCTGGAGCTCCAGCAGTTTAACAAGTCCGTCTAGCGGTCATTGGGCTTCTGCCGGCCATCATCATGAGCATATGGACAAGACATCCCAATTCGACGCCCATCTCGGCTGCCTATGCCAGTTACTTCATGTCCTACCTGTGTCTGGGAACGGCGCCTCTGATTATGTCGTGGCTCTCTGATCTGTATGTGTTCTATGCCGGACCCAAGTAGAATGCAGCTAACGGAGACCAGCTTACCTCAGGATCCGGAAGCCCGAACTCTCATCCTGGGCTATGCAATCGCCGGCGTGTATGCGATTCTTGCATGGTCGCAGGTACTGGTTTGGCCCGCATCTCAAGCACCTTATTGTATGTTTCCTCCTGCCCTTCAACAGATGGGGAATACCCGACTAATAGACGGGCTGCAGACAAGTATGCCTGGCAGAGTTGTATTGCGCTCTGGGCCCTAGTCTTAATCATGACCTGTCTCCTTCACTTTGTCGACATCAGATATCTGCTGTAAGAGTTCCCCTAGTATATTCCTCTCTTATTCAATGTTGACGGTGTTCTAGACCCCGGAGACTCGCGGCGTATCCGGCCGTGATCGATGGCGCGAAGCAAGACGACGACGAACAGGTGGAGCCCGACAGGCCAATCGAGCCGGAGAGTGACCGAGTCGAGCGCACGAATCCAAAGAGGACTGAGGTGGAGGCCATCGCGTAGCCGATCGTAGGTGTCTCGTGGCCAATGGCTGACACTGGTAGTAGGCTGTGGCAGCTTACGCCCAGCTTTTTGACAGCTCTTGTCGGCGGCAGCTTTAGCCTACCTCAGTTTCACCACCCATTACCATGTATATAAACCCTTCCATCCTGCTATCGTAGTTCGATTCGGTTCGCGACAGAGTTTAGATGTTGTTTTCAGTTCCGAGAGCGAGGTCGATAGAGGCACGTCAACAAGATTAGATCACCGTATATTTGTTGCTTTCCCACTTTGAGCATGTCCAGCCGAAAGAGCAAGTGCCGCAGATCTTGGAGATATCGGTGACTAAGCTCGATTGATCAAGCCTTCCAGCCACCGGACCCCTCCGGACATGACAGATGTGGCTGTCACTAACAACTGCCACAAGACTTAGCTGGATGGGGCAGGAGGATTGCCCATGATAACCTGATAAGAAGATGAAGAAGTTTGAGTCTTGGGGAGCCACACCGACAAGCTTCTCTTCTCCTAGCTTGACAGACTCTTTGACTACCGGACCGGACAAAATGTCTCTTTTCGACATCGCGTCTTGACGGCTCAGCAATTCCCCCACCAGGCAGCCCGTTACCACTGGGCCGTCTCTTTTGTCTCCCGATCTTGTGCCGTGCTGCAACTGGGGATTCGGTTAGTGGAAGACGGTAACATCTGGCAAGCTTCCAGGCTAAGCATGGCGAACGCAAGCTGCCCCTCATGCTTCTCCAAGAGGCATTATCCGCCATTAGAGCGGGGAAAGCTTATCTACAGCGACGTAATGCCTCAGACTCATCCGTTTGACAAAGATCCTTCCGGTCGCCTTGTTTGTGCAGCGGCTGTCCTTTGTCTGTACGCCTTCCTCGGCTCATAATGCCCTCCTACAGGCTTATCACCACTGCGGGAAGACCACCGAGTCATGGCTGATTGGGAGCAGCGCTGCATGCCCCATCTCCAGCCCCAGCGGCAGCATCTCGGTGCCAGATCAGAGACAACCCGGGCTCGCTGTCTAGTGACCGGTACACCGGCTGCTGTGGTTGCTATCTCTGTCTCTTCTTCTGCAACGGAACGCACCAGAAGAAGCTCTGCATCCACTTACACCAGTTGATCGTCCCGAGACCACGTTTAGTCACCCAGACTTGTCATTCGAATGGACCAGGTTCCTGTTATGCGGGGATTTTGCCTTCCCTTTCCCTGGCCCATGCAATGCCATTTCGCCTATGAAGTCCCGCCGGCAAAAGCAGACATGGAATTGACGATCCCATAAAAAAAGACCTAAGCAGCTTTCCGTGAAGGATTCTGTCCTCTGTATCGTGTGCGATGTTACACGCGCCACCTTCCTGGTTTACGCCGTCCTTCGTGAGCTTCTCAAAGTCCAAGAACGGCTTTTTCGAATCGACATTCGTCTGAATCTTATCTCTCCCACGCCAACCTTCAAGGTCAAGAGCTTCTAGCAAGGCAACGGACTAGCTTCCAGGGGACCCGGCCTTCGCGCCCCTCCAACAACTTCAACTAGCGCGAACTTGACCTGCATTGGCAGCGCCACCCAGGACTCTGGGTCGTCGCGATAAGAGATACAGCGCCGGACTCTAGCGATGGTGGGGTCCTCACATGCAGCTGAATGACGTTGCGCGAGTCGAAGGAAGATCTCCCTTGAGCTCCCCTGCAGCTAGGCGTGCGAGAGCTGCGGAGAGATAAAAAGGACGAGCTGCAGCTCTCTCACCAGAGCTCTAGGAAGCTTCCCCCAGCTCTTTGTTCCCCTGGTGCTGCCACTTCTGGATCCTCTAAGCTACCATGAAGCTGCTTTCAGGTGCCTCTGCAGGCGCAATTGCTGCCTGTGCCCTCCTCCTGGGGTCTTTTGTTCATGATGTCGTTGCTAGCCCGGAGCCCAAGGCTTCCTGGGTCAGGAAGGGGAAGGGCCGGAAGGCGATGATGAATGTCATCCGTGGCAAAGCCGAGCAGAAACGCTCGGCTAACAAGCCCCGTAACTCATGTCCTGATATCGAGGCGACCGCTATTACAGCTCCGAAGTCCAATGTATGGGGCGAACTCAATGACAAGGACGCTGCTGCTGTGGTGGCATGGTTGTTCGCCCAATCTGACTTCAACCTTACTGTTTCCGAGAACGCTACGGAGTGGGACAACACGGTGTAAGTCAATTGATTCTTTTTAGTGTGACAGCCTCTTCTAGCACCTTGCTGAACCCTCTTCAGACTTCTTGTCGAGGCTATGAGACCGAACAAGACGGACGCTCTAGCCTACATTGATGGCAATGCTACGGCGCCTCCCGTCTACGCGCATGTCGTCCTGGATCACCGCGCAAGTGACGAGCCCTACTACCAGGATATTCTGGTTGGCCCGATCCCAATTGACAATGCTACGACTACCTGGCAGCCTCTTGATTACATCTTGACCAAGAAGAACAGCGGCAAAGTGCGGAATCTTGACGCTGATGGCGACAAGCTGTACAGCGATTGGCTCTACCCCATCAGCCAGACAGTTGCTGATATCACCCTTGACCTCTGGAACGGCACGGCCCTTGGTCTGGACAATGACACTCTCGACATCTGGGGAGTTGATCCTCTGTGGCAGGATAACGGACGTGTCATCCGATGGGACACATTCTGGAATTACCCCACTGACGATTTCGACGCCGAGACGCTGCTGCCCCTCGGTCTCTTCTTCAAGTCTGATGTGACTGGTCGCGACCCCAGTAAGTGGAAGCTGGAGGGTTGGTTGTACAATAACATCTTCTACGCCACCACTGAGGAGTTCCGTGCTGCCTACTGGAGCGAAGGATTTGAGAAGCTGGGCGCCAATGTGGAGGGCGACTGGGCGACGACTGACCAACAAGGTCCTGTTCTACCCATGGATGCTTACTACCCTCCCACCGCCGTCGCGCCCTCAGGATCGCGCTTCTCAGTCGATTCCGAGGCCAAATACGTAGAGTGGATGGACTTCAGCTTCTACATTGGGTTCCAGCGTGATACGGGCATTTCCCTACACGACATCAGGTACAAGGGGGAGAGACTGCTCTACGAGCTCGGTCTACAAGAGGCTCTAGCGCATTATGCTGGCAACGACCCTGTACAGTCAGGAGTGTCTTACCTCGATACATACTACGGTTTCGGCCCGTATGCTTTCGAGCTGGTCCCGGGATACGATTGCCCCTCGTATGCTACCTACTTGAACACGTCGTTCTACGTCTCTGAGACGACGCATACCCACATTGACAGCATTTGCCTGTTTGAGTTTGATGCGGATTTCCCAATGCAAAGACACAGTACCAGCAAATATGTCTCCGTCACTAAGAACACTTACTTCACCATTCGCTCTGTGTCAACTGTTGGAAACTACGACTACATGTTCAGCTACACATTCTTCATGGACGGCTCCATTGCAGTGGAAGTGCGCGCCTCGGGCTACATCCAGTCTGCGTACTACGCACACAATGGTGACTATGGTTATCACATCAATGATTACCTCAGTGGTAGCATGCACGATCACGTCCTCAACTACAAGGCTGACTTCGACATTCTTGGCACTGCGAACACAATTCAGCTCATGACCCAGGTGCCGGTGACGAAGTACTACCCGTGGTCCGCTGGCAAGCCCCGCAACACCATGCAAGTTCAGCGATCTTTCATCAACGATGAGTACAACAGTCGCTTCAACTGGGGTGAGAACAGCGCAACTCAAGTTCTAGTTGTGAACCAGGATGAGAAGAACAAATATGGCGAGCTCCGTGGATACCGGATCCTACCTTACACCGGTCTCGCCCACTTGACTGTCAAGGACTCGTCCAATCTCGAGAACGCTGCCCGATGGGCTGAGTTCGACATTCAAATCACCAAGCAGAAGGACACTGAGCTGAAGTCTGCACATCCATACAACAGCCAGGATGTCTTCGACCCACCCGTCAACTTCGAAAAGTTCTTCGATGGCGAGAGCCTGAACCAAGAGGATCTGGTCGTTTGGCTGAACCTCGGCATGCACCACGTCCCGCACACGGGTGACCTGCCCAATACTGTCTTCACCACGGCTCACAGTGGCATCCAGTTCATGCCGAGCAACTACTTCCTCATGGACCAGAGCAGACAGACGGTGAACATGGTCAGGATTGACTATTCGGATGGCAACACGAGCAATGTGGAGACTTTCGGCCAGAAGGACGAGACCTGCACCGTGGACTTCACTCCCCCGGAGAATGACCTTTACGGCTACACCGGTGACGTGGTGATTCGAAAGTTCCCATATGATCCGAATGATCCGTACTATGAGACAGATTCGATCGTCTAAAAGATCGTGCTTTCTGGGCATAGTATCGAGAACAGGCAAAGGCTATGAGGCCGGAGCTGAAAAGAGATAGTCCTGTGACGCTTGTCACATACATAATTCAACTAAAAAGTTAATATCAACCTACACAATCAAAAAAGTATCTGCCACAGAATTGCCAGTACCTTGAAGAAAACACGTATGATCATCCCCCTGTGCCTACATGCGAAGTAGCTCAGTCGGATACGCGAATGATGGATGTATACCCATATTTCAATTAGGCTGTCTCCACGTATCAAGTATATGGCCAAATCGCCCATTCCACTTTTGATTGCGTAAAAACCGGCTAATAAGTTGTCTTCTCACTACCGTGCGAGCACAGGTGTCCATGGCTCGCCGCGTCAGCCTTAGCCGCCCAGCGACGGAAATTCTGTGCCATCTTCGCGCGGCCACGCAAATTCGGCGTAGTTGTGCCCCGAGGCGGTACACCTTCGAGTGAAAGAGCGAGAGTGGCAACAGCCCTACCCGCAGCCTTGGAGTTGATTGTCATAGCTTCCCAGCTGATATTGTCCAATGTATCGCAGGCTTGGTGGTAGCAAGGGTCCCTTCAATATGATTAGTAATTATCCTTCCAGTGGAGTCACAGGTTTGGAATTGTTCTCGAGAGAAGTATCTTCAGGGCAAGTGTCCAGGTCTAGGCTGTGTTGTTGAGGTAATGACAATCGAAAAATGGCCGTGATGGGTAAGCAATACAGGGAAGCCACTTACCAAGGCGCACCATCGCCAGTGAATAAGCCAGCGGTCGGTATACCCAGGTCAGTAAATCCGGCATAGTCAGAGCGGCCATCAAACTCTCTGCAAAGGAAGTTAGCTGCTTTCTGAAATTACATGGGTCTTTACTCACGCATAATCAACCGTCTTGCCCTGCGCCACAATATAGTCCTCCAGAAGCTGCGGGCCAATACCACTATATTCATAACTAGAGATCTCATACTTCGGGTACGGCGACGCAATCATGTCGAAATTGTAGTAGTATTTGATCTTGTCGGCCTCGTCTTCTGTGAGATGCTCCGTGTAGTAGTAGGACCCAACCAAGCCACTTTCTTCAGCAGCCCACCAGGCAAAGCGTATCTTATTCGGGAATCCCTTATATTTCTTGACAGATCCCATGATCTCCAAGAGAGCAGCAGTGCCACTGCCATCGTCGTTAATACCGGGACCTTCCTGAACACTGTCTAAATGGGCGCCCAGCATGACTACGCTGTCTGGATTGCCTTCTTTAGTCTCAGATATTATGTTCCATGTCTCTCGATCTTCGGAAATCGAATCAACCAGAAGAGTTACAACCAGAGTCTCGCCGGCTTCTAACCTAGCGATCCAGCCAGTCGCCACATCAAGAGGTATGATGCCCACGGGAATGAGCAGTCCGATATTCTCTGCGCCAAGCGTTGGCGTAGCATAATCTGTGCCGGGATTTTGGTTGTAGAGGATGACACCTGTAGTAAGGGGGTAAGCGATTGAAAGTGGTGAATCTTGCCGCAATTTCCTTACCTAGAGCGCCATGCGCTTTTGCAAGCTTCAACTTTGTCGACACATCGCAGATGCCACGCTTCACTAGCGCCAGCTTACCGGTCGCATCAATTCCCTCCCATTGCTCTGGGAGGCACATGGACCCTGTCTCATCGTTGACGGGCGTATTGATAAGAGGTGCCTCAATGCCGTCCGGCAATGGTGTTGGCGGGTTGTATTGCGGGCTAATGACGAACACATCCTCTCCCTCCGGACCATGGACATAAATTTCGAGGGTTTCATCGTAGGTGAAATTGAATGGCTGAACATAGGTGTCCATCTCCTTACCAAAACGCGTCTGGGCTCGCTCTAGGACATAATCGACTGAGGCCTTGTAGCCTGGTGTGCCAAATGCCCTTGTCCCGCCATTATCCCGGCCGATCTTGTCAAGAGCGCGCAATACGCGACGAAGTCTGCGCAATTGGGTCAGTGAGAAGTCGACTGTGTAGTTGATAAGAAGAATGAGCCTACTCGTCGGTCTTGAGATCTGCTTCAACCTTGTCTGGCGTCAAAGGATTGGTAGCGACACAAATCGTCGCCAGCAGCACACTGGCTGCAGACAGAGCAGAGAGCTTCATGATAGCTAGACTTAATGACTGCGGGAGATATTTAGAGCGAGACAGGGAGCAACAGAACTAACTCCTCACGGATTCATGCTGAAGAGAGGCGTCATATAGCTTTTGTATCATTCTCGGACCGCAGCACCAGCTCGTATATTCATTGAGCTCCGAAAGCTCCTGCCACGGCGCGTCTAGCTCCACGCTACGGCCATGCATAGTCAGCATTTGTGTGTTGCAGTGATCAATATTTCCTCGTGATAAGATTCCGGTATTAGGTTCCATCGCGTGTGCTCGCCGACAATAAATTGGCCCAGCCCCCAGGCGGCCAAGCATTTTATGCGTCGCCAAGATCTCACCCACTGGTCCGACACCCGTTCGCAAGGCTTGGCCCGCCGCCACATGTAACCCCAAAGGGCAGGTGTCTGTAGTTGTGAAGGCTGGCGCTATTTGCCTCACTTCACCGCGAAGTGCTCTCTTTGCCAAGTATTGTGGCTTCAGCTATACATATAGACTATCACGGATCTTGTGACCTGCCTCGTTCAGTATAACAATAGTTAAGTAGCCCCAGCACCACGAGAACTGACATCCTATATAGCTCACAGAATTGAGATTCGGAGAAATCGTAAGTGCGATTGATCGTGTATCACGAAGCTGTAGACCATTTCCAGCGGATTGGCTGAACACAGGCCGATCGGTGAGGGAACATTGAGGGACTGTGGTGGATGACCCAGTAGCCAGTGTGGCTATTTGCTCCTCTTGAGCTGTATGAAATCAAGGCATTATCATGCTGCCGGTCTTGTTGGAGAGGTGAAGAGCCAATATGTAGTCGCGGTCGACTGATAACGACTTGACTCGACTCGATGCAAACGACGTGCAAAATCTAATCCGCCGTCTATGTGCCATGCCATGTTGAGCGTATAAGTGCTCATATGGCCGCGTTAGATAGTTTACATCTTAGATATCAAGTCGCGATTGATACTGATGTTGATATTCTGCTGATTGTCTTAGTGTTAGGACTATAGAGCACTCGTTCTACGGTTAAAGATCAACGGCTTGTCTTGCCATGTCTCCACAAACTGATCATAACTTCAAGGATCACGAAATCCCCGTGTTTCCTTTTCACAGTCAGTATGAAGAACAGCGGATTCAACCTGGTTCCGTACTGGCGTTCGAGAGCTAGGTTCATTGAAAACACAAACAGGTCTTCTCGAGCTTCTAGGGCAGATAGGAATGTAATCATCATAAGGGAAGAGCTTACAAATCATTCATTCGCTTCTTTGGTAGGTTTGAAATTGCTGACAACATTCTCAGGTTCGACACGCGCGTTGCTTACCGTGGCGACTCCGGGAACCGGAGCTGAGGAGCCGCCGAAGATTAATGCCGGAAAAGAAAACGCCGGGAGATAAGCATAATGTTGCCGCTTCAGCTGGGAAGTGTACCCAACGTCCCTGGCAGACAGAATTCACATTGAATATTTGTATCGGAAACAGAGTTTGATCTACGTTACTTTACGCCTTTTGAGCTTTTGCCCTTTCAAGCCTTCCAGGAGGGCCAGCACAGTAAGGATATGGCACCTACGGTATTTACGACGCAGCTGTAAGCGGCTCACTATGCCCAGAAATTTGACTCGAAGCCGTAATAAAACTCTAAGAGCCGCTTTCAAATATTCACTTCCCCAATTGATTTCTTATCGTTCTATGTATCGCGTATGTGGAAGATTCAGTTAAGTAATTAGAGAAGCTTCTGGTGCTTCTCAAGGCTTCGAATCTATAGCTCTACAGATAAGTGCGTTCACTATGTGAATTCCTCTAAGGACTTTAATTATTAGCCGTAGTATTACAGCGAGGAAAAGAAGAGATTTGATGGCCTCTTTCTTAGGGGGTGATTCGATACTCGCCTCAATATGCAACAGAGGACGCCAGTCTTCTGATTTTGCGTGCTTGACTCGGGCTGTTATCATGGACTGCAAGGACAATTTGCCCATCTGCAGAAAATGGCAGCTATTAATTGATTAGAGTCAGCCACGCGTCATCCGAATGGTATCGTGGCTGCCTATCGTTCCGGATGAGCACTCCTCATGATGAAATTTGATGTCGACCTCGGCATCTTTGGAGTGACGGAGCACGCTGATTGGTCAATCACCGTAGGATCAGAGAGGCTCAATATCCACGAAGCTGCGTCTCTCCCATTGGAGACCCGACTTTTTCATCATTGATAGCTGCATTTGGCGCATTCTGGGCAGAGTTAGACCTCGGCTCCATGGCCCCTAATGTAAATAAATTCCTGTGATACCAAGCTGATCTGAGACGGAGGGACGCTATTCGAGGCCCGTTCACAAAAATAGTTGACATGAGGCCATATCCTAGCACCCAGTTGATGCAGCCTTATGGTAACAAGATGACAAGTGTCGAATAAACGACTAGGATCAGCATGTAACGCGATTGGTAAAGGTAGAGCACATCAATCCCGAAGTTCCCGTCACCAATCACATGTACCTTGAATTTCCTTTACTCGTAGTCGCAACTAAGGTGAGGAGGAATTGGCGGTGAAATGCGTTCTGGGTGATGTATAATATGTCAGGCGCCGAGGTAGTCCTATATATAACGCGTTTACGACCCTATCATTGCCAATGGTTCCAGCTTGAACCTACATCCCACCTACATTGTTCGAAATTGTTCCTCATTTCGTATTGTACTAAGCCTACTCATCCACAATGAAACACAATAATGATGCATTCAAAGATTTTACGCTCCTCGCTGATCATATCTACCTTTACGAACCAGTGAAACACGAAGGTGTAGGCACTTCGACGACGGTGGTTGATCTTGATCCCTCTACGATCATCATATACGGATGGGGAGATGCCCAACTCAAGCATCTTGCCAAGTATGCCGACGGCTACAAAAACTTGTTTCCAACATCTAGGATTATAGTGGTGACGAGCTCTCTCTTTGATGCGTTCTACCGCTCGGTCGAGAATCGCTCAAAACTCACCACTCCAGTGATATCGGCAGCCTTCCCCAATGGCCTAAATGACAGTGACGACGGCCGCATCCTCATTCATGCGATGTCAAATTCTGGCGCAGTAACCTTCGTTTCTACTTTGCTTTCTTACACCAGGATGCTTGAGGAGGATGGGCAGTCTATTGGTTCGGGTCCTCTTCCACATACCTTACTCGTATGTGACTCAACGCCTAGCACGGGCAACTTCGCTATCAACGCAACCCGATGGGCACGGGCTTTGTCAATCAGCACAGCAAGAATGTTTCCCTGGCCATTAGCATTCACAAACGCTATGTGGTATACATTTCTCTGGTTGAACGAAGGTCTAAGACGAGCCATGGGGCTCGGAAATACTGGAGCATTCGCTCTCGAAGCTATGACGAACCCGAACTTGACCTCACATAGTGCTACTAGACTTTTCATCTACTCCAAAGAAGATGAACTCATCTCTTGGGAGAACATAGAGGAGAATGCAGCTATCGCAATTGGAAAAGGATATAAATGCCTCATGGAGTTGTTCGAAGGGAGTACACACGTTGGTCACCTGAGAAAAGATCCTGAGCGCTACTGGCGCTCTATCGAGAAAGCATGGAAGGTCGGGCTAGTATCTCAGAGATTCCGTGCCTTGCAAGTTCAGTGATGGGTTAGATGGGTGTGTTCGCCTAAGATTATCTCCTCTGCTTTATCGAATAGTATAGCGTGGACATCTGCGTCATTCCTGACGGTGTGAACTTTGATGGAAACTGAGGACGTGTTTAGCCTAATTTGCAATTGAAACACCACTTAGTGACTTGAGTGAGCCAAGGAACCTCAATTCTTCCAACCTGGAGCCTTTTTATGTGTAGTGGGGATCGTGCATGCAGAAACACACCGCAAGTTGAGATGTAATGGTGAAGGTAGCCGATTGCTCTGGGGCTTTCAGCCCAGATATAGATAGATAGACGAAGAACATAGCAACAAAGATGTTTTCTGAAGTTAGGTCCCACATACACAGGGTTCGAAGATGAGTAGGTGTAAACCGTTACTTACACAGCTTTATCGACAGATGATCATCTCATGTTTCTTTTGTTTCCCGCAGAGCACCTAGTTGAGATAAGTACAGAAAGCTCAAACCACATCAAGCTCGTTGTGACTGTATCAAGAGTGCCACGGAATTTCACCTCCGAGTTCGCCAAGATACCAAGGCTTGCTGATACGTCTTGGCCCTGAGGTCAAGGTCATGACTTCGAATATCAACCAGCTGTACCCCGCATACCATATCTGCTAGAAATCGCGACAACGATCCGTTCATGTCAAGCTTTTCGCCAAGCGTCAATTAACCGTTGGAAGGGCCATTGTCCAGAATGTCTACAGATGCCCTGGAAGAGTCCGAGCACTCCGACACCCAGAGCCCGGTATTGCTCTGATTGCGTTTCGCAAGAAATGATGATCTGAACATTACCCGGCTCGGCGTTGTACGTTTTTCTTGTGCCTGCCACTGACCATGAGCACGCAATCAAGTTATGAAGTAGTAATATCAAGCAATACGGAAACGGATATCATAATGCTTTTTAGCATGTCTACCACTGCGGAGTTCCTTGTATCCAAGACGACAGTCCTTTCATTTATATCCGTTGCAGTTGGTTCCCACGCCGAGCCGGAAGATTCGAAGAAATCTTACAATATTTTGTGGAGATTCTTGATACCCATCTTGGCATATGTGATTTGACAAGGAATGTAGTTCAAGATGGTGATTAGCAAGGGTGTCGTTTTCTCGGCCAAAAGTATAAAAAAGCATTGAAACGCCGAAGCTCATTGACATAGAATATTATACGCAACAACCAATTTTGAAATATCAAGTTAACATGGTTGCATTCTCCTCGCTTCTTGTGGCTTACTCGGTGCTGGCTAGTGTGCTGGCCGGGCCAACCGGAGGTCCTTTCGACAAGCGGGCTGGAACACCAAGCGCTACAGGTACTCATAATGGGTATTATTACTCTTGGTGGACTGATGGTGGCTCTGATGTTACTTATACGAATGGACCTGGAGGTCAATACAGCGTAAATTGGGGCGGCGGTGGTGGTAACTTTGTGGGTGGAAAAGGATGGAACCCTGGTAGTGCGAAGTAAGTACCTTCTCGTGTCTACCAAAGTCTTTGTGTTAAGCCACTGCTTAACTTCAACGATAGAACTATCACATATTCTGGCAGTTATAATCCGAACGGCAATAGCGTGAGTGTTGATATAACTAGATGTTTGCTCCTTTAGATCCTGACTTCGTTACATGCAGTATCTCGCCGTCTACGGCTGGACACAAAATCCACTTGTCGAATACTATGTCGTAGAGAACTTCGGGACATACAACCCAGCTTCTAACGCTCAGAAGAAAGGGTCTCTGACTAGCGACGGTGGCACATATGATATCTATGTCAGCACTCGTACCAACCAACCCAGTATCGAAGGGACACGGACATTCCAACAGTATTGGTCGATCGTGAGTGCTGCACTCCTATTGAGGATGAGCATGTAATCTGACAATCTTTTCAAGCGTACGCAAAAGCGGACCGGTGGAAATGTCACAACTGGCAACCACTTCCAAGCTTGGGAGAAGGCTGGTCTAAAGCTGGGTAGCCATAATTACATGATTGTTGCAACTGAAGGCTATTTCAGCAGCGGCTCCGCCACGATCACTGTCCAGACACCTCCTTGAGCTCAAACATCCCAGAGAAAACAGTGGCAATCCTGTGGAAGCTCGATCATTGAAAGAGGGTATGGCTCCCACAACATACTTCCAATAGGATCTCCGATGCCTATGGATAGTGAACACTATCCTGTGTAGGAGTATTGACATTCATTCAATCGTGCGATCATTCATATTTATGTTGGCTTCAATCCGGGAGGGTTGTTCTTCAAACGTTCCTATCGCTCTGTGACGTATACCCACATATCGTTCGTCATGAACAAACCCATGGCATTGTATATTCTCCAAGGTTTCTCTGGGTTCGCGAGACCCCAGTTGAAGTTGCGTAGTAACTATTTTATAGATCAGTACGCGATATGTCTCAATGACTGCTAGACTGTCATACCTCGAAGATAATTTTGTTCAATTCAAGTTGTGCAACGGGCTTCCCAAGGCAGTGGAATTTGCCATGCCCAAAGACAAGTTCATTCGAACGAATCATAGCCGCGAGCTTCTCTTTATCGCCAGTGAGCCAGCGCTCTGGTTTGAAGTGCTCCGCATCATCTCCATACAGACCCTTATCGTGGTGCATCGAGACTGCTGAGTATCCGATCTCGGTGCCGCCGGGAATGAAGTACGAGCGACCGTCGATGACGAATGTATCGCCTCCTGGTGGGACATCACGAGGAAAACAATCTGTAACAGGTGGCCAAATTCGCAAACCTTCTCTGATAACAGCTTGCAGATATGGCAGTTTAGCTGCCTGAGCTAAGGATATGATTTCAGGAGATGCTGGGGCATTGCCGATTTTGATCGCATCATCAATCTCGCTCTGGAGCTTTCCGTAGACAATGGGATTGGAAATTAAGTAGAGGAGAATTCCTCTAATACCCGAAGCTGTAGTATCCGATCCTGCCAGGACCTGTTCGAGTGCTTCGGATCGTAGTTCTTCCCCATTCAGCCCGTGACGCATGAATGAAGCCAGCATATCTGATCTTGCATCAATTGGCTTAGCCGCTCGCTCGTCGACATAGCGGTATGCTGTACCAATCATCTTTCCGTATCCCTTCGCGTCCTTTGGCGAAGGGCCGACAAGTTTAGCCACCCATGGGGTCTGTAATATCCAACTGATACCTACACCAACGCTGAAGTTGACAATATGCAGACCCTCCTCACTAGACTTGATATAGTCGTCTACGTCGCGGTCTTCTTTGAGCATCCCGAACGACTTTCCTAGACCAACAGTGCTAATGACATCCAGGGTGAAGTATTGGATCTTCTTTGCGAGATCCATCGGCTTGGTTTCAGTGTCGGTCGAGATGTATTTGGAACGAATAAGCCGAACTAAGCTTTTAACATGGCCATCAATATCCGACTCCAGGGACTGGTTCTCTTTACCAGAGTACTGTGACACACTCAGATACCTTCTTTTGAAGGAAAATGAACAGAGATCAAACCCCAGGTGCCATCTGTTTTCTCCTCCTTTCATGAGCAGCCTCGTCAATCTGACTGAAGATGTTGTCTTTGCCAGGTTCAAATCGAACGGCGCGATAGAACCATTTAGACCGTTTGTACGAAGATCGCACGGCGTTGACTTTTATCCAAACCTCGGGAGAGGATGTAATCAAGGTGTTCGGGCCTACCCGCGCGATCGGACCTGGCCTTGTGTTAGGAAGCCAGAAATCACAGACAGCTTCATCGCCAAGGCTTGCCATATTTTTCGTTGGCATCAGTGTACCATTCGTGACATTTTCCACTAAGAAAGGCGAGCGAGTGCCAGAGTTCGAAGAAGCCTGTTGTCGGGGGGCCCTTGATAGAGCGCAGTCTATTATAGATCATCAACTTCCTAACAATATAAAGGGCTACAATGACAGCGGTTAGAGTCCATTTGGATTCGGTCAATAGATTTGCAACAGCCATCTTGGGAAGGGTTGGTGAGAAGGGGAGGAGGGGAAATGCATCAGCATCTTTGCACATTATTGCAGCAAATAACCTATGGTCTGTGGGAGCGCCGCTTGTGGTACGGGCAGGTGGAAACGCGTCAGTCAACGCAGTGGTTGCAGATTCGGGTGGGGGCAGGGATTCGGGCGTGGGATGTCTGTTTCTCATCCCAAGCCAATCCTTCTCGTACACCGACATGCATCAAATTACCCCGCCTCGCCGTCCTTTGGCTACGGGTATGAATCACTGCGGCGAATGACTGAACCGGCACTCTGCTAAGCTGTTTGTATAAACATCAATCCAGCCACAATATCCATGGTAGCCTCACTATATTTTAAACTCTACAAAGAGCGACCCAGTCTCACCAGTATCAAAAACATTATGGCTTATTCTATATCTATGTCTATGTCAAAATCTATACAAATTCATCTCTTTCTGCCTCGGGACTGAGAGTCAAGTGCAATTAGACCTATCGATGATTCTCAAACATTGCAATTGAGAATCAACCGAACGAGCTCGCTATGTAAGGTATTCCGCGCGATGGGCAAAGTTAGCGCACCAATGCTTGCTCGCCCGAGATTTGGGGTGCTAGAAAATGGTGGCCGCTAAGATCTAGAACTGCTACTGAAGTCGGCCCGTCAGCAAGAGCTCATCTAGGGGACCCAATCTCTCCCGCACAAGTTCAAGCAAAACCTGGGAGTCCTTCTTTATGCTCTGTGGTTTGTCTACAATGCCGCGCTGAAGAATCAATTCCTCTGCTACCGGAATCCAGGCCCTGTGGAGAGGAATCACATAATCCCTGACCGCCTTCGATGGACGCATTACGAGAGTTTGAGGAATGGTTTGTATCTCCTGAATTGCCGGATATGAAAGCATCTGATTTTCATCGGCTTTCGTCAAACTGAGGCTGTTATACCAGTCCCTAGCCACCTTGATCCTTTCATGATATTGTTTGATTTTGACGAGACGCAAGACGCCTCTTAGGCCACTGATCCAAAGAATTGAAGCTAGCAACTCGTCACTTGCAGGTTGGGATCCAAATCCCCGCAGCGTCTTCTCAGGCCGACTATAAAAGCTGGGTGGCCTCATTGATCTTTGAAAGTAGGATATCAACAGAGGGAAAACCTGATGAACCTCCAGAAGCAGGTCATTATCATATGTCTGAATGACATCGCGCTGGGCGGAAACAAGTGGGTTTGGAAATTTCGCCCTCTGTCCAATTCGGGATGTTGCTATTGAGTTGACGGTTTCCAAAAAGTGAAATATCGTCAAGACGAGCGGAAACAACCTCCACAACATGAGATCTCGTTGTCGGGAAAACTCAAGTAAATCATGATCTGTTTTTCGCAGAAACATTTCCGTGGTAGCCCATGAGGTGATACGCTGACATAGTTGAGATGAGACGCTTAATCTTTGCCACATGATGGTTAAGTAGTGCAGATCAATATGCGATGGCTGTGGTGGCGGGTAAAGACGGAGTGCAAGGCTAGGAATGTGTCCATGCGACAAAAATGCTCTCGCAATATGGCCCTCATTTCTCATGACTTCATAAAAGTTCTTTGACAACAAACGTAATTTCAGTATATCTGGGACCGGAAGAAGTGAAATGATATGCACCAAAAGATCGCCAGGTAAGTCCAGAATCCGAATCCTGTAGACCGGCATGTCTCTGTTGAAGTCGCCATCGTTAACCGTTGTCTGTTGTGTATTTCGTCGAACTCTTCGTGAGAGCTTTTTACTTATCCAGGAAGTCTCGCGCTTTCGATTGTTCCCCCCGTGATCGAATAAAAGCTCTTGGAGCAAGGCTGACTTCGCTGAGCTTTCCCATGGTCTCAGTCCAGCAGCCGCGTTGAGATTTTGCTCCTCGGTGGGCAAGGTTGCTGCACTCTGTTCCTCACCATGAGTCGGCTTGAGTTCTGTGAAAAACATTTTTGACCCGACTTCAACCTTGCGGCGTGATTCCCCGAAGTCCGGATCCAAGCTAGTAGGATCGCCTGTAAATACCCTCTTGGCCGGCACAAAAGAGATGTCCGTGGTCATCAGGCGTCTAGAAATATCATCCAAAATGTCCATAGCAGGAATGATGTAGGCTAGCCCAGTGTGAATTGTCCCCATGACAATGTGGCCATGAAAATGTCCTAAGTGGCGATCTATCACCCCAGATCCGCTGTCTCCCGCGGCTAACGTACCATCCAAAGTAACGCGATACACGGCTTGGAAAACTCGTGTGTTCGGGCGACGCATGAACGACGGAGTAGCAGTGAGCTCCCCATTGATATACCCCGATGAGGCCGTCATTGCTGCCACCTTGATATTCTTTGTTCCAACAGTCGCTGGTTGAGTGACGATTAGTGTGGTTTGTGTACTATAAGGACCGAATGCCACTTCATTCCTGTCATGGCAATAAGACGGATCTAACTCAACCAAAGCGTAATCAGGACAAGTCTCGTCCTCTTCAGCTGGCAACAAGCTCAGTCGGCCCAAACACCTGAGTGATCGGTCTCTGACAAACTCTCTGCGAGAGGCTTGGTGAGTTCTTTCTTCCCCACCATGCCATTCAGAAAGCTCGTCTTTCCGATTAAGGTGATCAGATGTCAAGTCTTTCAGCGAGTCAGTCTCCAGTATATTGAAGTGATGCTTACTTTCGTCTCTCTGAGGTTCACCCGCATCATGCGCGTTTCTTGAAGCGTTGGAGACGAGGTCACCGTCCGTGCCGTTGACCATTGCGACCACAGACTCTGACGATTCTTCCGATTCACTTTCATCCTCGACATCCCACTCATCCACGTTTGACGCTCCGAGGTCCGAAGGATCGACATCCTCTTCGAATGGCCAAAACGTGTGGCCTGCAGTTAACTGGTGTACACGATCGTTGATAAAGAGAATAGGGCCACCTGTTGCAACTTTGCGTGGATGCCCATCAGAAGTACGCTTGATTACTTTGCGCCCGAAAGCATATGCTGAAGGGACAGTATAAACATCTTGGCCACCACCAGTGACTGGTGCAGGGGTTAGTGTGTTAGAGACACCGTGTGCGATATGGATGGGCCGTCCTGGAGCATCCCCAAGGTAAAATTCAGGATAGTTCTCCATCACGTGGCTTGCCTTTATGAAGCGCCTGATTGATCGTCGCAACTCAGCATCGGGAGAGAAAACCATTATTGTAGGTCGGGCTTTTTCAATCGATCGACCCATCATGTAAAGCTCGATAAATACTGCCACGGGTTGGAGGTCAAACTGATCGTTGACTTCTCGCATGAGCTTAGGCGCGAAAGCGATCCATGTTTCTCTGACTGTGCCGATAGCCTCCCAGCAAATTCGTTTCCCTTTCTGCACTACCCCCAGCTTCTCCCCAACCGATTGACGAACATCATGACCACTACGACTTCGCCATATTTGGAAAATATCCGAAAGATTGACCATAGGGCCTATTTGAAGTCTATTACCAAGGCAGTATAAGCTGCTAGTTAAACAAAAACCGCAGATGAAGTCGTTCGCAACACAGTCGATTCAAGTTTGGCGGGGGGCCAAAATGAGTGTCGCTCCATGTCGGGTGGTGGAAATCAGGCCCAAAAGAATCAACTCTGAAGCGCCGCGGTTGGTTTTGAAAGCACAGCCTGGGATTCTCGAGCGCAAAGACCCCGGGAATAGCTGGAAATCTCGTCAATGATTCTAATGAGGACTTCTACGGTTATCAGTCGGACCGAAGGAACATATGCAAGATCAGCCTGAAGAGAGCGCAGTCAGATCTTTAACTAGCAGGGCGCCTCGGCGTGGATGGTTGGACACCAAATACACCGTCGAAAGCGCCGAGAATAATGTGGCTTGCACCATGTTGAAATACTCCAACTTCGGCCTCTCTCGGCGAAACTAGTGCAGCCGCACATGTAGGTACCGTACATCTGCGTCTGCTGTGATGGCTTCCAAAACTCGGTGAGGCATTGATCGTCTACTCCTATTGGCTAAATCTATCTTCGCCACATCAATGAAAGCCAGAAAACTGCCTTGAACTTCACTTAAGACATTGATGCTCCGTAGTTGCCGCAGGCAGCCATGACGGTCTTGGGGAAAAGATAGATGTAGAAAAGAATTCTCACCTCTGGAACTCTATGCATCTAATGAAAAATGCTTAGGACAAGTAAGCTTCCCGAAAGCCTTCAATCATCAGTGTGAGTCGACGATGTCTCTCTTTGACGTTTCCGTCACTCAACCTATTCCCCCATCATTAGAATGCCTGATCATCGATCGCCTGTGGGGATCGCGACCACTCTCGGAGGACAACCTGAACCTCAGCACGTTCATCGCATACTATAATGCACAAAGTCAGGCCATTGGAGGTCATAACAGAGGAAGATATACCTTAATCCAAAATCACGGTGAGATTGGGGAAGTTGCCACAATATTGCGTAGCGCTGGCTGTCGGGAGGAGGCCCGGAAACTAATTTCGGGCTTTCTGAAATCTGGTGAACAAGAATCACTTGATCATTCGATTGACTTGGTGGCAAGACTGCTTTATATGATGAAGTTTGGTCAGAATCCCCACGAGGTCTATGGATGCCAAAGACCCTTAGAGTGGACTTGCGGAAGTCTGCAAGATTTTGTTTATGCACAAGTCTCAAGACCACGACACAATGTGGCTGGTCGTCTCAGATTAGAAAAGGCATTCAATGCACTCAACATTAATCGCATCGGTGGTATCGAAATTCGATGGACGGACAACCTGATGGATCACCTTCGAATGGCGGATGACGACAGTGCGGTCGCAATTTTTCATCATGCATCATATCTACAGCATCAACGATATAGGTATCCAAATAATTCGAATCATCGGGAACAAATTCTAATGTCTATTTTGGCAGTAAAATGTTCCCCGAGGGGTTTATAACAGAGACTCTAGAAACTCTTGCACTGCTTTTTCCCACTTACAACCAATCGACTCGTACTTGGTATCAGATAACTCGCTCCAAGACCTCCTTTCCTCTTGATCCCCATCTTCTTGACATAGGAGTTGTGCATGCAGAGAGGCGGCAGATCCAGCATTTCCATTTTTGGCATGATCGCTTAGTTGCCTTGAAGGAGTCGTATGACGAGGCTCGCCCAAAGACTCTTAAGCAATGGTGGTACGATAATCGCAATGGGGTCCAATGGTACATGTTCTGGGTGACTCTCTTAGCGCTCCCTTTGGCAATATTTTTCGGCTTGATTCAATGTGTGGAGGGAGCTCTCCAGGCATATAAAGCTTTCAATCCATAGGTTCGTTTCTACCAGTACGGGACTACGGCATCAGAACTGTGCTTATTCGTCATAATAAGCTTGTTTCAGGGTGTAAGCGCCACTATAAAGCGCCCCAGGTGGCACAAGTCGATCAGCTTGCGTAAGTGGTCGCAAGGCATGCACCAGAGGAGTTGTCTCTCAGTTAATTGAAGGCGGAGTAGGTTATGAGATGAGATGATAAGGTAGCCTATAGAGTCATCCTGCGCTGAGAAAGCTGCTTTACTGTCTGTCACTAGGCATAATAAGTCCTTTCTACATGTCTCCCACTACAGAACATACGTGAATCTTCGCCATTCAAACACTATTGCCTAAAAGTAGCTTCAATACTCACAAGAGGCACTGGGTTCTGTAAACCGACTATCATCGGGACTGTGCTACAATTACTTTGCCTCGCCTTCGTTTCGCTTTCTGCATCTTCACAAGTGGTATTCATATTATTACAATTTTACCCAAATTTTGTTTGTCATTCCAGACATAGCCTGCCTCGGCGTTCTCAGGAGCAAGCAGTGCCCCACTCGTTGCCATGTATTGCCCGTGATCTCTCGAAGAACGATCCCGCAAACTTGGAGACTAATGGTCAGTAACGTTGTGGAGGTGTGTTTAAAACGCAAAACTGGTAAGATGACCAGACTTTCATCCTGCGGGTCAATTTGAATATCAAACGAGAAGGTTGCCATCATGTCCTTTGCCTTTAACAAAACACCCTAAACTTCAAGCCTTGCGTTACGTACAAGATCGCTTGTCAATAAATAGAGTGACGTCCTCCCAATGTGTTTGAATTTTTAAGATAGGATCATAGGAATCACAGCCGGATGTTGGCTCCGGATTGAGGTTCTTCAAGCGGGGTGAGATCTTTCAGTCTACGGAGGCCTAGAACTAAGTCGATAGGTCTCTATTCGGTCTAACAGGGAGAGGTTCTTCCTCATCTCTAGGCCAAAGAAGATTAAAGATTATGACATCACTCCATAATCCTACTAGGACTCTGCGGCCGGCAAGTGTGTGGTTCTAGATGAAATCTCCCACACCGGCGATCGCCATCAGCTTTGCATGAATGCTTAGCCCAGTGCTTGCGATTTTGTCTCATATCAGGCGCATCCAGAAGAGCACGAAAAATGATTACATAGATGACACCCTTGCGTGAGAGCCGCAACCTCGTTTCGGGTATAACTTAGCGTGCTTTGAACACACACTTGGATGAAATATGATGGTTCACCACAACATAAAAATCTGGTCAAGAAAATTTTAAACAGGTTAGAGTAAGGTACGCAATCAGACAATATTTCTCTGAACAGAAACCAGTATACTTCAGTAAGAAAGTTTTAATGGTATCTTGAACATTGATATGTGTGTGAAGTGCTGTTGGGGTAGTATTCGGACACTGATATTGGGCGACGATGGCTTGTAAAATGGTGTTAAGGCTGGATTTGTTGAAGCTGAATTCCGGGTTTAGATAAGATCGGATGGCTTAGCTTCAGGTCCAGAAAGATCTATCTGCAGGCTTGAAAGTCTCTATAACCCATGTGATCGAGCGACATCATGGAGGATTTCGATGGGGCTCGCCAATGCACAACTACCCCATATGAATGGCCAGAGCCAGGTCAGACCTCCACCCTAGCACGCTGCAAGGCAGCATCTTAAGCATCTATCACTGATGGTATGGTGACCACTTGACTAGAGACATACTGCCTAGGTAGAGGTAGTGGGACGGGGATTCAGCGAGGCATCAACCGTAAGGCAACTAGACTCTGACACATATCTCAGTTCTATGGCTCATGATGGCAGTACACGCACCACAATGGCGAGCAAGGGCTGGCGAACCATGTTAGACTCGGGACTTAGCAGCATCGCCTGGTTCTGCCTAGGATGACAGACCCCTGCGATTCGCTGTATTTAGGCTCATACCCACCCGCATCCATGGCCAATTCCATAGCCCATTCCCAAGAGAAGGTCGTGCATACATCCCGGACAACCTGCGCACACCCCCTTCCCATCCTTTTTGGACCATCGAGACCATCTAACCTGATAGGACCTCTAATTCAGTCACCCACAAAAAGTGGGGGGGTTGCACGGTTACCATATTAGAGATACACCTCACCAACGAAGCTTGCATGGGTGCGTAGGCCCTTGTCCGGCCCCATGAACAAAGCCTCAGTGCTGATTGGCACCAGATCAGCGGCCGCAGCTCCACCATCTGTCCTCGACGGCGGGAAACCCTTGTCACAGTAAACGACTAATAGAATGTGCACTGTGAAGAATGTTAGTGTAATACACCTGAAAGGCTCCAAGTTAGTCTAAGGAAGACACTCTTCACACTGTATGCATGGGAGCGCCCACGCCTAGATCTGGTGTCATGCATGCATATTCAAGAAGGAACAAGAGCTATCGCCACTAACATTATCGCGTGGCTTTGCAAAGAGTGGTCTGTTAGAGCTTTGTACATACCTATATGAGGCAGATTCAAAGTTGCTGTAGAATGAATGACAAGCTTTGGATATATAAGTGTCCTTTGCCCTACAATATCAAGACTGCACTTCATATTCTCGTTCATCCTCTTACAACTTCTTCATCTGATCCCTAAACTCAACTACTGTCATCCCAAGATCCTACCCCTCGAATCATCACAATGGCATCTATCGAGAGCCACTCCAAATCCTTCGCATCTTGGAGGGAGGCCAACGGCAAGACCCGTCTTGACCTAGAGCTCTCTGCCCTCGGAATGCTTCGTGAAGCATACCCGAACCACCACGTCACTCGCACACTTGCTTCAAAATGCGATCTCCTTGGATATGCCAAAGCTGGTTTCGCGGTTGCAACGCCGGACAACCTCTCCGAGTACGACGCTACGCGCATCTACAAGGCTCCCGGCCCCCGGCTTGAGAAGAAGGCAGGCGAGATTGTCAACAACAGCAAATTTTTCCGATACAAGTATGAGTGGCAGGAGCACCAGCTCGTCGTGTATGATGTCTCGTACGTGGACCGCTATCTTCGCAACATCAAGCTACTGTTTGTGATCGTACCTCTATCATCAGAGGAGATGACTCAGATGCACCACCCCACCACTGATGCTCTCTTGCTGGCAGCAGGCGAGTGGACTCGCGAGCTCCACGAAGAAGTCTACGTCTTTGACAATGCCGAGTGGAAGAAGGACAAGGATCTCTTCAAGAGCGTGAAAGGTTCGTCGTGGGACGATGTCATTCTTGACCCGGCCATGAAGGCCGCGCTGGTCCGAGACGTAGAAGGCTTTTTCGACAACGAAGCCATCTACAAGTCTCTTCGAGCCCCGTGGAAGCGTGGCGTCATCCTGCATGGTGTCCCTGGCAATGGTAAAACTATTTCCATCAAAGCATTGATCGAGTCACTCGCACGACGCGAGACTCCTGTCCCGTCGCTATATGTTAAGGCATTCGATGCTTGTCAAGGTCCCAAGTGGTCGATCCAACAGATCTTCAAGCACGCCCGCCTCATGGCACCGTGCCTTCTTATTTTCGAGGATCTCGATAGCATGGTCGAAGAAAAGGTCCGCAGCTACTTCCTCAACGAGGTCGACGGGCTCGAGTCCAATGATGGCATCCTCATGATTGGGTCCACGAATCATCTCAACCGCCTTGATCCAGCAATCGCAAAGCGGCCCAGCCGATTCGATCGGAAGTACCATTTCAAAGTCCCGGGCGAGAAAGAGCGAGCCGCGTATGCACAATACTGGCGCTCTAAGTTGGTAGACTCAGAAGCAATTGATTTCCCTGAAGATTTGTGTCCAATTATCGCCAAGATTACCGAAGACTTCAGCTTTGCTTATCTCAAGGAACTCTTTGTGACTGCACTGCTGACACTCGTCCGCGGCGAGCTCAATGGACCCGACGAAGACACTGAGGCTTGGCAGGAGTCCCCTTCTGCAAGTGAGACCGCTTCTACTAGTGATGGCGTGGTAGTTGAGCGTGAGTCCGAAGACGAAGAGAAGGCAACGGAGAAGAAAGAGTCGGGGTCGGACGAGAAGGCTAAAGATGAGAAGACGGCGCCGCCCAAGCCTAAGAAGACCATGCCCGAGTTCGAGGTGCCGAATCACCTTCAAGGCAACAAGCTGCTGAAAATCATCACGGCACAGGCCCAAGTCCTGATTGACGAGATGGACAATAGTCAGAAGGAAGAAACTCCAAAGCTCGGGGGTGTCTGTGCCCCGACACCATTTCGTTTCCCTATTCCTGACGACGAGTAAGGAATAACAATAAGAGTGCTCAAGAATGTTTACTACGAAATGAAGTTGCTTTGTTAATATTTTCCTTTCATGATTCTCTATAGTCTAGTTTGCTCTAATCTATCACAAACAAGGATATTATTCTAGGCTCCCCGGCCTGTCAATGCAAGTTGACTCCCAAACGCCTATGCAACCAGCGACGAACCAAGCAAAATCTTGATAGACTCCAAGCCCACGCTGAATTACACTGAAAGAGGTGTGAAATATCCTACATCCTTGCTCGCAAGCATTCTACGCCACGATGATCTCACCAAACAGCCTCTCCACTCTCATAAAAGCGCCAGTGACAATGAGAACTGCACCAGACACAATCACGAGGATAAACGACTTCTGCATGCCCTGCGTGATAGCAAGGATAGCCCTCTCCCTCAGCTCGCCCGTCAGCTCCGTGAACAGCTTGCTTTGTGCGCCAGCAACGGCGTCATGGATCTCTTTAGCACTGTAGCCCGTGTCCTTGAGCACTTCTGACAGATACTGGAACGCCATGGACTGGAAGATCTGGCCGGCGATGACGAGCGCCAGTACTGTGCCGCCGATCTGGGACACATTTTGCAGCGAGATGGCATCGCCCAGGCTTTTGGGCCCAGCCTTGATGCCGGCGACGGCGTAGCCGATCTGCAGGGTGATCCCGCTGCCCACGGCGATCAGCACGGTGAAGCCGTAGATACTGCTTTCCGAAGTGCTCGGGTCGAGATATGCCATGAGAAGAGCGCCGCCTAGCGTGACGAAAACGCCGGAAATGATATACATGGGCATGTAGTACTGCACCTTGGAAAGCAAGTGGCCGGCCAGCAGATTGAAAGTTACGCAGATGACAACATACGGCAACAAGCGGACGGCAGCCATGAGGGCGGAGTCGTTGTGCACGAATTGGAAGTAGATCGGGATAAAGTACACCACCACGAAGAGGGTGGTGATGTTCGCGGACGTGCCAATGAAGAGGAGAACCTGCGTCCGTGACTTGAGTAAATGAATCGGAAACGCTCGTGTCTCTGTAGTGGTAAAGATGGCGAGATATTGTTGCAGGGCGTACACCACGAGAATTACACCAAAGACCACAAAGCTTGCAATCGTACGGCCATCATTCCAGCCCCACTGGCCGCCAGCCATCGTCAACGGGATGGTAAACATGACCCAGAGGGCAGAGTTGAGGACGAAGCCCACAAAGTCTAGGTTGCTGATGCGGGATCGGATTGACACCCCCTTGATGGGGTGGAGAGGCGGCAAGCAGAACACGTAGATCGGCCCCATGGCAGCACCCACCACGAGGTTGATGTAAAAGGCCCAACGCCAGGTGGCAGCGGAGATGGAAAAGGCTCCGCCAATGACAGGACCCAACACAGCTCCGATGCCCCAAGTAAATCCAATCAAGGTGATGTAGGTTCCGCGTTCTTTCGGGCTGGTGACAGCAGAGATGTAATTTAGGGCACCGAGATAGGCACCGCTACCTCCCATGCCAGCAATGACACGTCCAACGATCATGGCGTTCATATCAGGAGCAGCACCGCAAAGGGCCGAGCCGGCTTCAAATACCAGAAGAGATGCAATGTACACCCATTTCATATTGAACGAGGTGTACAGTGCCCCTAGCGGCAGGATGACGGCGACAGAGCCGAGCGGGAACCCAGCACCAATCCAGGCCAGCTGCTCAACATGGCCAAACTGCTCAACAACTGCGCCCTGGACATCGGCGGCGATGGTGGTGTCGAGGCCGTAGAGGAAAGTGCTGATATACAGTGAAAGACACACAAGTACCCATTTAAGCCCGGTGATTTGTCGAGCAGTCTCCTGTTGCTGCTCTTTGCGGGAATCGTTCGAGTTCAACTCCCCTTCCTTTTCTGGGTCGTGTCTACCGGCTCGACTTTGTGCTCGGCTAAGTCGTGACTCTAAAGGATGAATATGCTCCTCCGGGGGTTCTTGCAAGGTGGACTCATCAGAGTCGGGGATTGGAAGCCGTTCGACTTCTTTTGAGTCGCGAATTGAATCCATCTCTTCGATCACTAGACGGCGGGACTTCTAGGCAAGTTCGATGTCCTGTTTGTTCGTGTTGGTTTCTACAGGTTGGTCTCTGTCAAGCTCTTGATGAGCAGCCAAAGGCTTGGTGATGAAATGCTTGAAAGAATTGATGCACAACTTCTTGTCCAAACGTCATCATGGTCTATGTGAGGGGACACCATCCTTATAGTCTGTCTCTGACAGCGTGGAGCCATGTGGACTTCGGCATTAATAATGGAGCACCCTTGAGAGAGAGAAGGAAAGAACGCCATGTTGACAGACAACACACACGGTATATTCCATTTCGGGATATGCGACACTAGCAGTGGGTGTCAACGTTAGAAGGCCGATTGTTCAGCCCCGATTTGTAAGATGGGCCAATTGCGTGCACTGGTGGGCTTACCAAAGTACCAGTGTTAGTAGAGTCGACAGTGCAGATAGGCCTTGTCATTGGCGCTGGTGCTGCATAGATAATGTGCCCAGGATCTTCTCTTCCCTTCGGCGTCTGCTTAGGCGATAGGACTTACACTTACACTGAGCAAGATTTTTCTGGACTTGGCCGCGACAAATCAGATCACTGGAACCGAGGACGGACAATGTGCGCACACACGCATTCCATCAGAGGAGGTGCAATGCCGAATGAGTCGGATGTGTAATCCATGTGCATGCGACCCGACGACAATGGCCAGTGAGGATCGAAGGACGACAGCCTGAAACGCGGGCAAAGAACAGATACAGTGATGCTGCTCTTCGACAGCTGACATAGATGGCACTATTTCCACGGGCCATGCCTTTGTCGGCAAGGGATCTGACAGGCTCGCTGACTGAGTTGTGTTACAAACGAGGCTCAACGATTTCCCTAGACAGGGAATTTTCAGGCACTTCACCCAAACGGGACGCTCCGCAAATACACTCCGAAACCTCCTTTTGGCTCCGTTGACTCATCACCTTATTTACGAGACATCGTCTGCTTAACTCCATCTTCACCCATCGAAATTTCTGAAAAATCCGTCAAACCAGCCAGCGTATCAGTGATCATTTGCACGTAACTAGAGATCCAACTCAGTAAAATCCGATCACCAGCTCATTCCTATCTTCTATGAAGCAAAACACACACACACATTTCGACTGTCACACTTGGATAGATTTCGAACATTCTAACTCTGACGGTTGCTGCCTCCAGAGGTGATTGTACAGAGACAGCTTTTTAGCAAGGAACTCCGTGTAGCCATATTCAATCAACTCCAAAGCCTTGCTGCTGTGGAAATACTTTGTTACGAAATGCAAATTGTTGTTTGACCCTAATCACGCCTGACACAAGAGCGTCTGGGAGACTCTCCAGCGATGCTCTAAGACCGCTGCAGATCTTCACAGGCTATCCACAGTGTATCCCGGGAGAGGGAGTCAATCTAGCCTCAGCGGGTCGGCAACAGCTGATAGATCACTCATCATAACAAGGAGTTACTTGTGCTTTACTTAACCCCGAAATAACTCATTTCCTCTCTCGAAAAGGAGACATCTTCCACTCCAACAGCCACGAGTGGGATTTGACCGTGAAGGTGGAATCTTCATGATGTAATAAAAATTGCTCTATCTAGGATCCGCTTTCTAGGATGTGGTAGAGCAAATCTACCGAGAGTTGAGTCATCAGTCGTGCCATGATCTGCTTCGCATCCCCAGGACGACAAAAACAGAGTTGAGAAGTGTCACATAAACTCCGACGTTCTATTCCCACGCTAAGACCAAATACACGGGGCATTCTTCAGATACGGACAGGGTGCGAATCCCGCCTGACCATTGTTCTCCCACCAGCAATCAATGAATGCTTACAGGGCACTCTCTTCATGAAGTCATCCATGTTCCGCAACGTACACTCCGCAATCTCCGTGAGAGCCTCCTCAGTGAAGAAGGCTTGGTGACCGCAGATGATAACATTGGGGAAAGTCATCAGCCGCATGAGCTCATCGTCCTGGATGATATTGTTGGAGTGGTCGTTGTAGAACAGAGCACCCTCGCTCTCGTACACATCCAGCGCGAGGCCCCCTAGCTGGTTATTCTTCAGGGCTGTGATCACGCTCTTAGTGTTGATTAGTCCACCACGAGAGGTGTTGATCAGTAGGGCACCACGTTTCATCTTTGAAAGCGTCTGCTCGTTTATGATGTGGTGGGTAGAGTCCATCAGAGGGCAGTGGAGGCTGACAATGTCTGATTTCGACAGAAGGGTGTCCAGATCCGTGTACTCGCCCAGCTGCTTGAAATGATCGTTCTGAAAGGGATCAAAGGCGAGCAGCGTGCAACCAAAGCCTTTCAGGATTCTGGCTGTAGCAACTCCGATCTTTCCAGTGCCCATGATCCCAACTGTCTTGCCATGAAGAGTTCTTCCCAACAGGCCCTCCAAGCTGAAGTTGCCTTCTCGAACGCGATTGTATGCTCGATGGGTCTTTCGATTGAGGGTCTGGATTAGTGCAATGGCAAACTCGGCGACGGCTTCGGGAGAGTAGGAGGGCACATTGGCCACGAAGAAGCCGAGATGCTCGGCCATCTTAAGGTCGACGTTGTTATATCCAGCGCATCGTAATAGGATGGCTCGGACGCCGAGCTGGTGTAGCCCTTCGAGGACGGGCGCATTGAGGACATCGTTGACGAAGACGCAGACAGCGTTGGCGCCGCTGGCCAGTGCGACGGTCTCGGTAGACAGTGAGAACTCGTGGAAGACCAGCTCGACCTTAGGGGCTGGCGAGGGAGAGTCCGGGTATCGCGAGTTGAGCACCGCGTTAAGGTACTTCTTGTCGTAGCCGTGGGTGCTGAAGACTGCAACCTTCATGATGGCGAGAAAGATCTATCGTGCGGGGTGTGGAATTCTAGGTGCTAGGAAATGTCGTGAGAGATGCTTCTGTAGTGAAATTTTGGACTGGCTAGGGCTTTTGATTAAGACGGCGACGAGAATAAGACGTAGGACGCAGCAGAGGGAGCAGAGAGAAGAACTGTGCGGTAAGACGAGCTCAATCAAGGCCGATGATTAGAGTTTAGGCGAGCTGCCTGCTTCAGCTGTCGGCTGCCGATGCCATGCTCTGCCAAGGCATGCCCAGTCGCTCCTTCTCTGTCGGCATCTGCTGGGCCACGCCTTTCCCTCTTTTCGTTTCCTCCATTGTCCCGTTGGTTCCATCCACAGACTCTGCAGGTCGTACTTTCCATCTTCAAGACACGCACGGGCAACTGCTTGATGTTAAACATCGCGAGTTTACGTGACGTCACATGGATAATTTGGAAGGCGCGTGCGCGTCCGAGTGCATCGGATACAGCGGGGGCAAGCCGAACATCCGCTAAATAGATCCCCAACGGGGCAACTTATCACTGACAACCCCACTGTTATCGCCCATCTTTTTTGTTCTCAGGTGCCGAACCTAACCTTATTGAAGAGCCACCATGTACAGCCTGAGACCACCGTTATTTGCCTAGCGTCGTGTCTGAATGCCCTCACCCTGAGACAGCACTTGGTATTCCAGGGCACTGTTATGGTTGTCTTCATTTACTGTGTTGGAGGTTATAAGATGTTAAGAAATTGGAGTGCTAGAGACAGTCAGGCGTGATTACGCCAGATGCTGCTGGAACAACACCTTTGCTCGGTCGGGGCTATTAGTCACATCTGGGATACCTAGCTTATCTTTTTAAGTCACGGCACTAATGCGGAGCTTGAATTTAAACATCTCGAGCCACTCTCGCATTCTTGCTTTTGGCGTCTTCAAGTCAGACTTGTATGAAACATTCCCTGGCCCATGATGGCAGAGCCGCGGAGTGCACTTTTTGTCATTGACATCCAGAATGACCTGGCGACAGACGAGGCGACAAGGATACCGCATGCAACTCGCATACGCTCTGCAGGCGAAGCGATCCTGTCTGTAGCCCGGAAGGTCGTTGATTCCTACCGCACGAAGCAGGAGAAGTCGCCGTCCATCATCGTGTTCGTCCAACACGAGGAGACGCCCGAATCGGGTGCACTCGTTCGTGGGAGTACGCCCTGGGAGCTTGTCTTTAATCCGCGATCCGATATCTCGGAGGAAATTCTTGTGGCGAAGACAGTCCGTAAGTTACGACTTACATAGTTTGAGTTCGTCACTCATCTGATCTAGGGAACACCTTCGAGTCGAATCCCGATCTGGCCGACAAATTGAAGGCAGAGGGCATAACGCGGATATCTGCATTTGGTATCCAGAGCGAGTGCTGCGTTCAAGAGATTTGCAAAGGCGCCCTGGCGGCTGGCTTTGAAGTGACGCTTCTACAGGGTGCTCATTCAACCTACGACACAGGGGCAGCTTCTGCTGTCGAGATTGAAAAGCAGGTTGAGGACTTGCTTCGAAGTGGTGGTGCGACTATCACGCCTTGGAGAGATGCTGTGGCCATTTGGGAGAAGCAACGAAGGATGTGACCATCAGACGCTTGGGGGGATATGATTACAACATGCTAGTTTATTTACAGTATCCTGACCACCAACAAGCAGACGAAAAGCCCAAGACAGCAGATGTCTGCTAAATATCATTTTCTCCGAACCAACTTCATAGCTTAGATCCACGCTTATTGAACGACTGGCTGCCGGAGCTGCTGGTATTGAGGCTTCGCAGAAATCAAAATTAGTACGTTCCAGTGAGCCGCATTTTTGGGTGATGGCGTGAGATATCCCAACGAGAACCACTTACTCCGCTGTTGTCCCAAGCACTTCATCTGCCATGGCCCGCCCAGCAGCTCGTCCAGAGAAGATGCAGCCTCCCAAAAAGGTACCCTCCAGGGAGCTATACCCGTGCACACCACCGCCGCCGAATCCTGCTGCTTCCCCTGCAGCATACAGGCCAGGGAATCGCTCTCCGTTCGCCTTCATGACATTGCTATTCAAATTTGTCTCAAGCCCTCCAAGGGTCTTGCGGGTGAGCAAGTTCATCCTGACAGCAATGAGAGGGCCATGCTTCTTGTCTAGTAGGCGATGGGCCGGCGCGACACGGCTGCGACTGTCGGGCCAGTAATTCCGCGCATTGTGAATCAGCATGGCTTGCGCGTCTTTGGAGTAGCTGTTGTCCATCTGGCCATCGCGGGTTTCGACAACCTCCTTGATCTGCTCATACTCGAGTAGCGGTCCGCCCGCCTCCTTTGCTAGCTCGTTCATGGCGGCGACGAGCTCCTCCAGATCATCCCTCACAATGAAGTCCTTGCCATACTTCTGGAAGTTCTGGACGGGAACGGTGCCTTTCTTACCGAAGACACGTGTGAGTAGCTGCCAAATGCTCTTGTTGGTGATGTCGGGATTTTGCTCTGACCCAGACAGGGCAAACTCTCTCGCGATAATGCTTTGATCCAATATAAACCAGGTATAGTCGTAGCCAGTGCTGCATATGTACTTGAGCGTTGCTAGGGTGTCTGATCCAGGATAAAGGAACGGCGGTAGCCGTTTGCCAGTGGCATCAAGCCATAATGACGAGGGCGCAGGTAGTACGCGGATGCCGTGATCAGGCCAGATTGGGTTCCAGTTCTGTAAGCCTTCAGTATAGTGCCACATCCTGTCCTTGTTGACGACATTGCCGCCGGCCTTCTCTGTGATGCCAATCATCCGACCATCCACGTGGGCCGGCACGCCAATGACGAAGTTCTTTGGCACCACTGGCCCAAGACGATCGATCGGCCACGCAGCCTTGACTGCCTCGACATTTCCACCAATACCACCAGAGGAGACAAGTACTGCAGAGCCTGCAATCTCAAAGTTGCCAACAACTTCTCTCGTTGTCTTTACTCCTCTCGGAGAGTCATCGGGCTTCAGGATTCGCCCTCGTACACCGACTGCCTTGCCTGTGGTCTCATCCACAATCAGCTCGTCAACCATGTGGCGAAACTTGAATTTGATGACCCCTTCCTTCTCCGCCTTGAGCACCGGCTCCCTGAAAACACGGACAACCTCTGGCCCTGTACCCCAGGTCAGATGGAACCGGGGCACTGAGTTACCGTGACCATCTGCACGGCCATCTCCTCTCTCCGCCCAGCCGACATTGAACATAAACCCGAGCCCTAAGCTCTTGACATAGCTCTCCATCTCATCCGTCGCAAAGTCAACAAATGCCTTGGCCCACTGCCGCGGCCAGTGGTCCTCTCTGTCGCGATCGAAGCGCGCCGAGCCGAGCCAATCCCGCATGGCGAGCTCGCGCGAGTCCTTGATGCCCATGCGGCGCTGCTCCGTGGAGTCAACGCAGAACAGGCCGCCCAGCGACCAGAAGGCCTGGCCGCCGATGCTCTGGTCGTTCTCCTGGTCCACGATGATGGTGGGCACCTTGCGCAGCGACAGCTCGTACGCGGCGACCAGCCCGGCCAGCCCGGCGCCGACGATAATCACCGGCGCCGGCTGCCCGCCCGCGTCGCTGCCGTTGTCGGCCATATTGAAGGGACACTGTGAAGCTCACCTGCCAGTGTCGAGAAGCTGAGCTGTCTGCGGTTTGTGGAGCCCGAGCGGTTCGACGCTACAGTCTGCCTCTTTGGAGGTGGACAGTGGCCGGAGCGTCGCTTGTGCGCTTGCGCTACCTAACGAAGGTATGAAAGCCAAGACTTGCGGGGGACTGATACGTTAGTGGAGCTTGGAGATGGCCTGTAGATCTGTGGTCCTAACCACAACGCTCCCTTCCCAGATACAAGGAATGGACTTGATCAAGATGAAGAAGTGAAGCCTACAAGACGCATTACTGGAGATTATACGGAGAGAAAGAAGGAAAGGAGAACGCAGTTGGACGTAGTGCCGTCGCAAACATGGTCTGTTTCTGGTTGCTCGGTTCTGTGCCTCGGCCTGCAGTATTCGAGATGCCCATTCGGCACTCCGCGGACCAGACCCGATGGTTCGAGGGCGATGCTTTAGCGGCCGAGCCCCTCACCTCACATGAAGCCGAACTAAACCTTAGAGAACCTACCCCAGCATCCCCAGCCTGGCTTCCCCCATTCTCCCCCGTAGATATTCCACGGACCAATCAGACTTGTTGCTGGATTCGCGTTGCGATGCTGTATTCGGCAATGTAAGATTGGTGGTTGTTCTGAGGTCAAGAATGATTGGTGTGCCTGGAGGAGCAATACCCGGTCCGGGTATGTCGCGGCTCTGCAAGATGACCTCAGATTCGGGAATCATCTTACTACTTCAAGTCTTTCAAGATTCCATATCAGCAATCAACTAAAAAAACAGCCCTCAGCGGCACTTTGATCCATTCACGGAAGCATACTACGCAATCAGATCTGTCATGACTGCGATGCCGATGTCGATGCATTGAAAGTCATGAAGCTAACCTCAAACTGCCTACGGCACGCAGGCCCGCCATACCACAACCGCATGATCAATCGCTGCGAAGTGTGATCTCGCATTTCCCGCCCACCGGAAACATAAAGAACTGCATCTTTTGCACCATCATCTCGTCCGTCATATTTTTGCTCGGCTTCGCACCTCTGCACTCCCGGAAGAACTGGGCCGTCGCCAGACGCAGCTCCATCTTAGCCAGGTGCATGCCGATGCAGCTCCTGGACCCAATCATGAACGGATTGTAAGCTGCCTTGATCTCCGGCGTGGGGTTTTCAAAGCGTGTCTCGTCGAACCTGGAGGCTGGTCAGCAAATTCTTGTTGTCTCAGGGTGGCTTGACTACAGACACTCTACTCACTCTTCGGGATTGGGGAAGGCATTCTTCTCACGATGCAAGTTCCAGTTCAAAGTGGTGACCAGGCTGCCCTCTGGCAAGTACAGCCCAAGCAGAGTTGTTCCGCCGCGTGGCACGGCCCGTTGCAGCGGAGCTGCTCCCGGGTTGTACAGCCTCAAGGTCTCTTCGATCACCTGAGTGAGCAGCGGAAGCCGCTCTACATCCTCATCTTTGAAATTTGGTGGCAGCTTGGCGACCTCCTCTTCCAGTCTCTTTCGAAGCTCGGGACGTTTGACTACCGCCCAAATGATATACGTCAGGGCCACGGCTGTCGTATCAGTACCGGCGATGATCATGTTCGCCACCTCGGAACGGATTGCATCGTCTGTGAGCTCCGCCTTGGTGCCGCTTTCCGCCATACTGAGCATGTCACTGAACAGATTTCGACACTCGGGGCGTTCCTGGCGGAGATTTTCGACGGCGCGGGTGCCCTGGTTGTAGATGATCTTGTTGGCGCTTGTCATCTTGCGGAACGTCTCAAAAGGAAGATACCCGAACAGAGGCAAGGCCCGACCGAAAACGAGCTTCAGGATTATCTGCATCCCAGCATATTTCAATGCTGAAAAGTACTCGGTCTTCTCACCAGCCTCGAGCATATGGAACGACTCCCCAAAAGACAGCGTCGAGATCACGTCGCTGGTCAGCAGGTGCCACCACTTGTACACGTCCGCCGTGCCGAGCTCGGCATCGTGCTTGATTTGATCAATTGCAAGGTTAACCATCTGACGGACCGTCGGCTCCCAGTTCTCGCGCAGGGAGACCTGAGTGAAGGCGCGGGAGAAGAGCTTGCGTCGCTGAGCATGCTCCTTGGGGTCTCTCATGCTGAAGAGCGAGCGCGCACGGCCGCCATCGACAGAATCGTACAGCGGTCCCTTGTAAAAGCCACTGCCCATAGCGTGGATCTTGTGATGGACTTCGGGGTGCGAGATGGTGACCTCGTTCGGCGCAATCAGGACGATAGGCCCGTACTTCTCGTGCAACCGCTGTGTCCATCGGTGCTTGGATGCCGCGACACGAGTGATGTTGTGCACGAGGCCTGTAAAGCGTGCATACCATGGACCTGGGATATGCGAACGAGGGTTGGTGAACCCGAGATAGATAGTCTGGAGTTGTGAGTACCACTGAGGAGCAGCATGCGGGCAATGCTACGCTCGCTCACCTTGACAATCGCAAATGCGACGTACGCCGCCGCGGCGTACGCCAGAACTCGTGGCTCGAGAAGGAACATCTTGATTCGAGGCTCGCTTTCTTGCCTCTCACTCGCATCCTCTTCGAAAGATCTCTTCAGAAAAAGGCAGCAAGCGCGTGGCGGAATGGTACTTCAGTCTTATGGTGGTCTTCTCGTCGAAGCTGACATTCAAGCTTGCCTTCACTGGCCTAGAGGCTTGCTTACGCCGCAAACCCTGGGTCGGAATGGCTGGCTTGGCTCGGACTAGTAAGAGCCCCTCAATCTCGCTACTTCGATGGTGATATTCTTACTGGCTGCGAAGACGACCTGATCAGCACTAAGTAACCAAGGCGGCCGCGTCTCAGCTCGGTCATCATTTCTGTATCAGCCCTACCAAACCTCTAATACTGCTGAAATCCCAGGATGCAAGAGCTTTGGTGCGGCGCTTTGTCAAAGATGATCGATGAAGTAGATCTTGTTCAGCATCCCAAGCGACTGCATTATCACTACGTAGTTCAATATTTGCAGATGAATTGGTGCAAGCATCACGCTGGCGAGTCTTTAATGTGTTCAGTTATCGCTTCAAGTCTCGTCCAAGATTCCACTTGAATTGCCACATTGAAATCCTTCAGGCAAGTAGAACTGTTCGACCCCGCCAATGGTTGGTGACGACTATGGACAATTCATCCCAACAGGGCCGCAGCATCAATCCTTCCTCTATCTAGTACACGTACTGGAAGAACAAGTTCTCCTTGTCTGTCTCATCCAAAAAGCCCCGCTCGTACATCTGCTCGACACTGGCCGCCTCCCTTACGGTTCGTCGGGACTTGTTTCTCATCCACAAGAGAACCCAGATGCCAACTAGACACAAGACTTGAACCGCGATGCAGAAGAACATCATGGCCACTCCCAGGGGATAGACGGGGGCTTGCTCCGTCTTGAAGAAGAACGGGCCAATGAAGTTGCCGAGACAATAACCGATCAGCAACATGGCATTGGTGGTGATCTTCTTTGTGTGCCCAGCCGTGTTGGCCGTAGCAACTGACATGCTCAGTGTCCACGTGGCCGTGTAGGTAAAAGAGATCCAAAGGCAAGCAAGCCGACCGTATGGGATAGACTCGTCGATGAGCCATAGACCGAGGATCCCAGCCAGGAATGGAATGAGGCAGACAAGCATGATCAGTAATCGCGCATTGGGAAATCGAGAGGCGAAGTAGCTATAAGAAGGTAAGCAAATTACGTAAGTTATGATTGGAATCTACGCACCATGCAAGAGGGCAGACAATCAGCTGAACGGCTCCTGATGGCATCTGGTGGAGTGTCGTTTCTAGGGTTGTGAAGCCCATTCCCTTGATAATAAGCCCTTGGAACTGTTCCGCTTCGTTAGCATTCATACGCATCTTCGACAATTCAAGGACAAGACTTACGGCTGAAAGTCCACCATTCGGCGAGTTGCTCGTCACTGCGAACAGGAACAATAGCCAAGTCTTCAAGTCCAGCATAGCCTCGATAAATTGGCTCCATTTAAAGTGCTTGTTCTCAATTCCGGTACCATTGCCCTTTACTCGTCCGACCACAGCCGCCTTCTCCGTCTCACTGAGGAATTTGGCGCGCAGAGGAGAGCCGGGAAGCGCGAAGCACAGAAGCACACCCCACGCAGTAGTGATGGCGCCCCAGATTAGGAAGAGCAGCCGCCAACTAGCCAGGGACCCATCGATATGGCCGATACCGAAAGATGCAATGCCGGCAATAACATAACCGAGACCGGCGGAGCCTATTGAGGTCAGCCACATGTCCTCCATAGAAACTACTGTTGCTGAGCAGTGTAACTCACCGATCCAGATGCCCATACGGAGAGGTTGCTCCTCACGCTTATAGTACATGGCAAAGAGAAGCATGGTTCCTGGGTTGATGGACGCCTCGAAGACACCAAGGAAGGTACGAGCCGCAGCTAGCCCAGCAAAGTTCGATACTGCACCATGGCACATGAGACAAATGCCCCAGATGACAACCTGCCAAACTTAGCAACGCGAAACAAATAAATGCCGGTAAAAGGGACGACTTACGGTTCCGGACATGAAGTAGTTAATGGGAAGTCTTTGGAGCAGGACGTTGGTAGGGAACTCCCAGACAAGATATCCAAGGTAGAAGATTGCACCAGTCCAGGAGTACTCCGTACCCTTGAGGTGAACATCGGTCTGCAGACCAAATACGGCAGCATAACTGAGTGTGTTCTTGTCAATAGACTGGAGAGCATAGGTGATGCAAAGTAGAGGCAGGAGGCGGAGATCGATTTTCCAACGTAGAGCACACGCCGCCTCTGGCTCTAGATCCGTCCCTTCCACCTCGTGGTAGAGGTGCAGTGCCTCTACAGTTGCAGAATCATTGATTGTCCCCTCATTGAAGGACAGTGCCTTGAGAGGTGCTTCATTGTTGTGCTTTTCCGCCATTTTGATGCGAAGAGTCGTGTTGACTAGCAACTAGTGAATTGCGCCCTCAGATCGATAGAGGGAAAGACGTGCATCACCAAGCCCTGCCAGAGTTATATAACGCCGTATTAGATCACTCCATTGCTGAAGGATAGATAAGAACCCAGACAACGAACGATTAATTTGTGCATATCCTCAGTCAAAGCGCAGTAGTATCCCCACTGTTCGGTGATATCTCTTGGCACTTCATTCGAAGGATTGACCGGCCAGGATTCTTTCCCGCGGCCGATTCGTCTTATCTTTTCGGTCGCAAGGACCCGATCATGATAAACACTATGGTGTACTGACTCGTACTCTTCAATTACACGTGAGAATTTGCTCATGCCCGAGGATGACACCTTTCCCGCGGAAAATTGTGGGTTCTTGAAGCCATAAACTTTGAGCCAATCATTACTCGCGGCAGGCATTGGAAGTGGTGCAACTTTCGTACAACAAATGTGTCAAGGCTCAGGTCATATTACATGCTATATCGTGGCAAGGGCCTCATTTAATCGGCACTATTGATGAATCATCCCCTGAGAAAGGAACTCTAGAGCTATCCTACCATTCATACCGTACCGTAGCTGCAGATATGACGACTTCACACCCCTATCAGGCTCTCGACATTGATGAGAGGGTGAAGAGAGTATTATTGAGAACGCCTCTCATCGACGGGCATAACGATCTTCCGCAACAGCCTCGCGCTTGTTTCCATGGCAAAATTCACAACAATGAGAAGTTTGACCTGCAGAAAGGCTTTCAGCGTGGAATGACGGACATTCCCCGGCTAAGAGAAGGTTTGCAGTCGTACGTTTCTGCAAGTGACTTTTGGGACTAACATACATCAACAGGGGCTGTGGGTGGACAGTTCTGGTCTGTCTGTGTTCCATGCCTGCGGTCTGCCGAGAACTTTTCGACTGCGGAGTACTCAGATATGGCACGAGATGCGATTGAACAAATTGATCTCACGCTCAGACTTGTGGAATCATATCCAGAGACATTCCAGCTTGTGAATGAGCCTGATGACGTGAAGCGGATCTATTCAGAGGGCAAGATTGCTTGCTCAATAGGTATAGAGGGTCTGCATATGGCTGGAAACAGCATTGGAATTATCCGGGCGTTTTATCGGCTGGGAGTTAGATATGTGAGTGCGCCGCCGAAAATGCGTGTTTAGAGTTCAGAAGTCTCGCTTATCTTACTTTTGACACTAATGTTGATTCGTAGTGCACGCTCACGCATGTTTGCAACAACGCCTTTGCAGACAGCTCGACATCTAAAGTTGGGCCAGTACATGGCGGACTATCAAAGCTTGGGAGAGCCGCTATCAAAGAGATGAACAGAATAGGTAAGGCTATGTAATATGGCTCAAATGTCCAAGGTCTAGGGTCTGATGATGATAATAGGCATGATCGTGGACATCTCACATGTGTCCGAGGATTGTGCTAGACAAGTCCTAGACCTCTCTCGAGCACCCATAATGTTCTCACATTCCAACGTAAAGGGGGTATTCGATTGCCCACGCAATGTTCCAGATGATGTGCTGGACAAGGTACCTGCCAATGGTGGTATTGTGATGGTGACATTTGTACCTGAACACGTAACGACTCGGCGACGTGATGCTAAGATGGAGATGGTTGTTGATCACTTATTCTATATTGCTACCCGTATAGGATGGGACCATGTTGGTTTGGGCTCCGACTTCGATGGTATAGCAAGCGTCATCCCTGGCCTTGAGGATGTGAAGTGCTATCCTGCTTTGCTAAAAGCGATTTTAGATCGCGGGGCGACAGAAGAGCAGTTGGCGAAGGTTGCTGGAGAGAACATCCTCCGAGTGTGGAGAGGGGTTGTCAAGACAAGAGATGAGATGAAAGCAGAAGGTGTATTGCCAGTGGAAGACGTTTGGGAGGATAGGACATGGTGGAGATACGATGGGTATTATCAGATGCCGGATCCTGACCCAGAAGATAAACTAGGTTTAGACTGGTATGGTGTGCCCCCTCCCGAGGAGGGCTTGTATTTGAAGGAATAGTTACAAGAGTCACTAGTCTTTATGTAGCGGCGGCTTATGTAGTTGATATCTAAGAAACTCGGGGACAAATCTGCGTACTTCACTACCTCTAGAATAGTAGTAACGAGGTAAATACTAGGTAAATAATGTAAGTGTGTTGTAAGATCCAGCAGAAAGCCACCTTTGTCAATCCCTCGCAAAACCTGAAATATATTGGATAAGCGGTTTGCTATTCGAATCTCGAAAAGTGTGTATATTCGAGGCAAAAGGATCATGGATGTGCGGCTCAACATCTCAAAGGTAAGTTCTAATAAGAATAACAAAGTTTGTTGAGGAGTTATGGGATGTTAAGAGGCCGCGTCATTAATTCAAGAAGCGCAAAGCTTCTAGATCTTTAGCCCTTAAGACTCAGAAATATCAAGATGCATTTTTATGACTGTGGGTTCATCATCGATTATAATTACCAAAGGATGGTGTACTTAGGTGGCTGAGAATTACCAGCATCAACCCGATGCAATGCAACGGGTACTACATACCTAGGTAGAGGAGTAAATCAGCCAAGGCGCTAAAGTAACGCCCACATGGCCCGTCCCCATCAAGTAATTCTCACACGTATTGAGCCAAACTAAATTACTTTATCTGAGCTTGTCTCCTCTTTTTCCAAATTTCTCATTTCCGTCACTCCGATTACGTCAACATCGTTGAGAACGATGCCTCCAAGACGTGCATGTGATGTGTGCTACAAGCGCAAGGTATGTGCGTTATACCTCTGGATGCGAAACAAACAACCCAGTCAAGGTCCATGGATCAACTCACATTCGGATTGAATTACCCAGATCCAATGCTTAATCGTAACACCTGGTGGCCCTTGCGATTGGTGCAGGAATCAAGGGGTAGCTTGCACCTTCGACAGGGTCATCCCAAAAGACCCAAACAAGAGGTATAATGGATCAAGGAATTCCTCCGGTCAACCCCGGCCGACACCAGAGATACCTGACTGACCGGAAAACTTGCAGGAGCACATCCGATATCGTGCAGGCGCTCTCCCATCGTGTAGAAGAGCTCGAATATGCTCTTGAATCTACTCGCCGCACTCCCGGGAGCACATCGTCGCCCCAATCTGAAACAGGAGCATCGCCTCAAGTGTCAAGTAATATCTCCGGCGGCGTCATATCTATAGCCGCAATCACAAGTCCCCAACCGACCAGATTCCCTTCGACCTTTCCTGCGCATAAAGTGCAGCTTCCATCCAGGCAGAACGAACCCTCCTGCAAATTGTCAAGATGTCAGCTCGGCAACAATTGGTATTTCAAAGGCATAGGAATCCTTTCATCCCGTGGACAGAAATGGATATCGTACGGTTCTGGTCAGAGCGCAATACTGGAGAAGTTTGAGATCTTTGATAACCCTATCAGCACCCGGCCACGTCTCATCTACATATCACCGACAGAACCTAGAGTGCTCCCTCCCGAGTCTACGTGCAGACACATTATTCGTGATTTCCTGAGTTCGAAGACTCATTTAGTTTTTCCGGTACTCGACAAAGACCTCATCAACGGGACGATTGCCAAGGCGTACGGCCACGAACAGTCTGATCCAGGGGGGCAGGCATCAGCGCAAGCTTGTCTCTGGGCAACGTTTGCCCTGATTAATCGAACAGACAAAAGTCAACAAAGTAATCTCATACCAGGATCGTATGAATGCGCAGAGGAGGCCAAACGCTTGTTGTTTGTTATTAATGGTTCTGTGAATTTGGACAGCCTACAAGCCAACATATTAGTGGTGAGTTGAGCCGATCACTAACAGAAAGTGCTTTCCATACTCGTGGCTTACATTGAACAGTGGGCATATCATAAGCTCAAGGGCCGGTGTCGTGAGGCTTCGATAGCCTTGAGAAGCGCTTGCCGTATCGTTTGTGACCTTGGTGGACATCTGCTCCTGACAAGGCTGCCTTTTCCGCCCCAACATGTCCCAATCTTCGACGAAATCCCAAGTCAACACATTCGGAGACTGTTCTGGCTATGCTACTGCTTCGACAAGGATGCCTCCCTTCGCACTGGCAGTCCGCCACTACTCACCCGCGATTACTGCGAGGTAGATGACCCCGGGGAATGGATAAACCAGACGTATTGGTCCAATCAGTCGCAAGATGTTTACCTGGCAAAGATCAAAGAAAATGCGAGCCGCCAGCTGTGCTCGGCCCGGGCTTTCAAATACACTGAGGGTGAACTCTTGTCTGAGGTCCGACAACTTGACGACGAGCTTGAGGAATGGCGATTATCGATTGAGCCACCATATCGTCCCAGGCTTACCATTCCAGCAGACATGCCATTATCTGCTCCATCAAATTTGACTCCCAAAAATTGCACGCGCTTCATCAATTTGCAGCTCGATTACCTTTTCACCATGATATACATTCATACGACCGTCAGGAAATGTGGTGATTTCGAGAGAAATTTGCCCGATGACCTGCACAGCGTAGTGCACTCGAGCGCTGACCTGTCGCTAGAAGCCAGCCGTTCAATCTTCCGCTTCCTAGAAGTCGTGGTGGACTTCTGGAAGGAGGAATCCGTATGGATTCTGTCACATTATACACCAATAGCTGCCATGCCTCTCTTTGTTAATATTTTAATACACCCTGTGGGAAACCCAGCAGATGATGACCTGCAAATATTGGCATCAATTAGCAAAATCACGCGCAATATTCCAACAGAAAGTCTCTCTAAGGAGGATATAGAGCAAGTGCAAGCAATTGGCGAATTCGTAATTGAGCTCATTCAGCTTTGTCACAGTGCGGCTTGGAAGGTTAAAAAAGGAGAAAGGGAGCATGATCTTGATATAATTCACCCGTAGGAGAGGAAGGAGTGTGTGGCGGGCAGCTTTTTGACCTTATCAGCACTGAACTTATACTTAACCGCGAGTACATGGATATCACGGCACCTGGTAGGGCTGGATTATTTTAGAAAAATGCCTGAGCAAGGTTCTCGCGCAGCATTTGGCGTCGTAGCCTCTGGACTGGACTGAATCTATGGCGTAAGCTTCTACCCCGACCCACAAAAAATCACCGAAACGCAACATGTCTAAATATCCTCGTTCCATCCCATTTCCCTTGCCTACCCCCAAGAGAATACTCATGCATGATTATTATTGTTCTGCGATATAATTTTGAACAAACAACCCCGAGTCTATGTGATAGCAAAAATCAGAATGGTATGTTTCTTTCATCCTCCTCAACAAACACATAATGCATGATCGTGAATGGCTGTTGATTAACACTCGATATAGCAGGTCGACTCGTCTAAAGGAGAGGCAAGCTCCGAAATCAGGAACGCATTCTCATTCTTTGTTCGTCATTTCTCATCTCCCGGCTTAGGTACCTCAAGCTGTGCTAACGGAGGCTGCTGTAGGACAAAGATGGCGATGGTAAATCCCCTTGACAGTGAAATGTTCCTCCAGACACTACCCTTTTCAACAATTCAGCATAGCGATTCGCACGAGTTTGACGAACAGAGCATTCATACATAAAGATATGAATGAAGGAACAGCTGTCTTCACACATGCTAACTCTCAATATTAGGGCTAATCACTGTTGAGGAACTGGGCACGGTAATGCGGTCACTTGGGCACAATCCATCAGAAAGCGAGCTTCAAGACATGATCAATGAAGTCGACGCGGACAACAATGGCACGATTGACTTTGCTGGTATGACACCTAGCAGGAATTTAGTTTATAAAAGCACAGAATTTGACTAATATGCTATTTGCAGAATTCCTAGTTATGATGGCCAAGAAAACGGAAGATACGGATATGGAGAAAGAACTTCACGAGGCATTCAAGGTTTTCGACCGTGACAACGACGGCTTCATCTCCGCTGCAGAGCTACGCCATGTTATGGCCTCCCTTGATGAGAATCTTACGGATGCCGAGATCGATGAGGTTATTCGGGAGGTGGACATGAACGGCGATGGTCGTATTGATTGTAAGATAATTAGAAGACCGGCGGGATAAGAAAACGTGGCTGACAATACCATAGACGAGGAGTTTACTCATCTGATGATACACAGGTAGACAGTACCTCTCTCGAGGTTTTACTGCAACATTATCAAACTAGAATCCCGGAAGGGCCGGGATACTCAACACAGCGCTTCGTTGTTAGTCACAATAGCTACAGCAAATGGAAAGGCTCCACGACGTAGGATACCCCTCGCCTGTGCTTGATTATGTCTAGCAGAAGTGGTGCTAGCGTTTAGGAATGCTTATACGTAAAGAACAAGACGGTGTGCAAAAATGTAGAAGATCACACCCTTTGCTGAACTCTGTGGGGGCGTTCCCAACCCCATCTCGCTAAACAAGGAGGAGGCTCTAAAAGTGGGACGGAAATCAATATCTCCGCTTACATCAGCGGAGATGGAAAGCGAGACCCCCACCAACAACCCCGGCACGGGATGCCTTAGCCAAATTCTTGGGGGAATCAGATTAGATTAGATGAGACAAATGGAAATTTCCAAGATTCGGGGTGTTCTTTTCGGTGTACCTTGAAGCTGAAAGTCTTGGCAAAAGTGAATGATTTGTCGGTAACTCAACCGAAGCGAGTTACATAAGCGGAGGCGGAAGTGAGGGATTCCGTTGGCATCGAGCTGATGCAAATATCATCATCCACTTCCAGCGTCCATCCATATTTGTCTTGCCTTTTTGGTCTTGCACAGCCTCCTGTAAAGCTGGCTTTTTGAGGACACCAAACGGCCAAGGCATCGGTATTTTTCTTTTGCGCGATTTCCAGTGCATACTTACCGTCAATTCATCCAAAAATCTGCGCAAGAAGCCTCATGGCAATGTATGACATACTGGCGGTAACTTAGTCGCGACCCCTCAGTATCTCGTAATGGTTACAATCTGCCGTGCCCGTGCCCTTGCTGCCCAGATATGGGTCGTGAAATCTATCAATGGGGCAAAGTAGTTGAGTTTCACCGACGGCTTGTCTCAACCCTCACAGGTTGATCTGAACAATATAATAGTCTGGCAAGAATCTCGTGGACCTCTACTCCAGGCTCTTCACACATGATTTTATGCCCACTACTTTTTCTACTACAACATGGCAGGCGACTTACTTGATCCAAAGGCGTTGCTGGATCCACGCCAGCGATCGCTGAGTGACGCGAACACCATAGTATCTACCGGACCCTCGATCACGACTGTCAATGGAACTACGGCTGCGCCGAGTTTCGTCGACGCCGACCCAAAGCAAGCCCTTGCACCAGATCCCGGTACCGAAGCCGATTTCGAAGTTGCCAACAATCCTTTCGATTACAGTCCTGGCCAGCTGAACAAATTACTCAACCCAAAATCTCTAGATGCACTCAGAGCTTTGGGAGGCCTCGAGGGCCTCGTCCGTGGACTTCACACTGACATCAGCACAGGCCTGAGTGTTGACGAGGTCGGCGACCAGCTCAACTCCAGAGGCCCAGCGGCAGAGAGAATTCGCGTGTACGGACGCAACCAGCTTCCTCCGAAGAAGCCGAAGTCGATTTGGAAACTGGCTTGGATCACGTTCCAGGAACCAGTCCTTCTCTTGTTGACCGTGGCCGGTGTCATCTCTCTTGCGCTTGGTCTCTACGAGACCTTCGGTGTCGCCCAAGAACCTGGCGATCCGACTCCAGTTGACTGGGTCGAGGGTGTCGCTATTCTTACAGCCGTTGCCATCGTTGTAGTAGTCGCGTCACACAACGATTGGCAGAAGGAAAAGGCCTTTGTCAAACTCAACACCAAAAGAGACAGTAGGGACGTCAAGGTACTGCGATCTGGCAGGTCCATGCTCGTCAACACTGGGGAAGTCCTTGTCGGAGACATTCTACACCTTGAGCCAGGTGATGTGGTACCTGTCGATGGTATCTTTATTGATGGACATGGCGTCAGGTGCGATGAGTCATCTGCGACTGGCGAGTCGGACGCAGTAAAGAAAACTGCTGCCGCAAAGGCCATGGAGCAAGAATCCATGGAAAAAGGAACAACAGATATTGACCCCTTTATCATCTCCGGCTCAAGGGTCACCGAGGGTAAGTGAGCTCATATATAAGTTGAAAACTTGCTAATTTCTTAGGCATGGGTACCTTTCTCTGTACCTCAGTCGGTGTGCACAGTAGCTTCGGAAGAATCATGATGTCAGTTCGGACAGATATCGAGTCAACGCCCCTACAGAAAAAGCTAGAAGGCCTAGCCATGGCAATTGCAAAACTTGGCGGGGGTGCTTCCTTGCTGATGTTTCTCATCCTCCTATTTCGCTTCTGTGCCAATCTCCCAGGAGACAATAGGTCGCCGGAAGAGAAGGCGTCCACCTTTGTCGATCTCTTAGTGGTAGCTATCGCTATCATTGCTGTTGCTGTCCCGGAAGGCCTCCCTCTTGCTGTAACTCTAGCTCTCGCATTTGCCACAACCCGGCTTCTCAAGGAAAATAACCTTGTCAGAGTGCTTAGAGCATGTGAGACCATGGGTAACGCCACTTGTATCTGCTCAGATAAGACAGGAACTCTTGTATGTCCATCTAAGATATTAATATGTTGCTAGTTTAACTAATTACTTGGCAGACTACTAACAGGATGACTGTCGTAGCCGGCCTGTTTGGTGCTTCAGAATTCTTCTCCGATGTCACTTCATGGGCCAAATCCTTATCCAAGGACGTCATGAACCTCATTGTTCAATCAGTTACAATCAACTCCACCGCATTCCAGGGTGAGCAGGACGGAGTCACTACATTTATCGGATCCAAAACGGAGACTGCTCTACTGGAGTTTGCCAAGGATCACTGTGGTCTTCAATCTCTATCGGAGGCCCGGGCCAACGAACAAGTCGTCCATATGGTGCCATTTCAGTCCGCTAAGAAGTACATGGCCGCCGTCATCAAGGCGCCATCGGGATATAGACTTCTTGTCAAGGGCGCTTCCGAAATTGTTCTCGGCTTCTGCTCCACCCAACTAAACGCATCAACGGGTGACGTCGAACCCCTGGACCGCAAGCGTGCAGAGGACGCTATCGCTGCGTATGCGCGCAAGTCTCTTCGCACAATCGCAATCGTGTACAAGGACTTCGAGCAAGACCCCGACGTTGAAAGCCTAAGTAACCTGACCTTGCTCGGTATTGTTGGGATACAAGACCCTGTTCGCCCTGGTGTTCCTGCAGCCGTACAAAATGCTAAACGAGCTGGCGTTACGACACGTGTAGTGACAGGAGACAATATAGTCACTGCTCAGGCTATTGCTACAGAATGTGGTATCTTCACGGATGGTATCATCATGGAGGGACCCCAGTTTCGTCGCTTGTCCGACAAAGAGTTTGATGAAGTCATCCCCAGGCTCCAGGTTCTTGCCCGTTCGTCTCCTGAGGATAAACGTATTCTAGTTACCCGTCTCAAAGCCCTTGGGGAAACCGTGGCTGTGACAGGCGACGGCACAAATGACGCACCAGCACTCAAGGCTGCCGATATTGGTTTCTCTATGGGTATTTCAGGTACTGAGGTAGCCAAGGAAGCATCTGAAATCATCCTCATGGATGATAACTTTACCTCGATTGTCACTGCACTCAAGTGGGGACGAGCTGTTAATGATGCTGTTCAGAAGTTCCTTCAAGTGAGTTTCTCCCGACTCGAAGCTCAAACATTCTGGCTGATCTTCGAATAGTTTCAAATCACTGTCAACATTACTGCGGTGATTCTCTCGTTCGTGACGTCTATGTACGATCATGACATGCAACCCATTCTGAAAGCCGTACAGTTGCTCTGGGTAATTCTATCCGCCTTGTTACACCTGTAATCAATTGTTAACTTTAATATAGATCAACTTGATCATGGATACTATGGCTGCGCTGGCATTGGCAACCGATCCTCCGACAGATGCCATTCTTGACAGACCCCCTCAACCAAAGTCGGCGCCGCTCATCACTGTAAACGTAAGTTTCCTGTCATTTGCCACCGCACAGTCTGTAACATCAGCTCACCTCTATAGATGTGGAAAATGATCATCGGTCAATCAATCTTCCAACTTGTCGTTGTTCTTGTCCTTTACTTCGCAGGCGGACAGATATTGCGCTATGACATTAACATCCCTGATGAGAAGCTCCAGCTCGACACCATTATCTTCAATGTCTTTGTCTGGATGCAGATCTTCAACGAACTGAATTGTCGTCGACTGGATAACAAGTTCAATGTCTTCGTCGGCGTGCATCGGAATTGGTTCTTCCTCGCTATCAATGCAATCATGATCGGGCTACAGGTTGGTATAGTATTTGTTGGTGACCGAGTGTTCGACATTCATCCTGATGGTCTGAATGGCACACAATGGGTCATCTCTATACTTATCGCTGCAATGAGCCTGCCTTGGGGAATTGTTGTGCGCATCTTCCCTGATGCATGGTTTGCAAGTGTGGTTGCATTCGTGGCACCACCTTTTGTTACATCATACAGCCTGATGACCAAGGGTTTCCGCAAAATTGGCGCGTTGTTCAAAAAGACTAAACCTACCAACTTAGTTCTAGAAAAGTAGTTGAAGTGCGAATGAATTAAATGATAGCTCAGTGTCAATTCTCGGTCTGCGTAGAGAGACCATGCCGTAAACCTTATTCTCAGGAACAATGATACCCGTGCAACTATGATTTAGATTGGTTAGATCTGCCTAGACTTTCTGTTTGTTCATACCTAACGTACGCTCATGTAATGGAAACGATGATCCCTTAACTGTATAATAGAAAAGTCTATCTTGGCAAAAAACCTTTCCATAGCTCACATCGTCTAAGTGTCAATAAGTCCCTGGAGCAGATACAGCAAGAACTTGCAAAGGTAATGCTATAATATCTTGATACCAACATTCTGCTCGACGTTGTCTGGCCAGTATTTCTACCGATACCTCTTGCGATATGATGTTCGCCTCCTGATCTCGGCTAATCCTTTTACGACAACAATATTGGTCTCAAGGATATCATGATTCGCTGGAATACATTATTTTGACAGGTATTTACTTATGAGATGTATCATTTACAAGACTTCTCCCCCAGATGCTTGGTACTTATACTGAGGTATGTCGCCTTGCTTGCATTCCCAAGCGTGTTTATGTAAGGCAAACGTCTCATGGTCAGGCGCAGGGATACGTGGAAATATCCCCATTTTGATAAAAACCAAACCCTTAAAGGATGGAACGATAGATCTTATTGGGCTAGAGCAAGACTCAATAACTAATCGTAGAATCTTTCACGGATGATGAGATGACAGACCTTCCACAGCGAGAGCAGAACCACCGTCCTATTGGTGTTCCACTTGAGGTGTTTTTGTCCAAGAACTCGGTTAGGGTACTGTCCCGGTCTTTTATCCGTACCTTTCCTTCCTCCAGAATGAGGTTGATAGACGCAAAGCTTCCAGATGCTTTTTGACAATTCACGCAGTGGCAAATGTAACTATGGCTGTGACTGAAGAGTTCAGGGTCATTGATGATAACGTGAATAGAACCGCAGAGACAGCTTCCTCGCAAGCTGTCCGTGAAGGTGGCCAGATCATGTTGGTTCTCCCTAACACTCTGTTGCTCCATAATGATGGGAAAGGGCGCTTTAGGTCACTGGGAGATGTCTGTGGATTGGTGCGAGTTTGGTATGGTTTTAACCAGGAAATCAAGAAGCTACCCCACTGGATTATATAGCTAAGTCTGGAGATAGATATGGGCTAGAAGAAACAGACAGCTTAGATTGTATTGGCTAACGAGTCTAGTCAATGGGCCCTGACGCCTCGGACTTCAATTCTGGAACCTGCTTGTTGTTGCGTGGGAGAGATGCCATTTGGATGGGAGTCGTATAAGTGGGGCGACCGAGGTTCGCATTAACTACCCGAAATGATCATGTATAATGGCCTGGCTGCTGTTTATCGCAGTACGTGGTCTCCGGATCATCGCTCTATAGTTGTATTCAGCCATCCATAATCGAAGTGTTATTTCAGTAATAGACAGCTGAAAATTATCTACAGCACAGCCTTCAAGATCCTATAGCTCTCATAGAAAAGCAACCCGGCGTTGTACTTGTCGTCGTTCAAATTTATACGCAAATGATATATGTGATTGCTGTAAAACGTCATTAGCCTCCGTACCCTCAAGGGCTTCTGGTCGAATTCTACTCGCACGACTTACCGAATTTATCAGCAACCTTTAGAGGCCGCGATTTATTGGGTCACGTAGTATATACCACTTCAGGTGACTAGTCAGCTGCAGAAGATCGTTCTATCGCTAAAGAGCTCATCCGTGACACATTGACATTTTTGCGGGGTTGGGGTACGGATTACCAATAAACCTGATTCCGTAGGATTTATGCCTGAAGGAGCTTGTCTTTGTGCAATTAGTTGCTATGAGTGCCAGGGTTGTCAATCAAGTTGTATCGATTAGGCCTTATTACATACCTATAATTGCACTGTCAATGCACCGAATGGGTTTGCATTTCTGTTTCTTGCACTTTATTTAATACTGGCGCTTGGTCGCAGTTGCCGGAACCCTCATCTATTTGGTTGTGTTCTATACAGGCGTAGCGGATTGAATCTCTTGGTGGGATTTCGAAGTCCAGGAGGTACGTATAAACTAGGCAAGAAAGGCCTAGTGTTCACTGACGTACTTGCTTCTTATGGAATGCCTGTGATTGGAAGCTATGCCCCTATTTGACTGTTGCCAAGGAACCGAACTTCGGCATCTGATCTCACTACAGTATAAGAGCATAGTACAAGGACGAACTGAAATTGGTCAGGCCGTTTAAATGGTTATGATGCTATCTCATGCTACATAGATCATTGAGTAGTACACGTCAAGATTATGGTTTAAATCATCGCTACATTGCTCATTAGTCAAATCTACCATGGCTCATGCGCCCGCTGAGCATTCTGCTCCCCGTTTTGACTCGTCCTGTCCTCGGTGATCTGGAACTCATTCGACACCACGATCCCATTGGACGGCTTGTCTGCAGAGGTTGCTGAACCGGCATAAACCTTCAAGTCTTGCATCTTAACATTGTTGATAATCCTCTCTTCGCTCTCGCTGAATGATGAATTGACACCAATGTCATTCCCTGCTGATGGTATACCGCGACGGCTTTTGCCTTGCGACATACCAGAGCTCCCACCAATTGTCTGAAAACCTGGCCGTCCTTGATACGGCGTGGGGGTCGAGGAGAATGCGCTTCCGAACAGTGGCCGAAACCACGATCTCAGCAACGGGAAGAGCATCGGAAGATTGGTGGTGGCCACGGAGACGAAGGCCTCACGGGTGCCCCATTCGCCAGCAAGCTGTGCACCATTGACAGGATCCTAAAGGTCATCATGGTCAGAAGGGACAGATTTTATAATGTCGAGGAATGCAAATGAATATAACGTCAGGAACGCTTACAATATAAACAAAAATGGTCTTGAGCATGGAGCAGACAAGCACAAAGATACCGGCACCCAGTACAACAGTAGATGCAATCTTCTTGACAAGCTTCAGACTAGTTCCCCACAGCATTGGAAGGGGAATCATGATGAGGTAGATATCTGTGACTACGCTCGAGGCAAATGTGACCCAGACGATCGCCTTCGACACTGCTCCCTGGCAGAGATCTGGAAAAAGACTTGCGTTAGTAGGGTTTTGGAGGATAACATCGGAAGACTTGCCACCGGGGTTGGGATTAATCTGCCAATATCTCTCGAATGGCCGACATGCTGTATAGATCGTCAAGACAGAAGCGACGAATGTTGCCGCAACAAGGGCAATGCCGGCATAGATTCGGATACGATAAGTTCTCCCAAGACCTTCCTGTTGCCCTTATTAATGGTGGTCCCGCGATAACGACAGACCCGAGCAGCTACTTACAGTAAGTCGGATGTAGAAAACAAGCAATGCCATCTTTAGGATGCATATCAGGACCGTGTAGCTGGTCCAGCCCACAACTTGGATTTTGGAGCCAACAACTCTAAATGACTGTTAGAATTATACATCGGATTTGAATTTGAGTGAACTCGCCTGAAATGATACTCTGGAGAATCGGGAGATAATGCAGCTCGCTGCTCGTCGGTCATGGAATTGTTGGCTAGTCCCTGCGCATAATTGACCGCAAAGTACGCCAGCGTGGATTGCGTCGTGTAAATCAACTGCGATAGCAACATAAGCAAGTGAAAACGTGAGGAATTTGGCATTTTAGAAGAGATACTTACAATGGCAAGCCATATGAGGTAGTCATCAGCCCAGAGGCGTCTGAATCCGACTGTCGATATTCGGGAGTATGTCCTCAGTGCCGTAATGACAACGCCGGATGCGTAAAGTGCCCATAATTCGATGTTGAAGCGGCGAACCGCTGCTGCCATTGCTGCGGCAGCAGCGGCCTGGGCATCGGCGTCAGACATTCGGTATAATCGATGAAAAGGATTCAGATGAGAAGTCTCAATGGAGGTTGGCGATGTTCGATGAAGATCAACGGGGTCATGGCTAGGCTCTGCCTTTGTACCAACCGCAAACCAGGAGTGCCCAAACAGGAGTTGGCATGTCAGTATGGGTCTTGGAGAAAATCCGGCACTAGGCGATAGCTGAGTAGCACTCCCAAAGCAGCTCGGTTCCACCCTCCGGCAGACCTCGAAACATGTATCTATACCGACTATCCCTGCTTATTCTGTGATAGTCAAATTCTGCAAGGTACCACATGGTAAAGGAGATCATTGCAGGAATTAAGATACGGCCCCTGTGGTTTGTTTAGTGCACCTCATCCGTGTGAGGGCCGAAGAAGATTTCCGGAATTCTCCAGTGCTTCTCTGAAGACCACGGAGAGTAGACGTCTGATGCATGACGAGAACCTGCGACGTTCAAACGCGACCGAGGCTACAACCATGTCACCGTCAACACTACCGAGTCATGATAGAGTCCAGCATGGAGACTGCCATGGTAGCACTACCTAATATAAGAAGCCATTATCGTCCTGTCGAGTCTGCTTCAGTCCGTCCCCAAAATGAGATCGTGATCAGATCATCTGTCGCCTATGGCGGAGAGCACTCCTACGATTACATGATCAAAAGGAGCAAGTCATCGGGATACTACATTATGTGACATACAAAGCTTCTTGTTGTGTCCGAGCGGACGAGAGAAGCAGGGAAGTACCTTGAAGCGAAGCGGCCGGCAATTACTAGCATAAATCACGTTTACTTCATGGTTTGACCACGAATCTAACACGTGTAGACGAAACAAGACCCAAATCATAGTTGTCCTGGCTCAACCAGATGTGTGTTTTCACCGTCATAGACTCGGCAATAAATAAGTGGCTGTTTTCCAATTGACTTTGTGATCTCGCCATCAGTCATGCAAGTTTCCTGGGCAAAGACCCGCAAGTACGACAGGCTGACTTCTCGCCGCCATGTTCCTTAGGTGTGAGGGGTTTATGGAAGTGTGCCATGTCTACCCACTTATACCGAAGCGATGGTAGGTAGGTGTTTAGGCCAAGCCGGCCCCCTGAAGTAACGCGCTCAGCTTATGAGATGCAAACTAAGCTCTACAACCTTGCCTACGTTTGGAGCTTATACAGACGATCCCACCTTTTTCTAGCCTCGATTAGAAAACCTTGGAAGTGCGCGATCGTGATGATACGCTACGAGATCTCCAGGGTCCTCGGCACTAGAGCTGAAACTTCGGCGAGCAATTCCCTATTTGTTCGGCTGGCCCGCGCTGTGGGGACGGGAGCTGAAGGTTTTGAGGTTAGCCGTCTGCTCAAGCCGGAGCTAACACCTACCGAGACCCCTGAACACACCGTTAACGTTACCGATCAATGACCGCATTCCGCCCACTAAGTGGCGCCCACTTACTCAATGATAATTACTCTCCTGCATCCACGGACACCACAGGCACCGCCTTCTGCGCCGTCCACACGGCAGGTGATGATCTTTACCATCACTGTCGTTGCTTGCTTGCTCCGATCATCTCTAGTTCCCTGGGGCATGAGCTGCTAGCTTTACAATAGTACCGCTCATCCTCTCTCGTCTATCTGGATCGCCAGAGATTTTCGCTGCAATAACTTATAACTCCTGCTCTGCTGGGTATCGGAGATTTGGCCACATGGCCGCTCGTATTTGATCCATGCTACGATCAGTACAGCAAGCCTCCCCGGACCTCCGTCTCCCTCTGCCGGGATCTCAACGGCGTCCGTTGCTATCGAAGCCCCCTTTACAACGCAGTGGAGCCGGAGACCTGACAGTGAACAAGAAACCCGGGAACACAGACGGGAACAAAGCCACCGAGCATGAGCGGACGGAGCACTAGTGGAGATTTCATTTTGCTAGCGTTGGCATCTGCAGTCCCCCCTGAGACCTAACGTTATCGGCAAGTTCAGCGGCACCCCCCATAAGCTCCATTATTTGTTATGTGCATAGCTGGAGCAGACCTGCCCGGTGCATTGGGTAGACCTGGAATGACCAGTGAAGCAGTGATCGACAGCGATAGCTTCGTCCCTTCAGGGCTGCAGGACAGTGATTGTGAGAAGGGACCAAACAAGGGGATATGTTCTAGAAGAAAGCTGCATGCCAGAGTATAAGCTTAAGCCCCTGCGTGACAACAATGCCGACCATGCCATGCCCCGAGAGAGTCCATGTGTCGGACGAGCCCACTCAATCTTCGATGGGTGATATTTACCTTGCTGAATGTAACCGAGCTCCTCTAGCCAAGGGCTTTGACCACTAATGCCACGAAATTGGCTCCATCAGGAAGGGTGGCTCATTTGGGGCGAATCAAGCACGCCAGCGGGTCCTCTCTGTGTGTGACACTCTATCGGTATATATGCCACCCTACAACTTGGCAGTGATCGACTGCATGCTGCAACGACTGTCACGTCGCCATCCATTCTTTTGGAACCTTCCTTATCTTTCTTTATCAGCTTCCAGCCATGCGTTGGTTCGCAATCAAGGTCGCAGCCATTGCTGCATGGGCGGCGGTAGTTGCCGGCAGAGACATACCGATCTCAGACGTTCACTACCAGAGCCATGTGGCTGCGGCGCGAAGTCCCAATTACTCGCAGCTGAAGAGCAAGCTGTCGAGTAAGGCGCAAGTACTGCTTCCCGGCTCAGCCGCCTTTACCAACGCAACGGCTCGGTGGTCTGCTCTGGAGGAGCCTACAGCCAACGCTGTTGTAGTCCCCGCCACGGAAAACGACGTCGTTGAGACGGTGCGTGCCTTATACCAGATTCTAGAAATGACTGTGCTGACATTGGAGCTGTAGGTCAAGTTTGCCAACGCCAATGCACTGCCGTTCCTCGCGACCAATGGTGTCCATGGATCAATCACCACTCTGGGAAGGATGACTTCGGGCATTGAAATATACTTGGCCCAGTTGAACACGGTTGAGATCGCGAAGGATGGGAAAACAGCGAAAATCGGCGGTGGTATTCTGTCCAAAAATCTCACTGACGCGCTCTGGGCTGCAGGAAAACAGACGGGTGAGGAATATTAATCCTTCTGAAACAGAATCAAACTAATTTTGAGAAAATAGTCACCGGCACCTGTGAGTGCGTCGGGTATCTGGGCCCAGCTCTCGGGGGTGGACACGGTTGGCTCCAGGGTCATCACGGTCTTGTCTCTGACCAATTCGTGTCTTTGAATGTGGTCTTGGCCAATGGTAGCTTGCTTACGGTCACTGACAAGAACAAAGACCTATTTTGGGCCTTGAAGGGCGCCGGTCACAACTTTGGTATTGTGACTTCAGTTACCTCGAAGATTTATGACATCGAGCACGCCAACTACGCCATGGAGACACTGTTCTTCACCGGTGACCAGGTTGAGGCTGTATACCAGGCCGCCAACGACAACTGGCTGACGGGCGGTACTCAACCTGTGGATCTCATCAACTGGTCGTACTGGTTTTTTGACCCAACCATCGACTCGGAGAAGGTAATTTTATTTTGCAAGTTCTCAATTTTTAGGCATGCTCTAACCGTCTGTATAGCCTGTCATTGCATTCTACATCATCCAAGAAGGAGTAGACGCTGTCAACCCGGCATACACGGCACCATTCTACAGCATTGGGCCTATCATCAACTCGTCAGTGTCAGGCACTTACAGAGACCTTGCTGCATGGACTGGCATCTCCGTTGACGCAACCCCCTGCCAGAAGACTGGGAATGCTAACCCGCGCTTCCCTATCTACCTGAAGTCGTACAATACTACCGCTCAGAAGCAGGTATATGAGCTTTTCAGGCAGGCTACCACCAACGCGTCTACTCCCTTCAGCAATGCCCTGTTCATGTTCGAGGGCTACTCCACCCAGGGTGTCAAGGCGATTGGCGACGACGCTACTGCATTCGCTTACCGGTCCGACAACCTTCTCGTTGCTCCTCTCCTGACGTACACCCCCAACGGACCCGAGCTTGATGCAAAGGCTCTCAAGCTTGGCAACCAGATTCGTCAGGCTTTGTTTGAAGGCAGCGGAGAATCGACCCTTAACACCTATGTCAATTATGCTTACGGCGACGAGACACCTGTGGCATGGTACGGAAGTGAGGCATGGCGCCAGAGCAAGTTAAAGAGCTTGAAGAAATGTTATGATCCCAAGGGCCAATTCAGCTTCTACGCGCCAGTTTTGTAGACAATATCTTCTAACCAGAATAGAGTTTCCTCGTTGAAGCACAAATTTATTAGACACTCGTGCATGGCAAGTGATCGGTTGTGGCTTGAGGTTACCATTGCGACCCATACTGTGCGACGCTGAAGACCGCTTGGTTCTCAGTGATCAATTGTAGCATCTGACATACACCTTACCCTGACTAGGTAAAGGTTGATCGGTGCCCGAAGATGCCTTGTGTTCTTCATATTGTAGCTTATTCCAATGATATTGATGAGTAATATGGAAGGATTGCCGAGCTTGTAGGATCAATTAGGTAGTGAGGGGTCATTGAATACACAGGCACAGTTTTCTCTGTCCCCCAGCGCTATTCACACCCAAGTCGATGCGCTTAATATACATATCGCGTCGAGTTTTTCACCAGAGCTTTTCTCCAATGGCGCCCCAGCTTGTCTTTGGAGCGGGTGTTCTCGGCATGGACGGGATGGAGTTCCAAGACCGTGAGTCCGTCACAAAATTGCTCGTGACGCTCAAGGAGCTTGGCGTCATCCGTCTGGACACTGCCGCGCGCTACCCGCTCTTCAATCCGGGCAAGTCGGAACGGCTTCTCGGGGAGGCCAATGCCGTCAGCGGAGAGTTTGTGATTGACACCAAAGTATATACTGAGGTGGGTGATGGTAGCGGTGACCTGACCCGCGCAGCCATGGAAAAGTCCGTGACCGGCAGCCTCGAGCGTCTGGATCGACCGGAAGGCGTCAACGTGCTCTTCGCGCACCGCCCGGATCCCGCGACGCCGCTTGAGGAACAAGTGCAAAGCTTCCAGGATCAGGTTGCTCGAGGTCATGCCAAGGCATGGGGCGTGGCGAACCACCCGCCAGAGACACTACAGAAGATTATCGAGTTGTGCGAGCAGAGGAGCTGGCTGAAGCCGTCCTGGTATCAGGGCGGATACAGTATGCTTACACGCGGCCCAGAGACGCGCTTGTTCCCTATTCTACGCGCTCATGGCATGTCATTTCTCGCATCGCACGCGCTCGCCTCGGGTTTCCTAACGGGCAAGCACATAGATGACAATGGAAATCCGACTGGCCGTTTTGCTCAAAGCGGATATGCCGCTCCGGAGGTGGCGACTGCGATGAAGAAGTTCATAGCTGGCTGTAAGACGCATGGCCTGCCACCGGTAGAAGTAGCCAGTCGGTGGATAGCGCATCACTCGGCATTAGCTGACGAGGACAGCCTTGTCATAGGTGCGAGCAAGCTGGCCCAGGTTGGCGACACAGTAGCGAATATCCGCAGGGGTCCGCTGCCCGCGCCGGTAGTGACATTGGTTGACGAGCTTTGGGACGCAGTGAAACCTATACGAGGCTCGATGATTTGAATAAGTCTATAACTAGGATAGCTCGTCGTTTCGTAACAGATCGTCCCTGATATGCAATGACCGGAAACAAGAGCTATGGTTCTCTTAAGTCCTTTCTTGGTCTCTCAAACCAATGAGCCTTGTTTCTCCGGCTTCATCTGGTACGGCTCCAACAATCAATAATCCTGGCTCGAAGGAGTGAGGGTCATGACTAGCTACTTGAGGTCTGCGTTCCCGGGTTTAATCAATCATATTTCTCACCCACTGTCCGAGGAGAAGTCCTCGGTCGATGCAGTATTTGGTGTCGAAACTGACCACACGGAGCTGTGCCGGTTCTCCGGGTCGAATTTGAAGAATGCAACGTAGATGATCTGAGCGACCTGGCCGATCCCAATCACCATGGGAATTGTCTGACCTGCTGCAGAGACGTCATTCACACCGTCTATCTTATTCCAGTCAATTGTCAGCTCGGTAGCCGCAGTTATTGTTCCTGCTACGGCAATTCTGATCAAGCATTGAAGCTCTTGTAGTGCTATCTTGCGGAGTTTACTGCACGACTGGTCAAACCCTCAACAGACACGGTAGAGCAGATGGGCGAACCTGTTTCTTGAACGCTTTGTCGCTTCTAAGAGACCAAGCTGCTTTCTGATGGTGATAACGAGAACTCCAACACAAACAAGGAGCAGTAACAGATACAGGACAATGTTTAGCGCGACGAAGGCTGTGTTACTGAGACGCACTCGGCCGAAGAGAAAGCCATATTCCGTACAATTGTCAGGATGTGAGCCTTTAACACCAGTGCACCAAAACCACAACTGAAATACAGTCACGGATAACAAGAGAAAAAAGTTTAAAGCACTGTATAGCTTGCCTGCCCTGACCCGTGGGTATCGACTAGGGTCCCACCGAGTCGAGCATCCTGTAATCAACCTCCAAACATACAGAGGTACAAAGTACAAATAGCTGCCAAAGGTTAGTAGCAGGATAATGTATATCTCTACTAACCGCAGCTTGTTGTTAGCGACCTGAATCAAAAGTGCAAGAAAAGTTGCGGCAATGAACAGTGCGTTTGATATTCGTAACCCTACTATCTCTGATTTGGCAATCATAGTGGCCATGATTCCGCCATACCATTGTAGATAGAATCCAATGCGGATGCCAAGACCATACATGTCTGAGTTGCCAACAAAACGACAATTATCCATGCTTGAGCGGAGGTTGCTGTAGGTGATTACGCTCTGCTAGCTCTGCTTCTGTAGAGAGCGCGGCATATACAAAAATCGTGTTTTGAAGGACCACCGGCTTGGACGAAACAACTTTTCAGCTGACAACTAAGGGTACGCACATGCATGCAGGCGTTCTGCAGCATTTCTAGAATCTTCTCTTGCCTTGCATAAGTGTGATGGATAGCTAAAACATCGCTAACAGATACCATAGCCATCTCATAGGGGAGGCATTACAGCCATCAAAATGTATCTGTAACAGGTGTGAATGAACTATCAATTGTTAAAACTCCCTTATTATAAAGTTTGCTCAACTGATAATAGTTACAAAGACTCTTCACAAATGAGTGCGATGTTGTGAGGTCAATAGTGCCGGGGAAGCTAAGGTGGTGGTAGCGCAGTGCATGGCCTGAAGTAGGACCTCGCTGAACGTATGCATGGCGACCAAGTGTATTATCAAGATCTTAGATGTTTTAATATGACGAATCTTAGAAATTGAATTACAAAATCGCTTGTAAAATAAATTACATGGAGGTTTATATCCTCAATCGTATGAGGCGAAGAGAGGATTGGTTCCACGAATCCGATGAATCCATCAGGCACGTAGCAAGTGATTCATAGCGGCCAATTATGGATTGAGGGTGAGAAATCGCCCACTCAGCGCCATTGGTGAGGTGGGCGTGCGACATGATTCTTATCGCCCGCGGCCCTCGGCGCGGTCTACTTGGCCGCGGAGAACTCACCTAGGGGACCGGCCATCTAGCCCAACTATCGGAGCTTTACGCCTGAGAGTAAAAGCCGATAAAACGATCGGGTTCAGATCCCATTCATATCAGAATACTCCGTGGCCAGTGGATCCGGCTAGCTTTGTTCGTCTTGCCTCTTTATACAGTCAGTCTCCTAGCACACCACCCTGGACCAGCTGTCTGTGTATCATCGTTCAGCACCAATTCATCAAGATGGCTCCAGGTGCAATAACAGACGAGCAAGCCGTCACCGTCCAGAGCAAGGCAAGCTCTCGGCCTCGTCTCTATGAGAATGCCAACCAGGAGGAGCTAGCAGAGAAGACTTCAAAGTATCTGCTATACTTCGGCACTAAGTTCAATAAGGATGTGATTACAGGCGCGGAGGGTCTCTATGTATACACCGCTGGCGGTAACAAGGTCCTAGATTGGACATCTGGACAGATGTCATGTTTGCTAGGTCACGGTCATCCTGAGATCGTCAAAGTCATTAGTGACCATGCCAAGTATCTGGACCACTTGTTCTCTGGCATGGTCTCCCCGCCAGTCATCTCCCTTGGAGAGCGACTATGCACCGCCTTGCCGGCAGGGCTTGACAAGGCATTCTTTCTCTCTACTGGAGGAGAGAGCAATGAAGCTGCCATCAAGATGGCAAAGGTCTACACTGGCAAGTTTGAGATCGTCGGTCTCGGAGCAAGCTGGCACGGGGTCACGGCCCAGGCGCTGGGCACACAGTACCACTACGGCAGAAAGGGCCAGGGCCCACTCATGCCTGGTATGCTTATGCTTCCGCCGCCTAATGGCTACCGATCTACGTTCAGGAAACCAGATGGCTCCTACGACTGGGAGGCAGAGCTGGAGTTTGGGTGGAAGATGATCGACATGCAATCGTGCGGAAGCCTCGCAGCCTGCATTGTCGAGTGTATCCAGAGCTCGGCAGGCATGCACGTCTTGCCGCCAGGATACCTCAAGGCTCTCAAAAAGCACTGCGAGAAGAGAGACATGTTGCTCATTGTGGACGAGGCACAGACCGGCGTGGGCAGGTGTGGTGATTTTATGGCCATCAACCACGCTGGCGTCACCCCTGACATTTTGACACTGTCGAAGACTTTGGGCAACGGCTTGCCTCTTAGTGCGGTTGTCACAAGTGCAGAGATTGAGAAGGTCTGCATCGAGAGGGACTACTGCTTCTATACTACCCATGTCAACGACCCCTTACCCGCAGCTGTGGGAGATAAGGTTCTCGAGATTGTCCTACGGGACAACCTTGTAGAACAGTCCCGTCGCTCTGGTGAGATCCTACATAGTGGTCTGAGGAGACTTCAGGAGAGGTATGGGTGCATCGGCGACGTCAGAGGCAGAGGTTTGATGGCTGGAGTGGAGATCGTGAAGGATAGAGAAACGAAGCAACCAGCGCTAGAGCTGGCCAAAAAGGTTGGAGACAGGGCTTACGAACTAGGTGTATGGGCAAACTTGAGCAGCCATGAGAGCTTTGGGGGCACGTTTAGAATTTGCCCTCCTATCACAGTTAGTGAGACTCAGCTCAAGGAGGGTTTAGCGGTGCTGGAGCAGGCCTTCGCGGAGGTTGAGGGAACCATGCCGCTGTACTGATAGATGAGATCCCAAATACAACGAGGGGTAAAACACGCCTATCATGTGGTCCAAGGATACTGTAATGACAGGACATAAGAGTGTCACTAATCAAGTTCTACGCCGCCGATCCTTCTTGAGCCCCCCCAAGCGGCCCCCCAAGCGGCAAGCGGACTAGCATCGTCACGCCGGGATGTTGTCAACGATATCCCGAACCTTCCGAGGCTCTAAACAATCTTCAAGAGCATATATCCGTCATAAAACGCAGAGATTACGACCCAATGCGATACATTCGTATACTGCATCAGAGAATGTGTAAGGAGAAGACGTCCGGGCTGTTGGTCTGTTGCCTCCTTCGGTGACATAGCACTGACATTGCTCGGGAAGTACGATCATACAACATCAGACTGCACCCGGCCTAAAGAGGATCTGTGAAACTAGCGCGGTGCATGAGATACGCTGCAATGTCGAACCTTTTAGGTACCTGCTGTATGAGCTCGTGTAGCATCAAATACGGGAAGAAGTCCTGAAATCATGGGCCATCGGTAAATTTACGAGGAATGGAAAGGAATGGCGCTTCAAAAAAGCAAACATTTCTCGGGCAACGGTTGATCGTGTGCGTCTGTCCGCCTAGCGCTTTGTATACACCAGCGCACTGCCATTGATAGCATCAACAGCGGGTGGCACAATGTTCAAAGTTTGTACAAGGTGCCAGGCACACATTGACATCCGCGGATCTAACTACAGCCGGGTACTACTAGGCCATGTGGGATCAGGTTTGACACAACATCCCTCTAAGAACTGTGTTGTCAATGCGTTATGCCAGGTAACAAGCTCATATGTTTGATATGGGAGGCTTCCTGAATAGCCGCCTGTCCTCCATTCACTTAGGCAGCAATCAGTTCTTGGCGGTGAGGACCTCATCAATAGAAGACTTCACATCATATTTTAAACAATTTGGCACTATTCATCAGTAGAGGTGCTTGCTATGGTCTATATACCGTACAAAATAATATCGTAGCATATCCGGCCTCATGTTTGCGAACACCTATACGAACCCTTAATCACCTACCCTTATGGTCATCGTGGCCATCCCAGTCGATACCCCTATGGTATATTGTGTAATGATCTCATGCATGACAAATGACTTTCAAAACAGCCTCTCGACCCTCTCACGCGAATGCCGCGGCCCAAAACAGATAGCGGAAATCAAGTGGTGTAGATGAAGTCGGGCCGCTTGTCGCCCAGCGCCTCGATCTCCCTCGGGTTGAGGCCCTGCACCCAATCATCGCGCTCGCCTCGCCTGCGCTTCGCGTTCTCCCTGCGAAGAAGCGTCGTCATGAGAATAGAGCCGCCGCACAGGAAGAGCGTCAGGTAGGCGAGGACGATGCCGTGGCCCTGCAGGTAGCGGGGCTTGGAGAAGTAGATGTTTGAGCTGACGACGCCGTTGAGGTTGCCCCAGCCGATGACGAAGCCCAGGACGACGCCGCGCTTGTAGACGCCCTCGATGTTGTTCGCCATCCAGGAGATGGTGTTGGCGATGCAGGGGTAGATGCCGAGCGCGCCCAGGAAGGTGCCGGCGTACTGGACCCCGGCCTTGTCCGATCCGATGAGCATGCTGAACCCGACGACGCCCAGAAGCGAGACGCAGATGTTACAGAGGCCACGTTGCCGTGTGCGGTCGGCAATGAAGCCAATAGCCACCGTGAGGATGGCCGCACAAGCGTAGGGCGGCACTGACATGAGCTGAGAGCGAACAACACTAGTGTTCCATCCCAGACTGTTAATAATGGATGGTAAGAACAGGCTGAAGGCGTACAGGGGCATGTCGCAACCCATATAAATAACCATGCCGAGCCACATCTTCCAGTCCTTAACGGCGGACCAGAAGTAGCTCATCTTGAACTCCTCGTGCTCGGCGGATGACTGCTGGTCCATCTTAAGACGGCGAATCACGCGAATACGGTCAGCGTCAGACAAGAACTTGGCTTCGTCGGGGAAGTCGTGGACCATCCAAAATGAGGCGACTCCAAACAAGATGGTTAGAAGACCCTCGAGAATAAAGATCCAGGCCCAGCCGGGGCGCTTTCCAATGCCGTCCATGAGCTCGATAGCTGCAGCTAACAGACCACCGAAAGAGCCGGAAACTGCAGCTGCGGAAAAGAAGACAGCCTAGATGTTGTTTAGTCAGAAGATCTCAGAGGTACACGCTTAGAAGACTACTCACCGCGCGAACTCCGAATTCAGATCGTTTGTACCAGCATGAAAGGTAGTAGTTAATACCGGGGAACAGACCAGCCTCGGTTAAGCCAAGGAACCATCGCGCAGCCATGAGGCCAGACCAGTTATAGACAAAGCCCATTCCAAGCATCGATGCGCCCCAAAGGATCCTAGTAACAAGTTAGTCAGCCCAGTCTAGGCCAGTGTTGGGGATCGAAGACGCACATGATGATGGGAATAAAGATGGATGGACGAAGGCGCTTGAGGAGAATGTTTGTCAGCGGCTCAAAGACAGCGTAAGAGACGAAGAAGATGGTCAGGCTCGAATTGTACGACTGTGTGGTGAGCTTGAGATCGACATCAAGATGGGCGATTCTAGCATTCCCAATGTTCGTTCGATCCAGAAATGCCAGCAGGTATAGAATACAGAGCTGCAATGGCCATTAGCATATACAACTTTCCATGATTCATTCACAACGAGGGGTAATTTGTGGCAGAGAACTCACCCAGGGGATCAGAATGAGGTCGAGGCGCCAGAGAAGCTTGCGATCCTGAGAGGTGTACTATATTAGCGATGATTCTATTGTGAAAATAATTCACGCCTGATGAAACTCACAATCGCAGCCTTCTCAGCATCACTCAGGCCAGCATCGGGATCGGGCGGCAGGTCGAGCATGGTGCCCGCATTGGTGTCGCGCACCTCAGTGGCCTTCTCGGTGTCGTTGTCGCTCATGATGAAGTTTGAGGTCCGTCGTGCCTGCGTGTGTAGAGGACAACTGGGAGATTGACCTTGTTCTTGTTGTGGTGTTGAGAAAAGTACACAGTCCCAACAAGCGCTTGTTCTTGGTGGAGTGGTGGTAGTTGTTTTGTTGTGACTGAGTGCCGTGAACTTTAATAAGCACCGATGTGAGGTGCGTGATGAGTGAGGGAAGTCGGAATTGGTCTAGTCACTACCGTGATCAAAGTCACTCATGGGTCGGCGTCTTTTCACTTATGAAGGAGACATGTAGGAGCGAAAATATGGGATGAAGCAATGACGACAACAAAAAATGGTAGCTGAGGGGGAGGAGAGGTGAGGTGCGTGACCGAGTGAGTGGAAGAGAGTTGGGAGATCAGCAATAAAAGTACGCTTGAGGGTAGCTTGGACCTGAGCAGCACATCAGCCATACATATGAATTTATGATGAGTAGAAAGCAGCTCAGATCGGCCATGCCCTTGCAAGTGTGCTGTTTTCTCTCTTTCCCTTGCCTTTCTCCGCACTTTGATGATGGCTTACAGTTTGCCGTGATAGGCCTAGCTGCGGCAAAGGTGTGGATGGGGAATAAGATACCGCGAATCCCCACGTTTTGGTGGATGGGGACACTACACTACCTACGCTACAGGCCTCTTGCAGAAGTTACAATTGGGCGGCAGATGCCTCCACGACAGGGGAGCACAGAGCAGGATGTGGGCGTTCACAGCAAGGTTGGCGGGGCGGCCTTCTGCCGGGGGAGCTGCGAGGTGCTGTTAGGCTATCACTAGGCTCGTGCACAGCGGACGGATGGGACGCCGGAAATGGCCTGCTGTCTGTGTGTAAGGTCTCCCCAGTGGCCCCATTCCATGGGCACCCATGTGCTTCACATCATAGGNNGGGGGGGGGGGGGGGGGGGTTTGCTGGATGGGTTTGCCTCCTTGGAGGCGAGCAATGTGACTGATGAGAGGGCGAAATGAGTGGGTGTGTAGTATTTGCTCCCGCTGCAGCTCAGTCCGTTCAGAGTCTCCTTTGCGCACAGCTGCACCTCGGCATTCGGCCGGTTATGTATATTGGATAGGTAGCCAGCATCTCGGATGGATGGGTTGCGCCCGTCAAACGCCTTCTGCCACGCTGGAGTGCTTGTGTCGCGAATGCCTCAGAGAGGGTGAGGTGGGCTCAGCCCAGAGACAGCCACCGCATCCTGGTTAGGCCTTGGATACACAGGCCATTGCGCTGGCTGGGATTTCAACTGCTTACCGAGCAGCCCAGCAACCAGGTACTATCCTTGGTCTTCGATTGCTCTGTCTTGCAATGGTAACTTCTGGACATTGGGGTGTCTCAGCTTGCAGCGATTCCCTGGTCCCAGAGAATCGAGATGGTGGGTTCGACCAGATCTGTCAAGAGCTTCCATACATATTCCATCTGCGGGGGAGGCCTGCTGGCCAAAGACAATTTACCCTCAATCCTCTGTTGTTCAGACTGCTTCGGGGCACGCAGATCTCCTCGAGTTGAGCCAGTCACTGCATTGTCTCAGATCTACTGTTTTACCATTCCACAACTGGCGCCACTCATTGTTCGCCGTAATGACCGCGCAAGCGAACAAGTTCCGCTCAAGTTGAATCTTTGAACCTTGATCCAAATGGTCTTCCTTAACTTCCTATTATTGCGTTGTGTTGTGTGCCCTCACGGTAAGATCGATGGAGGGGGCACACTACGTGGAAACATGCAACAGTAAGGTGGCCAACCCCGAGCCGGCGACTTTCCGGGGAATAGAACCGCCACGGACGGTTTAGACCAAGGAGAAGGCGTTGCGGTCAATTAGTGGCCTCGGCGGCCGCGCTGAGAAAATTCAGGTGTCCTCGAGGTGTCCCATCAAGCACTTGCTCCTGCAGCACTGAAAGCGCCACAGCACTCAAGTTATTGCCCAGTTCGCCGCAAAGCTTGACCCCGCCGGCCCCTTGTGACATCTTTCCTGGACTCTTGGCAACTTCAACTTGATTGCATCCTTGATTATGCAACAGTTGGAATTCTTCAGGAGCTTCCAAGTTCCCGTGATGGCCCCGGTCGTACTTCTTGGTGTTGATTAGCTCCGAGGACAGCACGAGTCCCGCACGATGCACTCTGAGAACGATGCAACGCTTCAGGCCATTTCTAACTCGCAAGACTCGTCCTTTGAGTGTCAGTCCCTGGAAGTGATCTCATGTTGTGTACTCAAAGGATGCCCTATAGTGTTCAGCAGGCAGGTAGCCGGTTTTCCGTCTCACTCATGCCACGTGAAGACAGGGAATACGGCCGTGTTGTGCCAGATCTGTGGCCAGTCCTCACCAATAGCGTTAGTGAAATATGGTCCTGCGATACTTAATAACCTGGGTCATCATGGCATCGCGTCTTGGTCACCCAACGTGTGGGTCTATGATCGCTGCAGTATCACAATAGCCCAAGGTGGAGTAGCTTGGCGGTCGGGGGATTACTCCCGAGGTCCAACCTGCGAACTTTCTCGAGGGTGCTCAAAATATTGCCTTGATCTCGATGTAAGCTCCTGCCCAGCTTTCCTCTGACAAGTGGTGGCCTTCCAGTGAACATTGACAATTTGTCAGCGCCACTAAGAGATAAGCAACGCCATTCCCGAACGCTAAGCCGACGGGACTTGGCACACGATGCCCTGGTCAGTAGAACCCTCTTAGTGCGGTATGCAGTGCGGGGTTCACGGCCTGAAGGACTGAGATATCGTTGTCCGAGGCCGACAGACCCGGAAAGACGGAGGATACATAGCTTGAGGCACTGAGGACAAAGTTGATGCGACGCCAAGACTTAATACGAATTCGACTCGGCGGAGTTTATCTCTGAGCTGCCTCTACAAATCCGACTCTAAAGGCCAATGTTGTATCGGCTTGGACTCGGAACTCGCTGCCTTCTATGCGTCGCAAAGACGCAGACAGATAGGTACACCACTGGCGCCTGCTTGCCTAGGCCAGGCGCTTGGAGCAGCGACGTCGGAGATGAGATCCAGAACAGAGCCTCGCCTAAGCTGCTGGACAGATGCATTGTCCCGTCGAGTCCTTGAACATAATTTATGGTCCTACCGACGACTTCTAGGTGAGTGACTGCAGTGCGCGGGGAGGCTGATATGCCAAGCAGCCGCACGAAAAAGGATGTGGTGCCTCATCTCGATGTGCCAATACATCTACCGGAATGACGCCCAACCGTGCTTGCGTGAGGTCCGGATGAGACGCCGTGGCTGCCAATAGTCGAGTGCTTTCCCATTGCTCTGCCTGTTTGGGTTGTGAAGGCCTCGATGCGTGTCGGCGCAATCACTTCTGCCACACTGGGTGCTGGCTAACTGTCTGAAGCGATGTCACTTCCTGTCCGACCAACTCGAAGCTTCCCGCACCTACGTCTCCAACAATAAATGCAGTTAGCCGCATCAAAGAACGACACATACTCAGTTTTCTCCATTTCAGGAAAATTGAACAGAACATCCCAATAATCTAGAGATCGCTTTACTTGGGTTGGCAGCATACCACGTGATTGATCAAAGAACCTGCCGGATTATCGTTGTTGCTCTACCGGATCACGAAATCCGCTCACGTAAGGCTTCCAGTGCGGTTTATCGTACCGACAGCCAACATTCAGCGAGCCTAAATGACGTGAGATGGGGAGCTTTGAGGTCTTACTACATTATCCTTCCAGTAAGAACAGACGGATCGTCAAGATCTGACTTATGTGTCGCCTCAAGTAAAGCAGCCTGAGTCGCGGGATGATACCACCGCAGTGAGGGCTTCCTACAGCACTGGCACAGTCATACCTCAATTTCCGAGCTGTGCTCAAGCACTACAGCTGCAGCACACTACGTACGCGGTTGACTTTTCCTACACGCCTGTGGGACTTTCCTCCTTCAATCGTGAGGTTTCGCGCTCATTCTCTCGCGACAATGGCGAAAACCGTTTGTATTGTTGGCGCCGGACCCGCCGGGCTTGTGGCAGCCAAGACTTTCCTTCATGATGCTCAAGAAGGAGCTTTCAGCGTCACCGTATTTGATAAACAGCCCCGCATCGGTGGCATTTGGCCAACAAGCACGGATGATGGCAACGGGCTCGTGCATCCCCTTATGCTCACGAACCAGAGTAAGCATAGTGTTGCCTTCAGCGATCTTGCATGGGAAGAAACATCGCCTCAGTTTCCCCAAGCTTGGCAAGTTGGCAAATATCTAGAACGGTATCTTGAACGGTACTGCTCATTTGAGGAGGGTAGGTTTCATCTGAGGCTCGGCTGGAAGGTCGAGAGTGCCGAGCCTACTGAAGAAGGTGCACGATGGCGCGTTCGTGTCAAGTCAGAGGATGGAGTCGAAGATGATCTCAGTTTTGATCATCTCATCATTGCAACGGGCTTCTTTGGCAGTCCTATTATACCAGATGCAATTCCTGAGAACTCAGTAGTCCCAGTGCTTCACAGCAGTCAATATCGAGACATTGAGAGTCTACTACCCAATGATGGGAGAGGGGGAAAGATCTTGGTCGTGGGCGGCCAGATGTCCGGTGTTGAAATCGCAGGGACTATAGCAACACACCTCTCTTCTGTCATTCACTCTCCCGGAACTCCGTCAATAACAAGCCCTGAGAAATACTCGGTACATCATGTTATTCAGCGGCCAATCTGGGTCTTCCCCACCTTCACATCTCCAGCGGTAAATTCCTCTAGCGGCTCGTTATGTGTTTCCGTAGACTGACTAATACTTGATAGCCAACTGCTGCGGCGCCCTTCGTTCCTTTGGATATCCCGTCTTATAACCTCAACAATCGTCCACAACCGCTTACGAACAGCCAAGGGCACATAAGTATCGACAGCGCCAAACTCGTTCATTCCATATACCAGCGAACTCTTGGTACTAATCAGTCAAATTTCTCTCCACTTCTCGCGGTGGAGTACGCAGCTGCAACGGAGCCCCCGTATCTAGCGGCCAGCGACACATATATGGACTTCGTACGGTCTGGATTCATTACACTATCTAGCGGCAAACTTATTTCACTGGAAGAGCGGACAGCGACCCTTTCGCCAATGGACGAGCAAGTCACAGACATAGCTGCTGTTATCCTTGCTACGGGGTTCGACGCCTCACCATCAATCTCTTTCTTGCCACGATCCCTCCGTGAAACAATATCATTCTCACCTAGAGATATCAACAACCCTGTTGCGCTAGCCTTCCACGGCACGCATCATCCAAAAATTCCTAACCTTGGCTTCGTCGGATTCTACCGCTCTCCATACTGGGGCGTTATGGAAATGCAAGCACGGTTTTTGTCGGAGTTCTGGTCCGCGCCTTCTGGGTCTTTACCGCCCAAGATGCAACAGGCTTTAGATGGCGATGATTCTGTTCAACGCACACTAGCCTTGCGTAAAGACCCTCGGGCATCTCAGTTCCCCATGGGAGATTACCCCTGGCTCATGCAAGAACTCTCTTCGGCGCTGGAGATGGATATATCTCCACCGGTGGGTGAGACCCCTCCGTTGCCGCATAATGGCAAGGGCTTGAATGTTTTAACGCCAGCCCGGTACCCATCGAAGCGTCTAACTGAGGCTCAACAAGCTGAAGTCTCCAATGCCTTGCAGCAGACCTATAACACTGCAATAGCTGGTCTCACCGAGGGCAAGTTTGTCGCCAAGGCAGTTTTCCGGTCTCTGCTTGGAGAATGGAGTCTCGAAAGGGACTTGAATAGTCGGCTGCCTAGCCACCCAAGTGGTCACTTCAGTGGCACAGCAAAGTTTCTACTTAGGAAAGGCACGAAGGATGGAAGAGAAAACTTCAAAGGTGACCTCGGCCAGGAGTATCTGTATATAGAAGACGGCGATTTCAAGGCATCAAATGGGATGACATTCCGCGCTACGAGAAGATACATCTGGCGATACGATGACGCTACCGATACCTTGAGTGTGTGGTTCACGAAACCAGAAGACCAGAAGATGGCGGACTACCTCTTTCATCAAGTCGAATTTGTTGTCCCACCTCCCGGCGAAGCTGGCGATGATAGTCAAGGATGGGAAGCGAATGCTGGCCATCTGTGCATTGAGGACTTTTATAACGTCAAGTACAACTTCGCATTCAATGCAGTCAACCTGAAAGAATGGAGTATAGGATACACGGTTAGTGGGCCGAAGAAAGATTACACGATACATGGAGTTTACGAGAGGGCCTCCCGTTCCTAAATAGATGCTTTCGAGGCTCCAATGAATAGATTAGACTGCTAACTGCTAGTCGATGAGAGGTTCTTTCACTCGATATAGACATTTGAACCCTCCGCTACTCACTTAATCCTTTGGTAGGTGTTTTTTCGTGAACTGAAGCACCCTGTTCATCAAATCTTCAATATGCTTCCGTTCCCTGAAAAAGTGACCTTCCCGTGGATACGTAACGCATTCGAAGGTTAAGCCTGCCTTATCCATGGCTCGTCTAAAGCCCCAGGCTTGGGTGACAGGCACTCGCGGGTCTTGCTCACCATGCAAGATCAGTAAAGGAGGTATCCGCCCCTGGTCAACTGCATTCTTGAACTCCCATAGTGCTGATCCCGTTCGCGTCTTCAAATTGCTCTTGTCCAGGGTCCATATCTCGCCGCCTGCAGACTCAGCCTGAGTATACCCAAGGTCAGAAGTAAGCGACATGCTGTCCCACTCTGTTACTCCTGCTCCAGGTATTATCGCTTTAAAACTCCACCCGAACCCATGCGCCCCGTTCCTGACAGCTGAGAGGTATGACAAATAACCACCTTGGGACCAGCCCCCTGCCATGAGCTTTGTTTTGTCTGCGTAACCTTGTTTGATAGAAGATTGAGTCATGGCCACTATGTCCGGCTCGTCATGGATGCCATAACTGCCACTTCCGTACCTAGCAAATCGCTCTCCTCGACCGCTACTTCCTCTATAGTTTGGAATCAAGATGCCATATCCCTCTGCAAGAAGAAGTGGAGTGAAAAGGTGTATCGGGTCGAAGGAGTCGAACGCGTCAAGCATGCGGTAGTACGGTCCTCCGTGAATGAAAACCATGGTTGGGAGCGCCTGATCGGGTTTGCCATTCGACCCAGCGCGTTGAGACGGTATCAGAAACATTCCATCAAGCCTCTCTTTGCCATCTAAAGTTTGACATTCAAGAAAGGTGCATTGACTAGGTCCATCTGATTCAAATCCGTCGCCATGGCTTGAGAGCTGTGTCCTTTCGCCATGAGGACTGATGGAGAAAACTTCAGTAGGATGATTGACATCCCCTTCTGAAATAATCAAGGCCAGGTCTTTCGTCTCCTTGTTTAGAACGACATCGAAGTCTTTGATCCACTTTTTCTGACTGAGAAGGATCTTGCCATCGAGCAGTCGTAATTCGTCCTGCATTCCATTTTGAACATAGACGATCAAGTCATCGACAATCTTACTAACCCCGGCTGCGCAGTCATTAACACCATTCGCTACCTTACTAATGTCTCTAGACCCGCCGTTCGCGTCGATCGAATAGAGAGCCCATCCGGACGTGTTTTCATGAAGGATATTACATGTCCGAAAGTACAAAGTTGAGTTCAGCCATGTGAGGTCAGAAGCGTCCCGAGGGACATGGCAGACTTTGTGCGTTTCACGATCTTCAATTTTGATGATCGATATATCGGTGCCATATAGGTCTGCGCTCTCGATATCCGGGGTTCGATGTGTGACAATGGCGACTTCTGTACTGACATCGCTCCACGCGAAACCTGCCACGTCGACGTCGGTAGATGAGATTGTTTCTATTGTCCCCTTTTCCATGTGGAGTAGGTGAAGAACAGAGAACTGCCAATCCTGTCCCCAAACATGAGCATCATCCTTTGATTTCTCTTTGGCCTTTTTCTCCGGTGACTTCTCGGGGGGTGCAACAAACGCAATGTACCGCCCATCTGGACTAAATGCGAATTGAACCAGGCGCACTTCGTTCTCCTCTGGGGTAAGAGCCTTCACCTGGGAGATGTCGTTCCTCAAGTCCCAGAGGTAGAGCGCGCACGCCTTGCCTGGTTTCGCACGATCGGAGATGAAGACAATCGACTCGCCGTCGGGAGACCACTGCGGCATGCGATCATTGAACGTTCCATCGGTGAGCTTGCGGGCGGACCTCTCCACCCCAGTCTCTGCTAGCCATAGCGGTGCGACATTGTTATCTCCCTTGCGGTGGTGCCACTTGAGTGATGTTTGGTAAACGACTCGCTTTCCGTCTGGCGACAGCTTTGGTGCATATGGAACGTCCAAGTCCAGAATTTTCTGTATCAATTCCATGATTGCTGATGAAGCTCAAGTCGGATCGAAAATCACTATCTATGGGTAAGTCTGTGAGGCACCTTTAAGGCATCGAAGTTGAAACTGAGGTTGTAATCTCAGTGATGCCTAGAGTTGCGAAGCAAGCGCCAAGATAAACCCTGGTATTTTCGTAGATCATTACGTACATGCATAGTACTTGCTGCGCACCTGCCACTAACACCACAGAACTTCAGTGGTACTTTAGCGCCTTGACTGCAGGCGGTCAACCACATTGGAGCGGCCTGCACTGCACGGTTCGTAAGGTATTGGAACATGAGTCTCCGAGTAGAGGAAATAAGTAATTATTATATTGATGAGCGATTCCAACTACTTCAACCTGTAATTGTCATGTGCTTTAGAATCTGGGAGTGAAAAGGGCGCCTCCCCGCAGAGCGAAATGTCTGTTAGTCCGTTCTTTAGTCTCAACTCTTAAGTGTCTGGTCTGAACTCATTGTATAAGTCCGCTGGTGCAACAAGACTCTCCGGATACGTGCTGAAGATCGTTTATGCGATCATTGCCGTAAACGTTGCTGAGCTCTATGTGAACTCATGGAAGAGCGAACTGGTGTAAGTGCAATATCCCGTTTGCAAGTCAAGGTCCGCCGGTGTGATTGGACTGGCCGTGTAAATATGAAAGAGAAATCTGCTTTGCTATGCCATGAATTGAGGATTGACCAAAGTTTAATGATCATATATAAATACAATAATGAAATCAACAAGTTCCCATACACCAGCGTTGCATGTACCTAGAGCCCATTTATGTATTAGTCTCAACCTAACACAATCTTTTCTCCTGCAAGGATGCCTCTTGTGTGGTTTATTACAGGATGTTCATCTGGCTTTGGCGAGGAATTTGTCCAGCAAATTTTGCGTCGCGGTGATCAGGTCGTCGCTACGGCTCGGAGACTCTCTTCGATCGCTCATCTCCACCAACCCGGTGTGCTGTGTCTGGAGCTCGATATAAACTCTAATCAGAAGACAATCGATGAAGCTGTAGCGAAGGCCATAGGGGCTTTTGGGAAGCTTGATGTGGTTGTTCACAATGCTGGCTATGGAACAATGGGACCATTGGAAGAGATTGGGTAGGCCAACTCACTAGCATATGAATCGCCAGAATCAAGTGCCCGTATGCTAACACAATAAAAGAAATGAAGTATGGCTGAACCAGTTCGACACCAATGTATTTGGCGTTGTCAGGCTCACTCGCGCAGTTCTCCCCCATTTTCGCGTGCGTCGTACCGGCACGTTTGTCTTCATGCTCCCTCGCAGGCTGGAACGGAAATCCGCTTGCTTCGCCGTACAATTCTTCCAAGTTTGCTATTGAAGGGCTCGCTGAGGCTCTAAATGGCGAGTTTGCGCCTCTTAGCATCAAGGTTCTACTCGTCGAACCGGGTCACTTCAGGACGAATCTCCTTGCCGACGGTCATATGCAGGAGATAGAGAGCACTATTCCGGGGTACGCACAGATGATATCAGCCTTCGCTGCTGGTGTGCGCCAAGTCAACGGACACCAGCCTGGAAGCGTTGAAAAGGTGTGAATGTTGTCCTCGACTTAGTCAAAGAAGCAGGCGTTGCACAAGGCAAAGCGAAGCCTTTACGGATGCCGCTGGGTATTGATGCTTTCGAAGGAATCAAGGCAAAATGAGAGGAGACACTGAAGTTCCTCGCGGAGTGGGAAGCAGTCATCAAGAATACAAATCATGACGACTAATTTAGATAGATCAGTAGTTTCATTGCTTCATGCTATCCATACATAACAGTATTCATATCCCAGCTACAAAAAGCTTGGTTCTTACAAAACCTATTGACCAAGCCCTTACAGTTAGGCTCACTCTAAGTATATCTAGCAAGTGGACAGCCTTCGTATCCACAAGGAAACTCAATTCTGTGCCAATTCGTCTCGTTTCAGAAATGCGGATCAGCCACCAGATAGGCGATAAAACAATGTCCAATGGCGATGAAAAGTATCAACACAATCCTGTCAATTGTAGGCAGTTGATGAGTGTCGACAGCACAGAGACACACCAAGCACAAAGTTGGGTATGTAATTAGAGATACCAGGGGAACGCCGTCAGGCTCTGCCCTTTGCCGTTCCTCCTCGATGCACAGTTCGATAACCTTGAGTATCTCAACATCCGTCAGCTGCTTGTGCATGTCGGGGAGATGACAGTAGACGGGGCCGCTCCTATTGAGTGTGGCAAATCGATCTTCCGCACTAGGCAGGTGGAGGCTCTTGCGGTAGCTTAGGAACTCCTTAACCGTGTCCATCGAAGAGGTGGAGTCAGCCGTGTCACTAACGTAGTCGCGGCTTGATGCGCGTGACTTGCGGACATGACCCAGACCGCATCTCTGTTTGCTATTAGCAGAGCCAGTAATCATAGAAGCGGGAGACTTACTCTCTTGTCGGGTTTCAATCCATTGTATCTGGTGGAAGAGACCTTCTCGTCAAGGTTCCACCAGTTCTTTAACACGGGCTCCTGGCTAGCTGACCAGTCAGGGCTGCTAGCATTAGAGGGAAGGTGGCCATTGGTGGCCTTCTGCTGATCGGGGTTTGAGACCAAGACTTCATAACCATCGTGTCGAGACGGCAGAGAATTACCAGGAGCATTTGTCTGCAGTTGGTTCAAGCCAAGAGTCGAGTTAGCGGATGTCGCATTCGCAGTTGAAGCACCGAATGAGCTATGACAGTGCTCGAATGAGATGCGGTCTGATCCCAGTCGAGGCTCGAAGGGCGTGTTCAAAAGTGACAGTTGGAGGCGGGGACGATTGTCTGAGTTTTTGAAGCTGGAAAGGACAAATGGTGCGCCCCAACAATCCGAGGTAGGGGGAGGCACCTTCGGACTAGCCATACGATAGGGTTCAATGTAGTCAGCCTCACCGATGTCGTCTACGTTGAAAATAGAGTCATTGTATTTATGTCTACCATGAAGACCTGTCGGATTTGGCGTAGATGATACGGGTTTCTTCTCAGTGGTTGAGGCTGTCGAGGTGGTCGTAAGGTTGTGACTATCAGCAGAATCATCTGCTGTGCCACCAGACGCGGAAAGATGTCTTTGTGCAGGAAGCTGGCTCTGAGCGAAATTGATTTGGCCCATCTGCATCTGGTTGTCTCTGGGCTTCCAGAACACCTGAGATGAAGATGGGGTAGGGGCACCAAAAGAAAACCCTGGAAGCTCTGAGCGAGGGTTTGTTTCGAGAGTCGTTGGCGCTTTTGTGCCAAAGACGAAAGGCCGTGATATTATCTTTTCGACAGCGCGATCAGCGCATCCAGTCACCTCTGCCTCGATATCTGTTTTCGACACGGACCCACAATGCTCGCGATCCTGGTGTTTACTGTTTTCTCTGCTTGGCCTAGATGGCAGGCCGCCAGGGCCAGGTGTAGCGGAAGAGGTTGTTGCAAAAATGGCTTTCCGTTCAGCCTCAGGTAATTTGGCCGCGAAGTCTTCTAGGAGACGGCGCATGTTTTGTCTGACTGGGTCAGAACCCTCGCTGACTGAGTCCTGATGGAAGTTCATGGCGCAAACAGCGGGTCGAAGTCTTCAGTCAATGAACCGACGATTGATTTTGAGGTATAAAAAGGGAAAACGAACGAGCCGTCGCTGGCTGGACGGGACGTTTTCTTTCATCGATGAGGTCAGAAGTTTACTCGCCACTGCAATCTCTGGGGGAGGTAAGCAAAAGAGAGATCACCTCCTAAATTCGAGAAAGATAGAAGATTTTCAGAGCTGAGACCTTCATAGCGGCTCAGCTCAGAGGATCATGGAACGCAATAGCAGAGAGGTTGACTTTGGTTATCTTGTTGACGAGGAAGCTCGATGTTGCTGATTCAAGCAGGGACTTCATTTGTTTTCCATCTTGCCAAAAAAAAAAGCTTAATTTGAGGTTCCAGTTCTTGTCGCGTCTTCATTGCGCGCTTTCCACGCGCTTCATTCACGTGCTTCGAGAGGACTTCAGAATGATTATTGTTTACCGTCTGATTTCAAGACAACAACCGATTACACTTAGTGCAATCATATGTTTGGTGCTTCAGGTGTACGAATAGCAGATGTGCTCGACTTCTGCTCCACACTTTGCCCTGATGACGAAACCGGTTTATTCTTTTTCTTGGATTGCTATGACTTTGCTGTTCACGTATGTGGTCTTATTGGCCTTCTTGACAGCTTTGCATGTGAGGGGGGTTCTTCTCATTCTCAAATATTCAACGACAACAGAGCGGTTCCAATAATAGATTGCTGTGGCTGTTTTGATACTTCCATCTCTATCTACCTTTCGCGAGCCCGGCTTTTAACTTGCGAAGTAGTCAGAGTCACCAACAAAGAGAAGCAAGTTGCCAGAATTGAGTCTTTGAGGAAGTCCATGTATCCGTCACAAGTGCTGTAACAATCTCAGCTTATAGAACGGTTGAAGACGTGGCTCATCGCTGCATTCCAGTCCAGAATTTCTCAATTTTTTTGCCAATAAACCTTTCTAATCCTTAAGTGATAATCTTCGCTTCCAACTACAACGGTACAGCGTAAATTACGCTACTCGATTGCTGTCAGAGTTCTCTGATAATGAGTGTCCGCTCCTTATGCTGACCAGAGACGACCCAGTCTCCACGAGTGAAATACTTCATATGTTCAGGTCACTAACAACGTGTCAAATACGTCGACTGGATCTTGGCGGATGGAAGGAATATCATGTATGCACGACTCCAACAGTTTGCCGGCGCATGCTACTTACCTAGAAAAGAACATGTCGCACGGTACGATGAGGTAACACAATACAGCTTCAAATCCACAATGGCGGGTTCTGTATACATGAACAAGAAAGAGATTACGCTCTGAGCCAGGAAATTTGGAGCAGATGATGAACCGCAGTGGACAGATGGAACATGTTTGCGTGAAGAAACGAGGACAACGATGCCAGGAACCGGACTCTAAATGCAAAGGTTATCCGATCTGTACACGTGGTTCTACAACATGAGTTGGGCATCCAATCGTTATGACTGTGTATCGGGATCACAATGCGCCCGAATGCAAGTTGCCGACTTAGCATAGGCCCGGTTTCTAAGATGCTATTTATTCCATCGACAATGAGCGGCCTCGGACTCGAGCAGCCAAGCGAGACCAGTTACCGGATTTCTTAGGAAGGGTACGTGCTCCAGCTGCATGGTAGGCTGCATGCTAACGATGCCTCCCGGAAAGACTACTGGAGGGTCGGATGCAATGAGGCGACATGCCCGAGCTCATCATGTCAGAGGCGGTGGCAGCAGACGGAATGCCATACCAATACGCCCTACCTGGTCGGGAATTATCCTGGTTAAGCTTGTAGTCCTTTGGAGCCTCGGGATGCAAGGCAATTGGGCGAAAATCTCGAAGGTCAGAGTTTATTCCCTTGAATGGTGCTGAGTTAGAAGGGATGCCACGGACCAGGAGAACCGGGTGGCGCTGACTGTAGCCGCATGCATTGGACTTTTGAGTTCCAGTCATCCATTGCTTGCCCCATGCCCGTCCGAGCCGTCCTCCACATTCGAACTCCCCGCCATTTCCAACTCTTGGGGCTGCTTTTCTCCGTTGTTACTCTGGAAGAAAGTGAGGGACATGCGATGGCTCATATAAAGCAGATATCAAAGTTGGTGTATACAGGCCTTTATCACTCGAGGAAAGACACATCTGAGACTCATAACGGCCGCAGCATCTTACATTGCCACGTTACGCAGCCAACCGCAACCGCCGCCACCCTTGAACTAAGAGAAGAGTAGAGTCTGTAGACATGCTCCTCTGAGACCCTTGTGATCTCCATTATCTGGTTTGATACATCACTATACTCTCTTAGACACCTCATCTTGCTAGCGATGAGGGCCAGAATGCGGTGACCAATCCGCCTGCAACTTGTCCAATCACTCCTGCAGGTCCAACACATCTCCGTAGCACAAGCATATTGCCCTTTTCCTCCCGGATTCTTGGCCGGCATTGGGGCGCCGGAAGCATCGCAAGCACGAGTCTACGCTGCAATGATCGCCGTCGCTTACGGGGCGTGTGTTGACTTGGTTTCCCCTGTCTATCGCCAGTCCCTGCAAGTGAAGCAACACAGCGGCGGTCTAGTCTTTGATAGTGTCGACTTTCATCAATTTCCGACCCCAGGCTCACCTGGCGATGCAGCTCCTGCTGTACAACACAGCCGACGAAACAGATCGCGAAACCCTCCCTCAGCCATCTGAATGCCCCAATCTCACCTCTCTCTCGTACTGCCCCTTCCGGCGCCGAGGGTTTTCTCTTTATGCCGGTGGCTGCCGTTGCCGTTCAGCTGCCTCCCTCGGCGCCTCTCACCACAAGTTCACCGTTGAGGCTGCTTCCACACACACGCACACACACAAACACACCATCCTCGCGGCCCCCCATTTACACATGTCACCCTGACGATCATTCACCACACACTACTCACCTCTCCACCACTGACAGGGCTCGACGAATTTTAAAAGGATCGATCAACACGAGGCCTCGTTCACCTGTGGCGCTCGCTTGCTGATGACAGCTGCCTCCACCTCCAACTCGTCCACCCCGTCGTCTTCCCGCCCACACCTCACGCGCGCGCGCCCACCCTGCCCGATTCGGCCAGGCCTGCACCTTCGGGCGCCATTCTCACATCTCACTTACCTCGAGCAAACCAGCGCGCGCGCCTACTTCAATCCCACCTTCCTTCCTCTCCCTCGCTGCCCGCCGCCATGGCTGAGGGCAGCGGCGGAACGATGGTACTCGACGACCACGCGGCTCACACCTTCAACAGCCTGGAGAGGATGGGGGCATCTCTCTCCCTGATTGGAGTGGGCCTCATTTTCTTCTCATATGCCGTCTGCAAGCGGCTGCGCACTCTCTCCAACACCTTCATCTTCCTCGCCTCCATAGCAAATGTCGGTGCCAGCATAGCATGCGCGATCGGATATGCTGGTATCTGGGACCTGCAACGCAATCCAAACTCACCGCTCTGTCAGACGCAGGGCTTCTTATTCGAATGGTAAGTACGATCACGGTATTGCAGCAGTCACCAAGTTCATGTCACGACTCAGTCAGCCCCCAGCTCAGTGTCGCCTAGAACTATGCTAACATGTCGCAAAGGTTTATGCAGTCCGATCCATGGTGGTCATTGGCCATGGCCTTCAATGTGTTTATTGTATTCTTTAGAGGCGTCAGTCCCGACGTCTTCCGCCGGTGGTTATGGCTATACTGCCTCCTATGCTATGGCCTGCCATTCATTCCAGCCATTGTTTTTCTCGTCTATCGACCCGATGACAGAGGACTCATCTACGGTGACGCAATCGTAAGTATACCCTATATCACAAAATAGGAAGGAAGGAGACTTGTCACTAACACAAGCTTCTCATGACAGCTCTGGTGCTGGATTTCCCCACCATGGAACTACCTCCGCATTGTCAGCTACTACATCCCCATTTGGGCGTGTATCTTGTTGTCCATTCTTATTTACTTTGCTGTTGGTTACCAAGTGTTCCACCAGCGCAACCAGTTGCGCAACATAACGATCAGCAACCCCGGAAAGGATATCTCTACTGCAGGGTCTTCTGACGCACGAGATGATGCAGAAAAGGTAAGCCACTTGTTTTCTTTCGCGTGCTTCCCGAGCTACTAGTTGTGCTTCAACCCCGCCCTTGTGCGCTTCACTATCACGAGGGGGGCTGTTTGGCCCCCCTTAATCGACTTCAAAAAGGAGGGGAAATGGGCGACGGGGATGGCAGTTGGATCGACAAAGCCATGAGCTAATCAACTGTTCTGCTCACAGAACCTCACTAGCCAACCGGGTTACTACGGTACTGTCACGACCCAAGTCCACGTCACGACGGACATGGTACCGTCAGACCGTCGAAGCAGCGACCCCTCGGGGACGCCACCATCCCCATCCCCCACAAACCTTACCACCGCCACCATCTCCGCGGGTGGCGGCCAGACCTCGCTGTGGTCACCTTCCGTATCCACCGAAGTCGCGATCTTCCCAAGTCACGCGACGTCGTCTACGACTGCTAACACAATCTGTAATTTCCAGACCACGAGCAACATCCCCGCGCCAGGGCCGAATGCACCCACGCGCAGCAACAACAACAACAACAACAACAACAATGCCGGCAACAACACGGGAAGCGGCGGCGGCGGCTGGTTCTCCGGCGCGCGCAGATCGTGGCGCCGCTTCCGGCAGAAGCTGAGCAACATGGACCACGTCAAGATGGCGTACCTGCGGACGTCGTTCATCTTCGCCATCTCCGTGCTCGTCACCTGGACCCCGAGCTCCATCAACCGCGTCTACAGCCTCATCCACCCGGAGGAGTTCTCGTACGGCCTTAACATTGCCGCGAGCGTCGTCCTGCCGCTGCAGGGGGTGTGGAACGCCGTCATCTACTTCACCACCAGCTGGAAGATCGTCAAGTCCGAGTGGCGCCTGGCCAGGTCGCGGAGCCGGCTCCTGCGACGGCTCGGGCTCGGGCCGAGCGATGGCGATGGCGCGCTCGGCGCCCCTAACATGGGCAGGAGCAGGAGGATCAGGGACAATGATGTCGAGCTGAGCACGAGAGTCGGCACGTTACGAGTAGTGCCGGGCCACGGATTTGATGGTGGTTCGATCTGATGAATTAAGGGACTAAAAATTATCGGAGTCAAACTAAGGAGGGCCTGGTTCCAATGCTTCCAAAGGGACATTTAACTGATTACGAACTTTAGTGGTTGCTTAGCTTCGGTGTTCAGGATCGTATTATTGTGGACCCTGCAGGTTCGGATTCCTTGTAGATAAAATATATTGCTCCAAATATGCTCAATACAAACAGATGTCACATGGAAAATTCAATCTCATAAAAAAAAAGACAGTGTTTTCTGATCATTTCACGCGAAGAAATCTGGTCGCATTATCTCCCATTTTGAAGGTTAATAGATCATATTTTTGTCCGATGCCTCGACAATCAGCTCATTGGGCGATGTTGTCATGCACATAGTTCAAACAGAGGGAAAGAGCGAATTGATAAACTGGACTGAATGCTAGCTATGATCTTTAGGGCCGTCAGGATCTTATGTACAACGGGGAGCGACAGAAAGTGGTAGTCTCGGTCACATCGCTAATAGATCTAAAGCGTGGTTACTCTTCCAATATAGAATGAATCCGATATACATGAAGAGACTTTTATACGTTATGCTTGCAAGATGCAGATCTCTAGACCGTAACAGTGGATCCAACAGGGCCGAAGCGGATGTTCGACCAGACAACCTTGCTGTGCTACAGTCAGGTATTTGTTCACTTTGATAGGACAGAGAGAGAACATACGCATTGGGGATTGAGCTCTCGACGTCAGATGGGGTGCCAGAGTCTTGCGCGCAGTCGCCGCGAGCGGCCCCGGGCTGTCCCTCTTTCTCAGGAGGATAGGTAGAATCAAGCCACAGCATATTGGCATAGTGCTAGAAGTAAACGTCTATCAGTGATGATCGCCGAGACGGTTTCGAAGAGTTTTGCGACTCACATCGTCCCAGATAGACATAACCAAGACCATGGGCACCTTGAATGCGTTGTTGAGCTGGTCGAAACCTCCGACCTCGCTGAAGCGGTTGCGGTCGCCAAAGACCTTGAACTGGTTCTCGCAGAAGTCGGGAGTGATGTTGCTGCTGCTGGGCAAACCTTCATAGGTCGGGGCTGGGATCTCGATCTTTTTGTTATCCTGCACGAAGAATTGAGAGACCTTGTTCGTCTCAAAACGAGTGACAACGCTAAGCCATTCATAAGCTAACATATTCTTTACGATCTCAAGCATACTTACGTGAACTTCTTGCTCGTGTCCACAGTCTTGCCCTTTCCGTAGAAGTCGGTGTTGCCCATGCGATAAGGGTTGTAGTCGCAACCATTGGCGTCGCACTTGCCAGCGAAGCGGTCGTCAGAGTATGTGCCACCACAGGTGTCGGTCTCGCAGACATGGTATGTGTTCTCAGTGCATGGATGCGGAGTAAGAGCGAAGGAGTGAGAATTGGACTCCCTATGGAATTATTAGCACATCTCTAAAAGCATCAAACAGGGACTTAAGAGAGTTGATGCTCACCAGACATCGATCTCGGCACAGCAAGCGCCGTACGGTCCAACACCGGCGTTGGCGTCATTGGAAGATGGCTGCCAGTTCTCCACGTTGGCCTATTAAACCACTGTCGTCAGTCATGTCACCAAAGAATCAACAACGGATCACACACCTTGCCACCAACGAACTTTAGATCACGAGCGCATTGAGCATCGCAGTATCCTGTACCGTACTTGGCACCAGCCTTGTTGGTGGAGTACTTGGCCATACCACCATCCTCGTCCATGGCTACGAAATAGAGAGCAGCATTGAGACCACAGTCAACAGTCGACAAATCAACGTCGAAGGTGAACTCGTTGCCCAGTAGTGTAAACATTTGGTACTTTGAGGCACCATTCATGAGGTAGAATCGACTGCCGATATTGGTGCCATAATCGTGCTTAGTAACGAACTTGAGCGTGAGAGCGTCACCACTGGTGGAGGCGCCGTATGTCTTGCTGTAGTCGGCACCCTCGAGGGCGCACTTGGATGCACAGTCCGTGGCGGTGCTGCATGCCGACGTCCACTTGTTGCCATCGTAGCAGTTATTGGTGTCGGAGGTGCCGTGCAGCCATCGCCAGTTAGCGTCGATGACGACCTCGGCGTTAGTCGTGGTGCATGAGCCTCCACTGGTGCACTTCTTCCATGACATCTTGGGGTGCGTCTCGGTCTGCTCTTTACCGACTTGTTGAGCGCTGGCAAGCGCCAAGAGCGAGAGTCCGAGAGCGGATGGCAGATGCATCTTGATAGTAGTGTGCGAGGCGAGTGAGAACAGAGTTCAGCCAGTCAGCGACAACGAGATGCTAAGAGCCGAGAGTCGGACAGGCTTGGGACCATATGTCTTTTATACTCAGGTTTCTGTCTTGCTGCCGGCGAGGGGACATATTCTATCCGTTTTTCCAGCCGAATGAAGCTGTCCTCATAGGGAACGCTCGGAAGGGGCCAATACTGCCCCTGAATTTGAGCCCAATTTCATGAAGCATAGATTAACAGATAGGTTCATAATATGGCCCTACTCAAACGTGCCATATTGCGGAGGTTGTGGAGAGATGTGGAGAGCCAGCTGATTCCCGTGAGTCGGTGGTATGTCACTGTCTTGGCCATCCACTCGGAATTGACGACGACGCTGGGGTGGGCATGTCCAATACAGCCGGCCGGTACCCAGCACGCCAAAAGCGAATTATGACCAATCTTGATCCAAATCATTCACGATGAGGTGTGTGGCAAGTCTTGTAGGGGAATATTAGTTCATGCCCCAGAGGACGCCCTTGCTAATATCAGATGCAGCGGCGGGAGGTCGCATGGTGGTTATACTTCGTCCTGGCAGGGTGTGAATGCGGGGTGGCAAAAGACAATAGAACCTTGATTGACCAGTAGGAAATTCAAAGACGCACAGAGATTTGGTCCATTGTGCCCAGCAAAAGATGTGGCTTCGCGGGCCGGAAAGGAGGTTTGCGGAGATCGAGGTGCCGGCTATGAGATTTGATGGAGCGAGCAAAAGTGTGGAGTTGTCTGAAACAAGCGACACGGGCAGAGGACGGCTTTCCGAGACAGGCGAGAAGTCCTCAATGCGGCTTGTGGAGACATTTGCGGCCGTGAGGTGACCCACAAAGCCCTCGTCTCTTGGGGCCGTATCGGCGCCGGGCTCCACTCTGCTCCGAATACCAGCCCGGACCGGGTTGAGCCATTGGGCATCAAAGGTTGCGAAAGAGCAGCTGGAAAAATCGCAATTGAGCGCCTTGGTGCTGTCAACATCGCCGCGCGCTGGAGGGAAAAGATCGTGAGGTGGCACCGCCAAGCCAACAAGGTAGAGCCTGCGGTTGATTTGCAACGCCGAGAATCGTTGCCTGACAGCTGCAGTTGCCGGCGAGGTGTAAGTGCCGGTGAGGTCGCGATGCCAAGGCGAGGGGTTGGAGGATAGATTAATATCCAATTAACAGGCTGCCTTGGCCGTCTGAATGGAGGCGAGCCCGGACTCCGGTACAACAGAAGCACGTGACTGACCATTTCGGCTCCTCTTCTCTTGGCTCGTCCTTAAGATGTTATTTAGCTATGAACTCCTAGAGTAGTCAGTCTGCTAGAATAGGGCTTAATCTTAATCATTGGCAGCCTTGATTCTTGATCAAGGGTCAAGAGTTACGCACATGATGTTTTCATATAGAGTGGGCCAACGCTGCCTTGACCTAACTGGACTCAATTCTTTTACCCCTCATGTTTCCAAACTTCCTTGCTTGTTTTAACTTTTCAGATCACAGAGTATTCAGGAAAGCAAGTTCGCTAAGTCAAAAATCCAGATTTTGTTATTCAATGAGCACAGACACAATGTCGACATCATCCTGAAAATGGAGCTGATCACGATTCTCCGATAAGTTGGGTTGCTGTTCAGCAAATTTTGATGAGCAAAGACTTCGTCCCATATCTCTCTTCCTGGAATTTCCAGCCTCCGGGTAGCCCACAGAAATGGTAAAACATCTTTATGAACTCGCACTTGAGGTCGCAAGTTCTTCGTCCTTTTATAATGGTTCTTGAATAGCTCTAAAGTTCAGCAAGTCTATCAGGGTATGTCAACGCTAAGTTAACGTTGACTTGCTGCTTCTCCAACGTGAATGGGCAGCCGGCTTGAAGTTAAGCCGTATGACACTTGCACCACCGCAACCAGAGCCTCTGATTGGTTGTGCACAACTTCAAGCTAAATAAGTCGACTTTGCAGCGCAATCTCAGCAGAGAGCCTCAGTAATGCTGGAACGTTACTAGACCTTAGAGGTGTCTCTCGTGGGGTAAACGGCTAGGCTAGTTGTCATGTTTTCTCTTTCAAGGTGGCTTGGAACGTGAGGTAACTTGTCACAAACTTTCAATAAGCTTTTGCCAATACATGCAGTACCAGAAAGCATCACTTGGCAGTGCTCTCCCACAATGTCTTTCAAGATGATGCGTAGTTTCGACTACGGCCTCATGTTCTTGTATTGCCGGGCGTTGGCAGGAGGTACTTCTTACCCTCCACCAACAACATACAGCTACAGCGACGTCACCTTTACCATCACACCAGCACCGACTCCATCTGCTATCATCACGCTACCTCCTGCACCTACAGGCATTGCTGAGATTGACATTGTTTTCCCTCGTGATGGCGCATCCTACCCAGCAATGGAGCCTTTCCCGGTCATATTCGCCTTGCAAAAACCTCAGATTTTGTACAAGTACGGATTCGAAGTGGACTGGAGTCTAACGCGTCAAGGAGCTTGCGATCCTTCCTCAGACGACTATACTGACTGTTATGACAACCCTTATGGTTCAATCTCGCCGAGTGTCGGGAATACAGGGTTTCCTGTCCCGGATATCATTGGCGAGGAGCCCATTTTTGCATATGATGGTGCGACGGACATGGCACCGGGTGTGTGGGTGATGCAATGGGAATTCGATATCTCTAGGAATTGTGATGATCTATACTTGATCGTTGAGATACACCAGTATGGGGAGATTGCGAATGGGACAATCACCTTCACAATTGCAGATGGAGCTCCAATGCCGACTCTGACAAGCTCCTGTCCCGCCGTAGCAGGTATGGTCAGCTACTGGGGGACAGTATCGGCAACCTTGGCAGATGGCTCTATCTTCCAGGGCTGTCCTGGGACCGCTATATCACCTCCGCCTGCGTCGGCCGCACCATGTTCTGCGACCTTGAACGCTGCGCAGGCATCCAGTATCTCGACAGCTTTAGGGCTGTCTGTGGTGAAGTCAACATCTTCTTCGCCAACCCCATCATCCCATACTACTCTAGGACTGCACACGTCTGTCACAATGACATCAGAGGAACCAGGAACCCTAACGTCTCTGGCTGGCTCGAGTTCCGACCAAACCACAGCCTTTACCTCGACTATGACGGTGACACCGTCAAGTTCACCAACCTCAAACTTCTCGTCGAAGATAAAAAATAACATTTGGTTGGAGATCTTCATGGTGTCCTGTTGCCTCATCGTGTCATGATTCACAGCATGATGCGATATCTGCGCTGGAGGCGTAAAATGCATTTGATAATGAGTTCCGTTGTGTTTGAGGCGCACCCGGTGGTTTCCAATATCCAAATCTTGCACCCGCCTTCATTTTACATATAACCGAGCATCTTGAAACAAACCTTAGCATAGCTTTCTCTGAGAACCTGTCCTTATAATCGGTTTATAATACTAGGAGACGTTGTTATTCCAAGACGAGCTTTTGTTTTGTAAGGGCTAGAGGATGATGACATATCAGTGCTCTGTATTGGCACCCGCTCCAGACAAGGATACGAACCGCCAGATTAAACGGTATCGGCTAGCCTAACGTTTGGTTTGTTACAGATGATCTACCACGGCTGCACGGCCAAGCCAAGTGGGTTCCTTAGAATCCTTCAGCGCTCGGAGCTCTGCCCCGATTCTTATATTCTGACGAGGACTTCAACGCTGGACTTGGCTTCAATATCGTTTGAGACTCGTGCCGGTGGGCTGCAGGATTGTTGTCTTTGGTTCTTGTTGCTTCAACACTTCACCAATGGCTCTTGTTGTCTTCCAATTCTTCGACGAGGCTGGGTGTGATATGCACCACGAGTATGTCTTGAACGCCAGTCAATGCGTGAATACGAGTATCATTAGGCTTTCTCTTTGCTGTTACAGTTGACTTACCCTACCAATCTGTCTTGATTCTGTGGGTGTGAACTACTGACTAGGTTGGAAATTTCTTACTGTCAAAAATGGCGAAATGACTATCCTGGCGATGTAAGCCCTAGGCAATGTCTGGAAAGGGGACATCGATAACGCCTTCAGCGCTTATCGACAGTCCGACATGCGGGTAAACTTCACAAAGCGCATGCAGCACCTGCATGAAGGCAATCAATAGAATTATTTTGGTCTATGAGAATGATAAGTCCGTTTTGAGCCATGCATTTGCGCGGGTACCGGAGTCCAGATTGCGCGCCAACATCGCGGTGCCTGGATGAGGGAGTAAGCGGAGTAGTTGCACGAACCCCATCCCAGGAACGCGATCCTGCACGGCCCACAACCTAAGCCCTAAGGACCTTGGATCTTACACTTCAATTTCGCTAACAGGGAAGAGAGCGTTGTCAGCCTTATTCAAACAGATCCGACTGTCATCCCCCGTAATCCCCCTTGTTTCGGCCACAACTACCGGATGCGGTGGACAACTAAGCTTGTCTTGAAAGCCGGAAAAGATTCAAATTCCCACTTCCCCCAGGAAGTATTCGGCTCCTGTCTTCAGTACGGGGATGAACTTCTATTCAACGGTCTGGGGATGTGCATGAGAACTGCCCTACGAGCTCCATTAACTTTGTGAGCGTTCTCCTTCTTTTGCGGCCGGAATTGCGGGCGAAGCGTGCTCAATTGAGAAGATGTCGTCCGCTGGCGGTGCAGATGGAGTTGCTCCAGCCCCTCCGGCCAACTTTTTCGACCCCAAGCCGTTGGGCAACTATCATTCTACCGTCTTTGGAGTATGCATCACTTTTCTGGTAGGTTTCCATCGCCACTCTGTCGAGGCCAGGTCGTGTTATTAACTTGAACTCCGTGAAGGCTGTTGGCTGGATCACAACGTCAGCTCGATTATGGACTCGTTTTCGAATCACGAAGACTCCGGGATGGGATGATGCTGCCGTAGTGTTAACTTTGGTAAATATAATCCTCTACTAACATTCCTGTGTGGAAATGGAGATTGACCCATATTTTGCCATTTTAGCTCATGATGACTATGGGAACGGTGGCATTTTGCGTTGCAACAAGATTTGGACTTGGGGAGCATGTGTATCTCATTGATCTAGCCCTTGTGCCAAAGTTCCTACTATGCCATTACATCATTGGAGCTTCCTACACGTCATCAACGGCTCTGATTAAGATTTCTCTTCTCTTGCAATACCTTCGGATCTATGAGAGAGGGACGTGGATCTACCGCATTACTCAATTACTGCTGGTACTCGTCTGTTTATGGGGGTTTGCCTACTCGTTTCTATCATGGGGCTGTTGCCTTCCCAGTCCATCGGCATTCTGGAACCTCACGTACAAGGGCTGCTATGGCTTTGCGTCGCCAATTGCTGCGAATGCCATAGCCACGATCGAGAGCCACGCAAGTGTGAACATGGCGTTGGATGTCGTCGTTTTAACAATGCCTGTCCCTATGCTCTTCAAAAAAGACACTCCTTTCAAGACAAAGATGGGACTATTGGTACTATTAGCCATGGGATGCCTGTGAGTCTCACGCCGTAGTCGAAACACATGCTTGACATTTGCTGACATCGTTCAACCAGTATCACGTCCTTCTCCATCTGGCGCCTACACGCCGTCATCGCGACACAAGCTGGCTTCTATCCAGTGGTGGACCCAACATGGAACGAGCCCGAAGCCACACTGCTCTCCTTCATCGAAGTTTACCTCGCGGCAATCACTGCGTCAACACCAATTTTCTGGCCTGTGCTCACCGAGCAGCTAAGCAAGATCTTCGTCATGTATGAGTTCGAAGTTTCGTCCGAGTTCCGAAATCCCGGGGATGATGAAGTGGAGCTCGCTCCCACAGAGTCCTGGCATACTGGAAAGAAGTCCGCGCACTTTCAAGACGTGAAATCTTTGAACAGCAAGGATGGTGACGATGTGGAGTTTGGACACAAACCGAACCCATCACATTACTCGGATGACTACCTTCAGAGTCAGGTAGATCCCTTTTCAGAAGAATTCAGAACGGAGGCCACGGCAAAGAGCACCGTTCCAAGTCGAAAGCGGAAGCCAAGTATTGTCCGTTTCAACAATGCTTGATAACAGAATTCAGGTTTGGATCACAATATCAGTCATACTCTGGGAGGGTCAAATCGTATGTTGTATGGGGTAAGGAGCTTGGTTGTCGTCGGGCTTCAGACATTTGGGCTAAGCGGTAAACGGTTGGGATGAGGCGTTTTAAAACACTAGGTTACAGGATACCCTACATGTATTATATGAAGATAATCTATCATTGCAACCTACATGTCATCACCCTAATGGGTAGTGAGGTTATTGCTTTCACTTTTGTCGTCTGTCTAGTGGTCTATTAATTCAAATATCCTTAGAGATGCCATGCTATGTGCAACAGGACCAGTAATCACTGTTTGGCATCGACCACAAGCCAACAAAAAGAAGAAAAGAAAAAACAATCAAGACGTTTCCAACTCATTGGACGGCCCGTCATTCGGTTACCTTAGTGGCTGCTGGATCTCGCTGCCCTCTTCAAACCAATGAAGATGGATGCTTTTTCTTCTGTAATCATATCTTGCTCTTTCAGCCGACCACACTGATAATCACTCGGTATTTATGCATAGCGATCTGTCATTACATCTGCCATCACGTATGTAATGGCGCTTTTGACAAGTGAATGCCTATGTGCCTGATGATGGGAGTGTGGAGCGCCCTAGGCACGCAGTCAAGAGCCACCTGGCAACCAGCTGGTCAGGGGTAATCCACTTTCTGCCCCTTAATCAGGATTGGAAGCCTCCAAGAACCGCATCTCCAGAGCAGCGTAGCCACACTAACAAGATGTCCAGCAAATTCTTTACGAAGAGAAAAATTGAATATGATTCTGTTTTATGCATCACATACATGGGCAGATTCACCTTTGGACCTAGCTGAGTGAATTTGTTCTCCGCGCCTACTATTACGCCTATAAAAGGGCTAGCGACTATGATAGGCATATTCTATACACTTACATATCTCGCTTGATTCGTATGCACGTTATAGTATTACAACGGCTCTCTTACATCTCTTCTTTCTCCTTTCACCACTTTAAGCCGTATCCTCCTCGTGATGAGTCGTCTCCTGATCAACCGTGCGATTCTTCTCGATATCGTTGGCCAGGTTACCGAGGGCACGGTCGCCGAATAAAAGGTCAATCTCCTCAAGTGATAATCCCTTGGTCTCCTTGAAGAAATAGAGCAGGCACGGGAGGGTGATGACAAGATTCCAAGCGACGAAGAGGAAGTAGAATTTCCAGCCGAGATGTCCCAGAGCAATAGGACTGACCTGCGCCCAGAAAGTAGCAACCAGCCAGTTACCGATACCGGTGGCAAAGGCGGAGCCCTTGCTACGGATCTGGTACGGGAGAACCTCGCTCATGTAGGTCCATGAGACGGGACCGAATGAGAAGGAGAAGAGAATTGTGACGCAGAACAGGAACGCCACACCAGCGATACTAAGACCACGCTTGTCTCCGTCGGTGTTCTGACTGTTGATGGCACCTTCGCAGATCAGGGCGATAGTGATGGCGATGATGCCGTAGATCAAAGGCCTCTTACGTCCAATGCGATCAATGAAGAAGGTGATGAAGATCAGGTCTAATATTGATATCAGCATGAGTTTCAACACGTTTACTAAGACAGTGATGCTACTTACTCGCAATGGGACCGACACAGTTGTAGATACCAGCGACTAGCAGGTTGGTTCCACCTGTGAAGCCAAGAGCCTCGTACATGATGGTTTGATAGTAGCCGATGACATTGATACCAGTAAACTGGGTAAAGACTTGCACGAGTGTTGCGAGTGTAAGGCGGCGACGCCATTGAGGCACCTTAAACATGATGAGCCAACCTGGGGCGGTGGCGCTCTTCTCAGCATCGATGGTCAATTTGATCTCATTGAACTCGTTCTGGATCCAGTTGTCGTTGGTACCGTCGTAATGTAGCTTCCGTAGGGTCCTCATGCCTTCTTCGAGACGGTCGGTTGCAATCAGGTGACGGGGTGACTCTGGGAACCAGATCATACCAACTGCGAGAAGGGCGGCGGGCAGAGCCTGGAACGCGAGAGGGAAGCGCCATTGGAATTCAGACGAGTCTGGCATCTGCTGACTGCCATAGCCAACCCATGTTGATACAATGAAACCGACGCCAATCATCTGTTGAGCGAGACCGACAATGAGACCACGGATCTTGGGGTTGGCGCACTCTGATTGATAGACAGGGACTATACACCACGAAAGTCAGAAGTCTGCTACAAGCCGTAGAAAGTATGGGTATTTTGTGAACTTACCACTCATAGAAAGCAGGCCAATAGCAAAGCCAGCAATGATACGACCGACAAGCATCATAGCCAGGTGGTAGGAAGCAGCCTGAAGGATGGCCCCGACGGTACAGATGAGAGCACCAATACCAATGGTCCTGCGACGACCATATTTATCCATGATTACACCACCGAACAGGGCACCAAATACGGCACCTCCATTGAAGGTGGAGTTGATGGCACCAATGATAGAGGAGGTGGCAGATGTGTCGAAGAAGTCGAGGAAGTTTGGTGATGCAATGACATCTGTCATAACACCTGAGTCATATCCGAATAGGAATGATCTGGGAAAGGTTTCTGTCAGCATCATTGAACTAGACAAAATATTGACAATAGCAGACAGTAGGAAACCAGATAGATGGCATCAAGAGGTGATTAGACATACCCAATAGCGGCAAAGCACGCTATGCCAATGTTGAAGACTTTGCCCATGGCGAAGGCAGGAGGGGGTTGTTGTTAGTCAAGTAGGTTGATTGTGAACTGTGTGTTTGAAACACTGATGTCTGAGGGACAAGGTGAGGCTCAACACACAATGCGACGCCATTGTCGACTATTTGTACCAAGACGGCACTCACTCTAGTCTTCGCAAACTACGGGAAGACAAGTACATCAGCGGCTTGTCGAACGAGACCCACCGACCCACGGGGATGTTTAGCCCCCAGGGGAACGCTCCCCGGGTTGTTCTGGTCACAGGTGGAGCAGTCTGGTGTGACTGGAAATCTCCTCACCTACTACTCACGAGGGCCTATCCGGTCGAGCCATTCCCGGCCGACTCCAGAGACCTAGCCATACCTCGCCCGAGAGCTCTGGAGATCTCCGGGGCTTGTCTCTTAGCTAGGCTAGATTGCCGACGGCTCCAAACTCCCCGTACCTCAATGGCGTGGGATCGTCATTGCTACCATATATTCATGGTAGCGAGCGCGGTATTGCTGTTCGGTAACATAGAATGGCATTCCCGGGACTTACCAGGAAATACGGGTTCACTCCAGAGCCCCGCGAGTCAGGACAGGGATTCTATCAGTTGCCCTTCTCCGTCTTTCCTGACGAATACGCCAGTCCCGGGCAGCTGGGATCCTGTATCTACCCCATGGTTAGACTTCTCATCTTCATGGCGCCGTCTCACGGGTAAAAAGGTTTGCTAGTCATATTATCCAGCATGTAGCTCGTCGTGTTGTGGTCCTGATACTAAGCCTGTGGATCACGCTGAAATGCAGCAGTGCGCCAGGGTTTCCGGGAATAGCGGTCGACAGAGCCGCACATTTGCATTGCACGTGTGCAAACAGCAGCCAAGCCAGCTGGACTTTTGCAGTGGCCAGTCGTCACCCCACTGCTTCGTCTCTGAACAAAGTACCAGGATAGCGCTGACGGCCCCGGGAATAGCTTCGGCGGGCGCTGGCTAAATTGCTGGATAAATGCGAAGCGAGCATCCCAGTCCCACAAAAGCGCCGTCGGCTGCTTGACTAGGCGTTGTCGTGTCCGCCGCAAAGCCACGAGTCAGCGACGGTCTGTAATAAGCACAGCAGGCCAGTGATTGCGGTGCACTCCGTGGGGTTCCAGGCCCCCAGACGCTGACGATCACGGCCCATGGGGTGCCTGGAAACTCGCTATTCGCTATTTCGCCATGATTCGGATTCATCATGAATTATTCGGTGTCTGACACTAACTAGTGAGCTATTCACTGCCAGGGCGTAGTCTGTCGTGATCTTGTCAATAGATTGCAATCGAGGCAACACGCTTTTCATCGACTTTGAATAAAGACGGGCGGGTAAACATGCAGGTCATCTGTAACAAGAATACAGCTGAGCAACTTTTGGTGTATGTCATCTAAAAAGGCTTTGACGGGATCAGTCAGCATTGGTCTTGACTCGTCAAATGGACTGAAGATTGCCTTGGCCCGAATCTAAAGTTTAGAAATAATGCGAGAGCACAGAAAGCGTGGCAGAATAATGTAACAAGAGGAATCAATTCCCTAGTTTCTGAAGTCAACCCTTACGCCTTTCAATGCAACTAGCCCTATCTAAAGCATATACACCAGTCGTAGTACCATTTCCTGGAATGTCTACCCACTAATTGAGAGAAGCCGCCAAGACATAGTAGTTTACAAAGCTGTGATAGAGACTGGAGCATCTCCTTCGAGGCTGCGCCCAGCATCTGAAACGACGACTGCTCCTGTCAAGCCGGAGGTGCCCTGAAGCCTGCCGTCAGAGCCTACGACAAGCTCGCCGACAGTATCGCCTGTGCCGCCTACCAACACAGCCTTGGCACCTGGCGCAGCCTGGTACAACGCGACCTCGGCGTCCTTGAAGTAGTCGTACACAGCCCCGACTGCCTGGCGGTTTCCAAGGACGAGGACTGTGTTTTCACGGACGTAGAGTGGGAGGGAGCCGAAGTTGTGGTGCTCCTTGAACCAGCCGGGACCAGTCTTGACCTCATTGGTGAAGAACGAAGTCCACTTGCCCTTTGGCAGGTAGAACTCGACATCGCCCGACTCTTCAAAGATGGGGGCAACTAAGAGTTGAGATCCCATCATGAATTGACGGTCAAGATACCATGCGGTCGGGTCGTCCGGGAATTCGAAAGCCACTGACCTCAAAGACAAGGGAATGCCTCCCTCCCTCGACTCTGCTGCCTGAGAGAGAATGTAGGGCATCAGACGTGTCTTGAGAGCAGTCCACTTAGCCAATGTCCTGGAGCAGCCCTCCTCTGTCTTATCGTCATTGTCGACTGTCCAAGGGACACGGTACGAATTGCTGCCGTGGAGACGACTGTGACTGCAGAGCAGACCCATGGCCACCCAGCGCTTGTAGATCCAAGGCGGGGGATATCCCTCGAAGCCACCAATATCGCAACTCCAATAGCAGAAACCACTCATACCCATGGACAGACCTCCTCGGACTGTCTCGGCAAGTGCTTCAGGAGTAGACTCGCAATCGCCACCCCATTGAAGAGGGAATCGCTGGCAGCCTGCGACAGCCGATCGAGCGAAGAGAACAGCCTCATCTTTGCCGTATCGCTTCTGGAGGGCCTCATAGACAATACGGTTATATGCAAATGCGTAGTAGTTGTGCATTTTGTGGGGGTCGACAGTTGGGTCAAACCACTGGACGTCCTTAGTGGGGATACGCTCGCCAAAGTCGGTCTTGATAGCATCGACGCCCTTGTCAAAGAGTCCATTGAGGCACTCCACGTACCACTTGACAGCCTCGGGATTGGTCACATCAAGAAGACCCATTCCGGCCTGCCAGAGATCCCACTGCCAAACATCGCCGTTCTTCCTCTTCAAAAGGTAGCCCTTGTCAGCGGCGTGTTGGAAGGCAGCACCGTGCTGGGCAATATAAGGATTGATCCAGACGCAGACCTTCTTGCAAAGACCGCTCTCCTTGAGGCGCGCAATCTGTCCCTTGGGGTCTGGGAAGCGCTCTGAATCGAAAACGAAGTCGGTCCAGGTGAAAGCTTTCATCCAGAAGCAGTCGTAGTGAAACACATCGACGGGCGAGCCCCGAGCTTTCATTCCCTCGAGGAACGAGTTCACAGTCGCTTCGTCGTAATTGGTGGTGAAGCTTGTAGTCAGCCAAAGACCGAAGCTCCAGCTAGGAACCTTGCCAGCTTTGCCGGTCAAGATGCTGTACTTTTTGAGGACATCCTTGGGTCCGGGGCCGTAGATGATGTACATCTTCAGGCGCTGGCTTTCGACTGTGGTCTGGACTCGGCAGGAACGCTCGCTGCCGATCTCCATCTCGACGCGGCCCGGGGTATCGATGAAGACACCATAACCACGGTTGCTCATCCAGAAGGAGACGTTTTTGTAGGCCTGGTCACTGGAAGTGCCACCGTCGGCATTCCACAGATTGACAGTTTGGCCAACCTTATTCCAGGCACCAAATCGCTCGCCCAGACCGTGCACCGATTCGCCGACGCCCAGGTTGGTCTGGAAGAACATGTAGTGTTTGAAGTCTCTCATATCACCCAATTGCATTGGGCTACTGGGAGAGGGGCTGTATGCAAAGCCCACACTCCTGTTTGCGAGAGTTGTGAGGTGTTTGCTGCGGTCTGTGCTGTGAAACTCCAAGTTGAAATTCTGAGGGTCGGGGTGGACGGTGATTGCCAGAGAACCAGACTCTAGTGTAGTTCCCTTGTCGCTCTTGACGATCCGGCCTTGAACGGAGGGCTTGCCATCGGGATAGAGCTCGAAATGAGGCCCTTTGTTCTGAGCACCGGCCCAGTGTGTCGCTTCAATGGAGATGACACCGTCCAGCTCCGCCTTCACGCCCAGCGTGACGGTAGGCTGGTTTAGCGTGTCACCACGGCTGTTGATGTGCTTTGTCGGACACAGGAGGCTCATGGCCTGCTGGTCCTCCTGAGGTGTAATTTCGTACACATCTTCGGCGTACTCGGCGCGGAGCTGCTCGGCCGGTAGCCACATGCCATCTCTAAGGCGAACCATGATAGAACGTGTGGTTGCAGGTATATGTGATTGAGATTGACAATGTACTAGTAGACGATGATGATAATATGACAATTACTGATTGTGTGAGAAAAATGTCGTGCAGGAGCAAGAGCTAGAGCCTTGAATGTGTTTGAGTGCGACGTACGGCTGGGGTTTTTGTCCAGGCCGAACGGAGGGAGAAATGAGAAATAGCTATCAGCAAGCTCCATGACGATCCGATAGTATCATGTCGTCAGCAAGCCTCGAGCAAGCCTGTCCAACACGTGAAGAAACGGCAGCTCCAGGGTCAGTGTCTCGAGCTTGAGGATTCAGCCGCCTCAGGAACACCCACTTTGCAAATCCACCTGGTCCACCCGATCGTATGCGTATGAGGTGAAAAGCGCCGCAGTCAGAGAAGCTCAAGAGCCCCAGGGCCCCAGGGCCCCAGGAGATGCCGTGGAGCTGCGTCGGAACTCGGAATGTGGCTTCACGCCACACCACAGAAACAAGCCTGGAGCCGTCGAGAATGTTGCCAGATCCGACCATCGTTCAGCCGGGTAAATGCAGTGGTCCACCCGGTTGAATGCAAAACCAGAGCCTCTCCGGGCGCGCTACAGGGCCTTTTGCGGCCCATGACCAAAGTCCCCCGTTTTGGGTTATCGCTAACGTTAGCTACCGGTAGTGTCAACCAAATGTCGACTCCACCAGGTTCTCGGGCCTCACCCCCTACCTACCTACCCATGATCCTGCTCCTCGGTTACCCAAGGGATGATGCATCTTGCTGACAAGTTGTTCACCGCTCGTACATCGCTGTGTTACCGCATCTGTGTCATGCGAGACTGGCTGGCTACGTCTTGCAAGTGGCCTACATCTGAGGCGTAGGGGTAGGTACTGTACTGTACCTAGTGCCTACACATGACACTAAAACTCCAACCCCGCGGTTTCCTGTGGCAGCGTCGGTTCCTGTCCACCTTTAGGTGGTTGCGTTGCGGAGAGAGGGATGCCCCATGAAATATATCCTGCGATTTCGCTGACCTTCTTGGAATTGGCCGTCTTTTCTTTACTTGACATCTGGTTGGTGCCCCCGCGCAAATTGTGTAGCAGCGCGACGACGACCACCTTTGGGATACCCTGTCATGACAGGTGACCTTGTTTTCCTGGGCCTGCTCCGAGTTTCGATAACTCGTTGCTGAGCATGGTTCTCTCAGCCTCTAGCCTCTTCACCCTCATCTGCAGCAGCTCCCTCTCTTGCCTCTGCCTGCCATTCGCAGAGTTCTGTCCAATGCCGAAGCAAAGGAGTGTGCTATTAGCTGGAAGTCATTCCACAGCACGGTCGGTAGTCTATGTAATTGTTTGAAAGCTCATTCACTGACACCACGGGGGTTTGCAACGTGGTCAATGCTTCCAAGTGGTTGTGCATTAGTTGATCTTGAGTGCAGGCCCTTTTTCGATTCCCATCTACCGATACTGCAGTGGACAGAGATGTTCATCGGAAGAGAGACTGACCGCTCGTCAAGCCATACAATATGTTCCTGGCGTGCGTGTGGTCGGGTCGGCGACAGACGCCCAAATCAGGGCGATCATTCAAACACTAGTCTGAACATCAGCCTTTTCAGTGATGGTCACTCCTGCAGCGTTGCGCACAGCTTCAGGCGATGCACCCTGGATGTTCCATGATCTCAAATGCATCCCTATAGCACGCCTCGGGCCGAGAGACACGTGAGCAGGCAGTCAGCGAGCTAGCCTTGAACTCAAAGCAATCAAGGCATCGCCGACATGGCTGTGAGGCTGTAGGTGGCGAGGCGCCAAGGGATCTCGATTCTATGACGGTAGCTGTTTGTCGGCTTCATACGTCTTCGTCTGCATCTTTCTGTGATCGATGGTCTCGGTCGCGGCAACTCTTTAGATCTCAAGAAGTGCAAAAGCGTCCGGTCATCGACGAGGCAAATGAATGATGAGAATATCGGTAGAGCTCTGCAGTCATATCAGCTGTCCCTTGGTTCCGCTTACTTACTGAGGCTATGGTCGACGGCCAGGCGTGCGTCGAACAAGGGTCAGCGACGAGGGCGCCGCTCTGTACGTATCACGGGCGCGTGGTTTGGAATGCACGTAACGGATTCCCTGACCGGACACATACTCTTCCCATCCGTGAGGCCGTTCGTGGAGGTGGAAGATTGGCGACATGGTGCACCCTGGCTGCGTTGTCCGACAGTCCTCTCGCCTTCGGATTGGAAACTTGGTCAGTAGTACTGACAACGCAGGGCAGGCAATTCTCGGCAAGAGCCTCCATTTCAGTCCTCACAGATGCTGAGTCAGTAGACAACCAGAAAATATGTACAGAGTGAGGGGAGACATACGTTGTTGCCGGACCAGCATTGCGGTAGACAGAACAAATGAGGCGTAGTCGTGTTTGCTCGGTCTATATGATGCAACCATACCGTTTGTTTGGGGACTAGTCAGCTTATGCCAAAAATGCAGCACCCCTGAAGGCGAATTGGGGCGGCCTTTAGAAAAGAAGCTCAACCACCCAATTGTCCGGGTACTGTCAAAGTCCTAACCGAAAACCCTCCAAAATTTCTGCAGCTGATCAACTCATTCTCTCTTTGGAATTTGATGTTTTTTGTGGAAACACACCCTAATTTTGCCTTATGAGGATTGTCTACAACATATTGAAACTCGTCGATGGCCAAGGGGGTTTTCAGGCCATTTTGTGCAGCCCCATGGCGGTCTTAAGCATTGAGCTCTATCAATCCTCGACCGATCCTATCCCAGAAGTCGAAAGTTTAGATGAACTAGATACACCCGAAAGCTACGAAGTTGGGCTGTGTCACCAAACGTTTGCAATGCTGCTGTATTATGTTTTTCGCCTTGCATATTACATCAATATTCCGCCCAATTCAGCATCATCGTGCATCCCCCAACTTCTTCAGCAATCATACACGTCTCTCCTCAATCTACAATGTTACCACGTTCTTGTACCAGATGTCGCGGTGGTCTCGCAACAGCTAAGATTGATGCTGTCTCAATAGCCGGCAGCCGTGACTCTTCAATAGATGCTTGACCCCCATTACTTGAACGATAATGGGCGCACTTATCTACGTGCTAGCCGTTAGTTATCGATAAATTTGGGGTACGAGACGTTAATTGTGAAAGATTTGGTCCCTTTCTGCTGCCCCTTTGTCATCTTCGAAAGCTCTGCGCTTTGTTGTCGGATTGTCTCCTCTAAAGCTTTCACCTTCCTTTCTAGTTCGAGAGCAATACAACGTTCTTGCTTGTTAGAATTGCTCAAAGGAGCCATTCCATCAAGTGAAGTGATTTCCTAGCTTGCAGCCCTTGATTCATAGGCTGAAACGGACTGCGATATTCTGTTTGATACCACAGGTCCTTAGATCGTTTTGGGCAGGGATACTCTCCGCCTGCCGATGGTCCTCCGCTCTTTGACCGGGATCTCTTGCGGCTCTGAAATCTCACACTGGCTTCCGGGCTCAAAATGCGTGCTGAGCTTCCGAGGATTCGAGCAGAGGGCGGTGTGTTGCCATAGAATACCAATGTTGGAATTTCATGCATAGTTACTGTCCTGTCCTTCGTGTGAGGTGATAGGTGCATATCCGCTTGATCTGCCCGTGACACAATTGAACTTGCCACTGGTTCAGACATCCTAAGGCTGGTATCGAAAGACTCTAGTTGAGATATGGTTTGGCATGCTCTCCGTAACCGTCTACCATTGACCGGACTCATACTGAGACTGCCCAGATCATCGTGCTCCGATGACAGGTATGATGATGGGGGATCGGCTGCTGGCTCGCCTTTGCGTATGGAGATATGAGGCTGTATTATCTATGTACCACCTACAACGTGGGATGATGATGGAATACGGGAATCCATCTCAGAACTATGGCTTCGAGGACTGTTCTTGCTTGTCTTACCTGACGGCGTAAAGTTCTCGTTTTGTTGTGGTTGTGTCCAAAAGTCCCTCACAGTACTGCTAGTTTGGCGTCAGATTGGCACCATAATAGGTTTGCAGAGCGAGCTCGCTTGCTGCTCACCAAAGGACGCTGCTTCTATGTATTTGGGTGAGCTAGGTCACTATGTTGGGCGATGGCCTCCATTCTTTTTATAACGTTCAGTGTAAATAGCAAGCGCTGGAAGAGATGACTGCGAGACTAGCGGAAGTTGCATCCGTTTTTCAGACTCCGGTTCACAACGCTTAGCATCATTCCTGAGACTCAGGCCAAAATAGGTAGTGTTTTATCAAGTCCGAATAAGGACTTCGTAACAATGCTCTGTACAATTTCCGCAAATGCATATAGTAGGACGAATACCCAGTTTTCACACACTAGATATCATAATAGTTATGGTACCTCATGACAAAGGCCTCCAAGCTGAAATCAGCTTCTGCCTTAACAACCTATGTCTCTCCTTTGTCTAGCCATATCAACCTCGGATCTCTTTAATTGATATAACAATGAATACGATAAAAGCTTTGTCTAGGCGCCCGTCAATACGTGTATCTCAAAGCATGAGAACACTGTCTAGCTCTTTCGAGACAAAGGTGTTGTTCAATAAGTGCTGTCTCTTGTTAGTATAAAGTCCAGAGATTCTGCCGATACCTTGAGCATATATCGATTCGCAATACAGCTAAAGAAATCACCAAAAACCTTCAAGAAAACCAAAGCTTTGAACTTCCCCAAAAATGACATCCAGCACCAATATGCGTTCCTTGGGCGACATGCCCTTGGAGCTTTTCCAGGAAATCCTCTCTTACATCAGCCGTGGCGACCGGAAAAACCTCGCAAGCACCTGCAAGGCTTACAAGGAGGTCCTCCTGGAGGCTATCTGGGCCGAGGACGTTGCGGGACCGAACGACGCCCTCTTCTGGGGCTGCAAGAACGGGAGACTGGAGATCGTGGAACACGCTATCGCAAGAGGTGCGCAAGTGGCCGGAGTCAGGCAACCGATCAAGCGGGTGCTGTATGAGTATGATCGCGTGTCGGCCATCTTTAGTGGACACGTTCGTGTGTTCGAATACGTTACCTATAACGCCTCTCCAATTTCCCATGCTATCACTGGAACTGCGTCTTTGCCGGTGATAGAGAAACTCCTTCAGAATGGTGCGGCTTCTGATTTTGATGGGTATCTTATTAACAGATACCCCCTCCACCACGATGATTTAATTCATCTGGCACTAGATCAGGCGAGAAAACGGAAGGACTGGTGCCCCATCGACGCCATTCTGCTGCTATTCAGCTATGGAGCGCCCGTGCCCCAAAGATGTCTCAATCCTGTCGGGTCGTGTATCGATATGGCAAACGCCCACCAGCCCCATTGCCAGTCGGACTGCGTCTATCGGTTGACGGAGGAGTTCATACGGCGCGGCGCGGCGATGAATTACTTTTCTGAAGAAATCCATGTGCATCCGCTCGTCAAAGCAGTGGCACAGTCTCCCCCGTCCAACCGGCTAGTGAAGATGATGATCAAGATGGGTGTGAGTCTAGATTCTAAGGGAAACGAATACATCCTGTGGAATCTCTTTACTTCGAGTTCACACAAGTACACCGATGCAGAATCGACTGCACCTTATCTGGAGGTCTTTGAAACCTTGCTCCAAGACGGTGCAAGCCCTGACGGTCCGAGCTGGAGCTGCCTCATAACGCAGGTTATACATGACATGACGGAGCACGGGATGCCGTTTGTCAAATTGCTGCTCAAATACGGAGCAGACGTGAACAACCACAAGCACGATGAGTTGACCCCGCTCACAGCAGCGGCACGAAAGATGGCCCTCAACATTATGGAGTTGCTCCTTGAGGCCGGTGCTGATCCAAACAAGCCTGACGCGAGGGAGTACACGCCGTATCGTGAGGCGACATACCACCGCGACCCTCAAGCTGCCATTGATCTGCTGGTCAAGTACGGGGCGGTCCCGGATCAGGCTTCCGTGGAGTCAAGCCTGAATCGCTAGCTTTCACACCACAATTTCCTGGTTAACTCGACGAGTAGCTGGGTAGCCGGCTGCTGGCACTGGCCAGAGTTTGACCTTCTCGTCCGATTTCTTTTCTTATATATGCGTGTATTTGTGTTTAAAAAATAAAAAATAATAAAAAAAAGGAAATACAGTGTCATACAACTACTCGTCCCAGTGCAAAGGTTTCTTGTGATTTGTTTTGAATAGACTGGTCAGGTCTAAGTATTACACAAAGCAGAATCAATATGATGATAGGAGTCGATATATAATCAGTCCTACTATCTTCCTCTTCCTACCTTCCTCAACTCTCAAATCAACAACTATCAATAGACCGTCTAATACCCATGAACCGATATAATCATTCTAGAGGTCTTACCCTGGCCCTAGACTTGGCCTTAAAGGAGCTATATTGTGTTTTGAAGTGTGAAGTAAACTGATGTGTGTTGTATGGCTAAACTAACAGGACTTACATGGACTAACTGGCATCACCTGTCATGGGGTGGTAGCTGCGAGAGCATGAGGCCCCGTCAGCACATGCTTCTTCGCAATTACTAGAGCACTCATGTGTTACTACCATAGTTGTTGGAGTCTCTTCACAGCTGTCAGAGACCTTGATACTTGTTGAGAACATTTTACTGTGTTAAATTGGTTATTGTCAAGAGAGACAGTGGTAGTATATCTTATTATGTAATTAATGGTGGATTGGGCAGAGTGATCTGAGCCAAAGAAATCTATCTCACAAATAAGTAAAGCAATCAATAATAGCTGAGTATGAAGAATGTAGTTGGCAAGCCAAGAGTACACAATGACCAAGAGGGGTACTGTCTTTTATCTACTCATTCACATTTCCCGAGGTCACCACTGGCTTAATGTTCCTCACCTGAGCACTCCCTCTATATAGGCAAACAATCAATCATAATTGGCCTCGTGATCGGGGCAACCTTAGGGACAAGATTATTCTTCCAGCTATCTAGATTATGAAGTGTATCGAATGATAGAGAAAGCGTAACATGGAAATCCAAGCCAAAATAAAAACAAAACCAAACAAAAAAAAAGGGGGGGTAAGTTGGAATGCGACTGGTAGCAACCCGACGCCAGAGGCAGCCTAGGAGGTGCCGACTTCCTCCTCCTCGACGAAGGCGGCACCTGACTGTCGTACTCCGTTGTGCCAGAAGGCCCATTCGGCGCGGTTCCCGCCATCCCTCAAGCACATTTCCAAAGCTACGGTATCGTTGCGTGTTACCCGGCGTGTGGGCCGCCACTTAAGAATCCGGATGACTTGCACTAAGTCGGCGATGCGGCATATGTTCAAACGGATGGTGCCATCATTATTGGCCTTGGTGTAGGTGGACTCAATCAACCCCCACGGCAGCGCGATGCGCTTCATCAGTCCGTCCACCATGTATTCTCCCTGCTCAGTGGGATTCACCTGTCAGTTTGGTATACTTTGAAAAGACTGGGGGCATGGGTGGTGGGAGGCTATTGGTAGGTGGAAGGTACCTTGGACAACAATTGGATTACAGTGCCATCCACTTCAATGCCGAATTTGAACTTGGCGACGGCTGACTGAGGTGGGAGAGGTGACCGCGATACCTCCTGGCTATGTATGGCAGCGCCTCGTGCCACGATTAGCCATCTTGAGCCCAGTTCCCTCATCAGCATATCGGACAGGAGCAAACGTAGTCAGGTCTCATCACTTACCTGTTTAGCCTTGTAGGAAAGACAACAGTGACACCCTTGACCTTGGCTGGGATAGACGTTACTATATACCGATTGTAACTAAACCCTCCGGTTACGAAGAGGTACTACGTATATATAACCTAAGGTCAGTCTCCATCAAGCTACTAATGAATATAACAAGGATTTCAAATCACCTTAGGGTTTTTTCCCGTTCGACTGCGCACTTTCTCGATATGCGCATGAACCTTGTCAACGATTTTCTTAACCGCAGAGTCAAGTATGGAAGAAACCTCCTGGCTGCAGTAACACCCACGCTGAGGTTAGCGACGATGAAGATGACTATGGTGAATTTGTTTCACGTACCTGTAGAGCTGGAGCGCTCTTTTTTCAACCCACAGAGGGTATGTCTGGAAGGCTCTTGGGGTCATAGCCTGAATTGCAGCTGGTGGCAGGCGAAAGTCCCATGTTATCTGGCTTTGAGGAACAAATAGAGGCATAATTTCCTTCTCCCAGCCTCGTACTGCGTCTTTCCAGAACTTAGAGTCCAACGTAGCTGTGTCGCTAAGAAACATTTTGGCCTTGTCCTCTAGTAGCTTGACAAAACTGTCAGTCGCGAAAGTGGCCCCACAGAATACGCTCTCAGATTCTGTGATCGGCTTAAACTCGAGTGTGGCATCTTTAGAAGTGATAACGCCACCGACCATATCCTAGAGAACCAATTAGTCTGGATCAGGAGACTTCACAAAGCAACCCGGGAAGTAATACTTACGGCGGTAAGACCACCTAAGTCTGCCACCATGATTTGGTCATCAACCTGAAATACTCATCAGCCTTGGGTATCTAAAGTGGGTGGAAGAGATACGAGGACAAGATAAAAGGAATGGAGCAAACCTGAATATCAACACCGCAGGTCTTGGAACGGCCATAAGCACTCAGGATGGCGGCCATGGCGGCTTCGGCCTCAGTGAGTAGTATCAAGGTTGGGTTACTCGCGAGGCTTGAGAGAACAGATTTATCGAAGGCCCGTTGGAACTGATCTTGTGGCCAGCCCTTCGGAAAGGTCATGATCACTTTCAGAGCACACTCGTCGTATACATATCCTGTAGTACGTCTGACTTGAACCTCGCACACACTCCAAAGTTTGTTGATGTAATCGACCAAGACATCAACTGTCTTCATCCGGAGTTGCTTCCTAGCCTTCACAGAGTCTATAAGTACAGACCAACTGCTTGCGTCAGGGTGCCAGTCATCCTCATAAAGCATGGAGTACTTGAAGAAGCGAAGTTCTGTCGCTCCAACAACCTCATCAAAACCCCAGCCCACAGGTGTGTTCTGATTGTTGTAGAACAGGACTGTGGGGACCACATCGGATGTCCCGCATGTATTTGTATCGGATGATCGCTTAAAGGAGCAAGTCGACGGCGAAGCCTTTGAATGTCGGGCAAATGCCACCTTTGAGTACCTTTTAGAGGATTAGTTAAGCTTGCTAGCGACCATTCAGGTTTGGTGATGCTAACTTACGTTGTGCCAATGTCCAACGCGATCACAAGCTCGTCCTGAGACATTACGCCCTCCATCTTCTGCGATGTTGGTCAATCGACAGTCTACGATGACTGGTGTGAATGGTTTCGATGTCAAATTATCGGTACAAGAGCTTCGCTTCGGGGTTTGAAGGGGAATGTTTGCAGGAACAAAAGTGAGTGAGGAGTAGAATCGATGTCAAATTATCTGTACAAGAGCTTCGTTTCGGGGTTTGAAGTGGAATGTTTGCAGGAACGAAAAGTGAATGAGGAGTAGAATCGATGTCCTAAATATATGTCACTGGACGGTTGCCATTATTGATCAAATGTTTCAGAATTCTTCTATGACAATCTATCTGTCACCGTGTTCGGAATACGGTACCCATAGTTCATGCATGCAAGGTGGCCATTGCTGTGCCTAGAGTTGGTAGTTGCTTGCACAGCTGCCTCACCGGCCAACGATATCATCTGTCACAATGTTGAGGGTACGGTACCCGTAGTTCATGCACGCACACATGGTGGTCATTGCTGTGCCTGGAGCCGGCAGTTGTTTCACACACAGCTGCCTCACCGGCCAACAATACTGACTTCCAGGACTGAGAATGCTTTTACGCCCTGTTCTATCTACTTCTGTTCTTATCATAAAAGTAGACCTGAACCAATGCCGAAGCATATTGATGAGTCTTCTTGCAGCAAACAATCAATTACACACACACACGCACACACACACACACGCAAGCTCCAAGGTGAGGCGGCAGGCTCATTTGACGTAAAGGAAGTGTTCTCCTCGCATACAGGGTTCTAGGCTCTTAGATTGATGAGTTCTACGTCTAGACGCTTCAATAAGTGCCGCCACATCTCCACATCTGACCTGGTTCGATGTGTGGTGTCCTGTGGTTGGCGAAATCGCGAGAATCTTCTGCTGCCTCCTTATTCTCAGCCTCATATTGAGCTATGCCATCAATGGTTCTCCTCACATACAGGGTTCTAGGCTCTTGGAATGATGAGTTCTACGTCTAGACGCTTCAATAAGTGCCGCCACATCTCCACATCTGACCCGATTCAATGTGTGGTGTCCTGTGGTTGGCGGAATCGCGAGAATCTTCTGCTGCCTCCTTATTCTAGACCTCGTATTGAGCTATGTCATCAAAGGGAAATTCAAGGCGAATGATGGCTGCTGGGTCGCAATCCTGGGTGGGCTGTATGTGGTGAGTCAAAAATGATCAGCTGGCTAGGTGTTTCTTTGTTTGAAATCAAACACACGGGCTGGCCGACTGCGCCTTGTCACAATTTTGGTTTTCACCGCTGCTATCATCACAAATTTAGGTTTTCACCGCTGCCATTGTCACAATTTTCGGCTTTCACCGCTGCCGTCGTCACAATTTTGGTTTTCACCGCTGCCATCGTCACAAATTCTGGTTTTCGCTGTCGCCACCAGCACTAGTCTCCACCTCCAGAGATTCAGCCACCTCCGAAGATTCAGCCCCGGGAGATTTCTTTGTAGTTGGCTTCAACACTCTGCCCAGCTTCCGCCGCTCTTTGCCTAGCTCCCAATCTCCCCATCTTTTGGCATCCCTTGACTGCTTCCTCCTTTTATTTCCAAGCCAACTCGTCTTTTCCACTTTCCAAGCTTGTTCATCTCTTCCTCCTCCAATCTTCCCCCCCTTTTCGAGTTTGCTCGTTTCTTACTCACCATTACTCACTTCATTTTTCATACCAGCCAACATGCCTCAGACTCGGAGCTCTATGAAGAACAGCCGCAAGAGGGCTAGCCCAGACGACCACATAGAGAGTCTTTCTGTCCATGGTAGGCAATTTGTAGAGCTAGATCTCATAGTCTGCGAGTAGTGTTGTGTTAACAGGCGCTCAGGTGATCCAGCCACCTCAAACCCAAACGATTGTCTCCCGACCAGCATGGCTACCAAGGATCTGGAAGTGGTAGCCAAACCAGCA